CGCCAAAAATCCCTGTGTATCCTTCTTTCGTTACTTCTACGCCCATCAATTTCCGAGTCTCTCTTATACCGCGCTAGTGCATCACGGATTCGTGACCATGACGCTGATGAACGATTTGAACGAACAGGCAACTGCTGACTTGTACAGAATTAACGTTACCCTCTCCGGTACTATTATCCTTATCTTCCTAACTTAATTCTCAACAGCGTCCTCCAAAATAACCTCAGCTGCCTTATAACTGGCCATGAACTGCCCGACAATAGGGAACGGGCTCGGCGGCCTGGGCAGCGCACTGCCATCAACAACCCGCAGGTTCCTCACCCCCCTAACCCGGAACCTCGAGTCCAGAACCGCAAGCGGATCATCATCCGCGCCAATAGCCGCCGAGGACGAAGCATGATGCGAGTAGACCTGCCGTCTAATAAACTCCTTGGTAGCCTCCTCAGAGCAATTCGTGCCAACCAGCCCAACGCACGGCTGGAACTCTGTAAAAGGCCCAACCGGCGCCTCAACCGCACCCAGCACCCTCCTCCCAAACTCCACGCCCTCATGCAGCGCCTGCAAGTCCTCATCCGCGTTCTCCGCCCAAAAGTCAAAGAAAATGTCAGGCACATCCCTCGGGTCCGCAGACCTGAGCCTCACCGTGCCCCCGCGGTGGTTCCGTCCCTGGGTGTGCACCATGGCGAAACTGAAGGTACTCGCCGGGTCGCCCTGCGGGCGGGAATACCCTGGATAAAACCCGCGAAAGACATCCGGCGGGTTCCACAGGACTAGATCCCTCTCATTGTTTAGCGAGACAGAGCTCCGCAGATGGGTGCTGTGCGTTGGGCCGGGGATTGCATAGGGGCCCTGGCCCTGCTGCCAGAGGGCGATGCAGGGGTCGTCGGCGCCGAGACCCAGCGTGCATTGTACTGGTGGCGGGGTCGCGGGGCCTAAATCGACGGACGCGGTCGCCGCGATGCTGATCTCGTAGTCGTCTTGCAGGCGGGCACCCACGCCGGGCAGGTCGGCTACCACGGGGATGTTGAAGGAGGTGAGTTCTGAGCGCGGGCCGATACCGCTTAGCTTGAGCAGCTGGGGGGTGTTGAACACGCCGGCGGAGATGATGACTTCGCGGCGGGCGTAGACGCGGTGGGTGGAAGGGTTTGTGGCGGCGGCGTTGCCGGAGCGCGGGTCGGCGCGGTAGAGAGACTTGCCGCGGAGGTATTCGACGCCGGTGGCTCGGGGCTGACTAGTACTACTGGCAGAGGTGTTGGGTTTCCCGTAAGTTCCTTCGTTGCCATCATGTGAGAAGAGAATACGGGTGACCAAGGATTCGAGCTGGATCGTGAGTGGGTTCGCCGGCGATCCATCTGCCTTGCGCTCCGCGAGGGTGGCTGCCAGGAGAAGATTGGCGTTTGTTCGGTTGCCCAGGGGTGTGTGGTGAAAAGGGAGGCTGAAGAGGCCTTGTTGGTGGTCTCGCTCCGGGTCTACCGAGTTGGGGTCTGTTCGCATTCTCTCGAAGAGATGGGCTTCATCGCTCTCATGGCCGAGGGTGGCGGCTAGCTGGCTGAGGATGGATAGCTCGGGTCGGTTCGTCCATACCCGCTCTGGATTAGCCGTCGACATGGCCAGCCAGCCGTCAAACCCGTGACCGGGCGTTCCGCGAGGTAGGTGGGTGTTGTTTTCAAAGCGGACGAAATATTGGCGCATATTCTCGTGCCTGTACCTTCATTAGCAAGTGTTACAGTATTCAGCAGGCTCGCTGGTTGGTGACTGTCATACCCCCAGGAAGCATCACCAGTGATGTTGGCAATGTAGTCCCAGAAGCTGTCTTGAGGAACGATAGCGGCGCCAGCGTTGTGTGCAGAACATCCTCCGAGCGTGCCCGACCGTGGGTAGTAGATTCCCAACGGCCTGGCGCCTTCAGGGGGGTTTTGTCCGACATAGTAGCCACCGTCTTCAGTTTGCCAAGTCAAGTAACGGTTGCTGTTCTGGACCTCATCATCTGCATGGTATCTCACAAAGTAATCCCAACGCACTCTCTCGTCTTCGGCAGCAACGTCGGCAAGAGCCGGTGCGATACTGACGTTGAAATTGCTTCGCTGGTCGTCACCGGCGTCCAGGAGAAGGACCGAGAAGCCTTTCTTGGAGAGCTGCGAGGCAACGGGTGCTCCCCCTGGACCGGACCCGACGACGATGTAATCGTAGGAGTCGCGATGGTTGGAGCACTTGGATCCCGTTGTGGTACTGACCAGAGAGGACAGGACGAGACCCAGCGCGCAAGGGGCAACAAGTTTCGATCTCATGGTGACTTTGGAGTCGTCCGGAAGTGATATTCAGAGGTAGACAGGCGTGCTGAGCGCTGAGCCGAGTCTGACCCGACAACAACACGATACCTATTCTCGCAAGAACTTCAACACGTATTTATACATCTAGTCATCCCCGTAGAATTCGACTGTATATCCCCCTTTATGGCGGAGTTAGAGACGCCCTCACACTAAATTCCGATGTTGTCTTGTTGACTTGCCATTCCAAGGACGCCAAGTCTGTAAAGGATCGAACGCAATACTTCAACCGGACGTAATATTCTTAACACCGGATCTACAAACAATGAGCGGCCAATTGAGCCTTCGAAATGATGCTCTACAGAGGAGGAGGCCTCGTCATCCTCATCTCTGATCCCAGAACGGCGTGCAGCAGTGAAAGTGGCTATGCGGATGGCAATCATCAACCTGTAAGAGATACTACCAATATGTTGGTTTCGAATTTGTTCGAAGGGACATAGAGGCCCAAGCTTGCTGTTGCCCTACTAGGTAAGAAGCTCTTGTTCTCCCACAAGCGTCCCTTGGTAGGTAGCCAGTCTGAGGGATTTCAAAATCATTGAAATCATAAGGACCTCTGACGGTGCAATCCCAGTTCTCGAGGAAGCACTGATACCAAGACCCTAGGACGTCGGTAGGCATTAGAGTTCCAAACTTCCAAGTGAATGTCCTGACGTGGTGGACTCCTGAATTTCAGTATCTTCATGCTAAAGGAAGGATACCTCTTGCCCATACACGTGTATGGGGTTCTGGTCCTGGATGAGAGGGTGAGGATCTTGGAGAAGGGCAGAGGGTAACCCTTACCCTAAGGCAGAGAGTAGTTCGTACACGACAGTATGACCTAGAGATCGTAAGGAATCTTGGCAAAGCGTCTTGCGTGCCATTGTTGCCTGGACCGTACCATGTAAGCAAGAAATGTAACTCGTACCTTTGTCCAGGGGATCCCAAAAACCTTCGGTATTGTTGAAGGAAGTTGGGATAAAGTCTGGCTCGCACAGACCAAGTTCCCTTCCTTCGGCACTTGGCATCTGTGGCTGGCCTGTGCGCCGCGTCATCGTACATTTCTATAATCTGGCGAGGCGGATCACCTGACATTCCCAAGACAACTGGAAAGCAAAAGACGTGATGCAAGAACAGCTATAGCGAAAACATTCCTGAAGGACATATCCAAATCTTCAGCCTCTCCAGATCACGTCCAGGTTGCTGCGTACACACAAGCCATCATGAGCACGCAATTAGCAGCCGCAAACCCCACAACGACCACAACTGCAACAAGAAAAGCATCATCACAATCTACATCAGCCTCGGCATCCCTACCCAAACCGCCCAAGAGCATCCTCAAAAAGACCACCCCGCCAGCCCCCCAACCGAAATCACCTCCATCATCACCACCCCCGCCCGCAACCTCCCTCGGACCAACCCGTTCTCAACTTCAACACCAACAAGACCGCCTCCGCCTCCTCCAACAACTCGCCCCCCCCGCCGTCCCCCTGGAAACAATCGAACTCCTCACTCAACTGCCCACATCCCCCAACCCACCCCCGGCATCACACCCTTCACCCACCGACCGCGCGACTCTACTCACCCACCTCCCGCGGTTCCAGCCGCGCGAGTACCTCGACCTGATCGAGGAGCGCACAATCCTAGGGAAATGCGGGTACGTGTTGTGCGGGCGGCCCCGGCGCGACCTGCGCAGCCGGTTTAAGATCTCCACGCGCACGGGGAATATCGCGAGGACAGAAGACCTGAACAAGTGGTGCAGCGACGAGTGCGCGCGGCGGGGGATGTATATCAAGGTGCAGTTGGATAATCCGAGTTTTGTGAGGGGCGAGGGGGGGAGGAGTGAGGTTAGGGTTGAGTTGTTGGTTGATGATGAGGAGGGGGGTCAAGGTATAGGAGTTACGCAGAGAGGTTCTGCGAGGGGGGCTACGGAAGATCAGGAGCAGCTTGCGAGGGATATGGCGAGGTTAGCGATAGATCGGGCGAAGAAGCAGCAGAAGCAGAAGCAGAAGCAGGGGCAGGCGAATGCTCTGCTTGCTGCTGAGAGGGGTGAGGGAGGCTTTCTGGGCCAGGACGGCAGGGTGGAGGTTACCATTCGCGAAAAGGCCACCACCGATGAGCAGGTGGTTCCTCCAAGTCGGGAAGATGACGCCGCCCATCTGATGCTGGAAGGCTACAAGACTACCTTCGGCACCGGGAGGAAGCCAGGAGAGAAGGCCAATGGTGACTCGGATAGAGACAGCGATGATGACGACGATGATTTCCCCACCATTCGGTTATGAGGTGGTGGATGCCGTTAAGGGATACTTGGGCGGTGGCGTTGACCGGTTACGAGGACATCAAAATGATACCCGTCTTACCTATACATAGAATACTGGGGCGTGATAGTTCAGACAGCCTCACCTCGTAACACTACGAGTCTGAACCATAGACCACCCCGACGGCCAAATCAGTCACCAGGCGAGATAGACCAGCGACAATGCCTCGGTTCCGCATGCTCACCACAGCCTTCAGAGGAAGGATAAAAAATTGGCGATCAAGCGTCATCCCCGGAATTACCCAAGGGAATCAGCGACACCTAGCGTGGGGCAACAGATCTCTCAATTTCCAGAGGACCTATAGCGCTGCTCTCACTACCTTCCAGAAAGACGCCGTGTAGCCATGCCCATGTAACCATCCCATAACCCGCATCTGTTCCATTTTGTAGTCGTGAGATGTATAATTCGTCCTGGCCGAGTATTCTATTGAGGATATGTTTTAGTCGCGACGAGGGCGGTCGCCGAACCGCCTGCCGCCGCGCTCGATGACGGGGTTCTGGGTGACCGGGACGACGTTGACGGGGATTGAATCGAACTGTTGATTTGGTATCAAAGTCAGCACACCACACCACACTACACCACAACTTCCCACCGGCAAATTCCTGTGAGAGAGTAGGTAGACGTACGCCAAGGTGCTTCAGCAGGTCCTTGGTCTCGGTGTCGACGTCCAGCTGGCCGCTCTCCGAGTTCTGGGTGAAGTCGAGGGCCGACACCTCGGGGACGTATTGGTCCTTGCGCTCGCGCTCCTCTTCTTGCAGCTTGAACGAGATGCCGCGGACGGGGCCGCGCTGGATGCGCTTCATCAGGTGGGTCGTGTAGCCGGCAATCTGTTTGAGTTAAAAGAACGGATCAGCATTTCAACGCCGCACGACTCTCGCCAACACAGGTTTCGGGACGAACCTTGTTGCGCAGCCGCTTGGAGGCGATGATGGCAATCTCATCGCACACACGCTTGTTGGTCTCGAAGTCGAGGGTCAGCTTGGGGTAGTACCGCTCAATGATGACCTTGGCGGACTTCTTGACGGTCTTTGTGCGAACGCGACCCATCTTGACGGCTCTTCTTTTGCTGCTGGGGTTAGCGGATGAGAGCTTTGGAAGTTTCGGACAGAGAGATTTCGCAAGCAAGAAAGGTCGGAGCTCGCGAAGTTGCAGAACTACTTTTTTTGGTCAGTGTCGATTGTGGGGTTGAGTTAGGGCTCGCCGCGCGATTGGCCGATTAGCGGAATGTGGCTGTGTGGCGGTGTCCGATATAAAAAGCGGGGCTCTGGTCTCAAGTGGCTTGCAAGTTGGAGGTGGTTCCAGACACGTGACAGTGCTCCCATAATACGATGAACTTGGAGAGACAAGGAAAGACAGCAAGCCTTTGATATTTAGACATTCGTATACTACAGAGAAAATTGTTGGTACAACAATAGGGGTGCCGTCCATGCCAGTTACTATAGCGACTTGCTGTCGAGCCCGTAATCCTCGGCGCTGGACATGGCAGGAGGACCGGCAGCATACCGTTTTCTGAGCTCCTTCGCATCTTCCCGTGGCTGGTGGAGCTGCGGTTGGACCAAGGGCGTGCCCAGACATTCCTTTTCGCCGAGCAGCTCCTGTGTGACGAGCGTGGTTTCGGTCGAGGCATCGTTGATGCTCATCAAGACCTTGCCGTGTGAGGACACCGTCGCCCTCTGAGGTTGCACCCATGTCTTTGCTCCACCCACAAGAGTAGGATCGATATAAGACCATTTCCCGCCCGTCTTGCTGTTCAACAAGCTGTCGCCCACCGGAGTTTCCACGACGAAGCCGGCCACGCCGAGTTTTGCCGCCTGGTTTCCCTGGGACCGATATGGCCGGATAACCCGTGCCTGCACGGAGGGATGGTGTTTCTGGGGCCCGTAAATCGGGTGGTTCTCCATGTACATGGACGTGCGCAGGTACGATAGGCCCGCAGAAGGGTGTGTGACCGGCGGACCGCTCTCGGCCCAAGGGCTCTTTACGTCGCGGTACTCCAGGACCTTGCCCTGGGTTTTGAGGAAGGCAAGACCCTCCTCAGCTGCCGAGCTCGGCTTCACAGGAGCCAGGTCCAGGAATTTGCCGACCATATCGTAGAGCATGGGGCGGTTGTGGCGCAGCTTCCGCAGGTAGGCGATGACCTGGTCCTCGGTGATTGAGCTAGCCTCGACGGGCGCAGGCGGCTCCTCGCCTTTATCCACGGCAGCGAGCTTGGCGGCTTCGTTCATTTCGTTGGCAATTCTCTCTCTCAAGAACGCGCGGAAGGCAGGGCGCTTAGGTCGGACTTCCTTGGCTAGCCACTTTTTGAAGTCTCCCTGCGGCATTCCCGATAACCAGGGGCCGGAGAATTTCCACCGCTGGTCGGTTGATTCGTCCTGCTTCTTCTTGTCGATAGCCGTGAAATCGAACTCGTCGTCAAACACGGAAGGTGTGGGAATATGTAATTGGGTCGCCGAGAAGGGCTGGCCGACCTGGGACTGCTGGCGAAGTGTGATGGGCAAGCCCAATGCTTGGAATTTCCGGAGGGTCATGCCATGGTCGGTGCCGGAGGTGTAGTCGGTAATCTGCTCGACCGAATCGATGGCGTTGACGCGCAGCATTGCCTTGGACGACTTGGTAGTAGACCTGAGCGGTAGCGGGCGTTTCAACCCCCAGTCTCCTTGCTTTCGTGGCGCGCTCAGTGTGGTAATGACCTGATGGGTCGGGAAGGCCTGCGTCATTGTGTCGGAGTAGAAGTCTTTCCCAGTGACATCGCTCGGGGGTTTTGGAATTGGTGAAGGCAGCGCGAACATCCGGGAGGTGCGAAGGAGCGCGCCTCCGGGGGACACGCTCCTGGTCGCCATTGTAGTTTCGTCGAGAGACCCGGTGAGCGCGGTTGACTCTTGCTGGACAGGCCGGGTCGGGTGTGTGTTGGAGACGGGAATCGGGAGCTGCGAAAATTCGGAGCCCTTTGGTTGGCTGTTCGCGGTCCGCGCTGATTCGAGATGCAACCCTAACCCTCTCTGTTCTGATTTGTACGGTCGGAGTTCAGTGACAGGGTTAGACACAGCCCAGTATCTTAGCGTTAACAGACTGGCTCAACTGGATGGACATCACTGAAGGTGCAATGAAAGTGCAATGTGGTAAAGATGCCAGGACGATACTATGTTTCCAGCAAGTCAATGCCGACGCCTTTCAGGGCGGTGACTGCCCACGCTGGGTAACTACTCCTTTCTGGGTATAGATTTCTAAAGAATTCTCGAACGAAATCAGGAAATCTATCGGCAATAATGGCCTCCCTAGCCTGTCTCATCAGACTCAACTGATACCACACATTGTGTAGCGTCAGCAGATGCGCTGCCACCGTTTCCTTGGCGGCATTGTGATGCACGAAAGCCCTGGTGATGCCCATGGCGCCCTCCTCCTCGGCTGGCCTGCAGCACGGGCACCCGCAGCCGTCCTCGATGGGCCCAAAGTCAGCCGCATACAGCTCCCTCTTCATATTGAGCACGCCGTGCTTGGTGATGGCATTGCCAAACCTAGCGGTGCGTGTCGGCCAGACGCAGTCAAACATGTCGGCCCCCAGGGCGACGCTCACGACCAAATCTTCCGGGTAGCCAATGCCCATGACGTAGCGGGGCTTGAGGTCCGGGAGGAGCTCGGTGCAGGCGGCGACAACCTTGCAAAAGTCGTCCTTGGCCTCGCCGCCGCTCAGGCCGCCAATGGCAATCCCCGGCGTGTCGCGCGCCAGCATTTCCCGGCAGCACTCGCGGCGCATGTCCAGGTCCAGGCCGCCCTGGATGATACAGAACAGGTTCTGCCGGTCCGGGTGCTTGTGCGCCGCGATGCACCGGTCGAGCCAGCGCACGCTGCGCTCCATTGCCTCGCGCATGCGGGCCTTGTCAGGGGAGGTCGTGACCAGCACGTCGTCTAGCTGCATGATGATGTCGGAGCCGATCGAGTTTTGGAGGCTTATCGAATGCTCGGGCGTGAGAAGCATTGGGGTTCCGTCGTGGGGGGATAGGAAGCGCACGCCCTGCTCGGTGATGTTGGCGAGCTTCAGGAGTGAGACCATCTGGAAGCTGGGCTGGTGGGTCAGTCAGAGAGAACTTTCCATGGCGCAGGCTGGGACACATAAGCATACCCGCCGCTATCTGTGAGGATATTGTGCTTCCACCCCTGCAGCTTATGAGCCCCTCCAACCGCATCCAGCACCTCCTGCCCCGGCTTGAGGCCGAGATGGTAGGTATTGTTGAGGCAGAGCCGACATCCCGTGCCCTCCAGCTGCTCCGGTGTAAGGCCTTTCAGCGATGCCTGGGTGGCCACGGGCATGAAGATCGGGAGCGGGACAGGGCCATGGGGCAGGGTCAAGACGGATGCGCGAGCGCGGGTTGTCTGCAGCGTGCCTGGTTAGGTTGGCTGCCGGTTCAGGGCTGGATGTCAAGTTGAAAACTCACCGAGCACCGCGCAACCAGCTCGAATGTTAGCGCTGGAGAAGAAGCCGATATTGTCGATGCCATCCTTCGCGCTGCCCACATCCTCCGCCTGCTGAGCGTGTAAACAGCTTTTGTTGAAGGTGAACTTTTGAGTATAAAGTTATGGAAGCCATGAATCCTTGCCAAGACCAGAATTTCTGGGATGCGTGGTGGGGCGCTGCACTGCGCAACCTGGTAGGCGATCCGTTCTAGAATGCCAAGCCTTGAACCTCTATCCGTAAAATCGGACAATATACGGAGTACTCCGTATCACTTCCATCATTGCCTGGTTCCAGTTGTTCAGGTGTCTCGTGCCCCAAACACAACATCATGGGAGTCCACTGATTATGTGCCCTTACAGGTTGGCAAATATCAGACACAATATCTTTGCTTTTAACATATTCATGGTTTTGCTGTTGCGACCATGTCGACGAGAAGGCAGGCACATTAAGCGACGAGATCACCGAATGCTGCAGTTGCGGCCCGCTTGTTGAGCCTTTGGTGACCTGGTCCCGTCACTCAGGTCTTCAGCCTCGCAACCGAAAATCGTATGACTTTCGGGAGCCAGCTGCAAGTCCTTTCCCCATTCAGGCACTCAGGTACGGGATGGTACGCTGCACACAGCTAGCAAATCTGAAATGGTCCCCGTCATTCGCGAAAATCCTTCTTCTCAGCCATCTGCCTGCGGCTTTGCAGGATTTGAGACCCAGCTTCTCTCTACATGCCGGCATATCCTCGTCCCTCTGCAACACCACATACAGCTTCATTTCCTGGGCAAATACGTGGTTGGCTCTTGTGCCACGCGACATCAACATAACAGAGAAAAATTGGAGACAGAATAGGCCTTCCGCTCGGCTTGAAACGTTCCTGATCCAATCCTGGATGACCAGCGTCGAATCCGCTGACGGCAATGCGCCGGCACAGGGAGGCGCAAGCCGCGGCAACTAGAAATTGCTATCTCACCTTAACCGCTGGATATGCCGTCTACATAAGGCATCATTGCACGAAGCATGGTACAGTACTGTACACATTCTTCAGATGAATTCTGGCCACTACTCTCTGGTCTGTAGTGGGCATTGGGCAAGTCCCACTGACATCAAGTGTCAGCCATGAATCGCACTCATTTCCCCCCTTGCTTTCGTTGTAATCTTGAGCCTAGACTTGGTCTGACCTGTTAACCAACCTGAAGACGCCTGTTTCGCCGTCACCGGCGCAACTCACCTACATCTCGCCTACCTTACATTCGCATGCCCGGTTGTATAAACTATAAACGCCTCCCCGGACACCCGCCAACCACCTAGGCCACTGTACAATACATACACCATACACGATGCCGTCCTCCACACCTACCTCCTTTCCCCTATTCCCCCTCCTCCCTGCCGAACTCCGCCTCCAGATATGGCGCTCCGTGCCCTACCCTCGCGTCGTCACCCTCTCTTACCTCCCACTGCATATGCCTTCCTCTGGGCGCCACACCGTGGCCGGCAACGACACTTCTAGTAATAATTACACCTATTACACACCCAACACCCGCCCTCCAACGCTCCTCCACGTCTGCCATGAATCCCGCGCCGAGGGCATGAGGATCTACACGCAGTGCTACCTCCCGACCATCACTTCAAGTTCAGACTCGGAACAACAAGACGACAAAACCGGATTAGAAGAGCAGAAGCGGAGATATTTCCACCTCCATCCCCACCTCGACATCCTGTACCTCCCCCGACCGTCACCCTCGCCCGGCGCCGCTAGATTTGACCCGGCGGGAGCGGGCTACGCGGCCTGGGCACGCGAGTTTGCCAGTAGTAGCAGCAGCAGCTATGGCGTGCCTGCGGCGGCGGCTGTTGTGCGTCGGATTGCGCTGGACTATGTCCCGGCTGAGGTGCGCCGGCCGTGGGAGGTGTATGGCAAGCTGTGTCTGTTGAGGGGGTGTCCGATGTTGGAGGAGGTTTTTTTGGTTGTTTCGGGCTCGTCTTCGGCTTCGGCTCCCTCATCATCATCGTCGTCGTTGTCGTCGTGGTCGTCGTCGTCGTCGTCTTCGGGGACGAGGTCGTCGTTGTCTTTGGCGGGGGGTTCGGGTTCGGCGGTGATCGGCTCCGGGCCCGGGACGGATGACATAGGCGAGGGTGAGGGTGGTGCTGAAGCGGTGGAGCGGGGTGTGCAATCAAGCTTGGGTCTCGGGATAGGGGTGAGGATGGAGATGGATATGCCGGGGCAGCAGCGGCTGCTTGTGGAGTGGGAGTTTGTAGACCCTAGGTGGGAACCGGGGGAGATTATGGGGATTAGGGAGCGGGTGAGGGAGTCTTTTCGTCATGAAGGCGGGGTGGAGATGGGGGCTGATTTTGGGCTTGGAGCGGCGCGCAGGGGGGAAGGGGAAGGGGATGAGAATCACAGGGGGAAGGACAAGTCTGAGAAGGGCATGGAGTTGACGTTTATCCCGAAGGCCAAGAAGAGGGTTATGAGGCAATGGGGATGTCGCGTGGGTTATGTTTCCTGCGCCGGATCAGGGGTTGGCGTGGTCGTTTGACGGAGTTGGCAGAGCTTGAGAAAGGATGATACGCACATCTGGTGCAGAAAGCTGACCTACATGTATCTTTTCCGGTAGACCTAGATGAAGTACTTGCGTTAGAATTAAAGGCAGCAGTTGAGATCGGACGTCTCTATTACCCGTGCTCCTGCATATGCAGAGGAAGCTTGTCTCCTTGGCGGACACCAACGGGTACCAGGGGATGGCTCGGCGCTGCGGGACATAAGTATGACAAGCTTTTAGATTGAAAGGCTCATTATCGTCCCGTTTCCAGCGCTTGATCCAAGAGATAGAATGAACTTCCAGCTTAGGGTATTATCATTATGCTACGGACACCACTCTACATCCTTGCGGCACATTCATCTACGCCTGACCACCAGATGGCTTAGATCAGGAAGAAAGACAGGAAGAACGTCGCCAGATTGGCAGCCCAAGTAAGGACGCCCGGAACTTGGCCGCCCGGCGCCGCCAAGGCCCTCGAAGTCGCTCCGGCGGCACCAGCACTGTTAGTTCCGCTGGCGCCGGACCTGCTGGAGCCGGTCGCCGCCCCTGTCGCACCGCCCGTGGGAGAACTGCCGGCGGCACCGAGGCTGCGGCTGGACACGGCGGTGAATGCGATCCTGGAAGTCGCAGTAGCAGCGGCCTCGTCGCAAACAGACTGCAGGGCAGAGATGACTGTGCGTTGTATCCGTGTTAGTGGCATACTCCGGCGATAGGCATATGCGGAAGAAAGGAGACTCACTCTCATAATCCTCAGTGGCCGCAGTCCGAGCGAAAGCCGCGCAGGAGCTGGCGTTGTCCTCAAAGGACCCGCCGCCGCTTCGTATTGTGTAAGTACTTAACATATTCCGGGTGCTGGGGAGGAAGGGGCTCACCAGAGGCATGATTGGATATCGCTCGGAGCGGCGGTCTCAAGGCCGACCTGCTGGTCGCACGACTCGAGGACATTGATCATGGAGGTACACGCGGCAGGTGCAGTAATGTCGGAAGCAGGGGGCGCAGTCCTAGTGGCAGCGCCGCTTCCACCACCACCACCACCACCACCACAGAGGCCACTGCCAGCCGCCGAGCACATGACAAAGACTTCGGAAGCAACTGTGCCAATGTCAGTATGCTTACATGTCAACAGAACAACTAGCTCAGCTGCAAGGGAAGCTTACGTTCATAGGCCGAGGTGGCCTCGGCTCCTGATCCAGAGCTGTAGATGTATTCGGCGCATACTCCGTAGGCGGTGCTGATGGGGACGGCAGAATTGCAGCACAGGCAGCTCGCGGCGTCCTCGTCGGAAGCATTCTCGTCCAAGGCACCGGCCGAGGCACAGGCGTCGATGATGCCAACGGCCGCGTCGCAGGCCTGGGTGCCCTCCTCCTCGTCTACCGCGGCATGGATCATATCGCCGACAACGGGGAAAGCAGCACCGACGTGTTGTACGTTGACGTGAACGACATCCACACGGTTGATGTACTGGTCAAGGAGAGCGAGGGAAGGGCTCGCAAGAGCAAGCGCGAAGAGGAGCTGGCGGGCCATGGTCGACTGTCTGAGATGTCACCTTGGAAGTTCAGGTAGGCGTGCGGGAGGGTGAAGAGAAAGACTGGCGGGTGAGAGTTGGAGAGCCCAGAACTCGAGAACATGGAGCAGGACATGGCTTCATTTTAAGCGATTCATTTTGGACTAACACGAGGCTGATGAGCCTAGCGACAATTGGGTCTAGGTGCTCAGGCTCCATCTGTCATTCAGGCCTCGGGCTGCATGACATTATTGGCTTGCTAAGCTAACGTTAACGTTACCTTTTGGGCTAATATGTTAGGTACTCCGTACGTGGAAGGCATCCGTAGGTGAGATGCCCGCAGCCGGACATAGTCAAAGCCACCATGTTCAGCCTCATCGTCCCCAGTTGGCGGGAAGCCAAGCAGCCCAAACCAATAAGGACGTTCTCGGGGACTCGACGGGCAGCTTGCTTTTTTTCCGCATTGCGGCTGAGGAGGTGGCGACCGCGGAGCTAGGTTGAACAGAGCGAGCATTGCGGAAGCCATCGCCCGATATGATTCGAGATGAGCGCCGGGAGGATCCAGTTGAATGGAGCAGTCATCTCAATAGTCGAGCTTGGCATCGGGTGGAACTCTGCTAAGGTTACCCGTAATTTAAGAAGTGCAGTTGTTCTTGGCCGTAATATGCCGTAAAGTTTCGTGAACACGCATATTGAACGAGACCTAAATACTGTAAGCAACTGTAAGGTCCAGACATCAGAGATGGAAATTGCAGGAGGCTTAGCTCGGCTACGTCCGAAGATTTGTTTGGGCAGAACATTTGCTGGAATTTTCAGAATGGGGTCATGTCGCAGTCAACGACCAGCAAAACCATAGGCCTAGGAAAACACGTGCCGGGCTTGAAGCAAGTGAGCCGTCTTGAGTACTTACCTTGAGCCATCGCAAGCAAACACAAACCAGATTTCACCGGTAGGTTGACCAGAGTTGGAATTGGTGAATTGGTTGAGCCTGACTGCGAAGTAATCCCAAAAGTGGACTGATCACTGATGAACTGATCCAAAGAAATTCGACTCCATTTCTGGCGCACTTTAGCGAGTCACGTGGACAGGCAGGTCTGTTGCTATGACGTCCGAACGCGACGCGGTTCTTTGTGCATTTGCTTGTTTGATTCAGGCGCGGCCAATCCCGCCTTCCTCCACGATGAGGGACGGACACGGCTTCCTGCCGACCCTGAACAGCATCCCATCCAAACCTGCCGTTTCCGAGTGCACACAAGGCTGAGCACTCTTTCTCTCTTCGAGTAATCCGCATTAGTGCACCCTCGCCAAATTTAACGTTATCATCCATCTACATCGGTCTTGTCAACCAAAGGGGATTGTGTCGATGCAGCAGTACCCCTTTTTGATGGGTTGAGGCTGCGTTTCTGAAAACGGCCGAACATGACGTCGCCGTCTCCCAAATCGCCCTATTTGCCAAAACCACCGTTGGAAGCAATGGATCAAGCGCCACGTTCTCCAAACATCGATTCCAGGGAGGGCGATAGTGACTTGGCGCAGTCGTTGAAGCACTTGACCATTTCAGCCTCGTCCCCAGCCAGGCCTCCCCGGTCCCCGCGACAACCCGCTCTGAAGCCCCTCAATGTGGACGACCGTTCCCCGAGATCTCCAGCCCGTCACGGGAATCCCTTAAAAAGCCCCCTCCGTAGCGCTTCCGCTTTGGCCAATCCACCTTCTCGATCCTCGACACCGACCCTGCTAAGGAAGGCTTCGTTGAATTCGCTTCATTCAGTGAACGGCGTTGCGCCTCCCCGTCGAGCGAGCTCCGTCACCATTTCGTCGCCCTCTTCCAAGCCCGGATCAGGGAGATCGCCCTTGAGAAGCCTGTCACCCGAGTTGCCAGAGGAACCCGCCCCTACGGCGCACTCCATCGCAAGCGCCCACTTCAAAGCCGAACTAGAAGCACACCATGGCACCGAACCCACGCGCCGTGCCGAGACCGTTGTGATTTTCCAGGACGCCTGCTATGGTCACAGGTACTCCCGTCCCCGCACGTCCAAGGCACAGCTGGGCACCATCGTCGAGCGCCCAGAGAGGATCAAAGCGTGCGCCTTGGGGGTTTCGGCTGCATATGTGCGTCTGGGCGAGCGACACCAGGATGGAGCCTTCCCCATACACCCTGACATGGACATGACGTCGCTGCCCACGATACCGTTCCGGATCCAAAAATCGACGAGGCGACTTTCCTTGGGATCTCAGACTGTGACCAACGTGCACGGGACAAAGTGGATGGAAGAACTCAAGATGATGTGCGACACCGCCGAGGCGAAGCTCGCGTCGGGCGGGAAGGAGCTTCAGCGACCGGATATCGACCGAGGCACGAATGGCGAGGCGCCTCAGAAATTACATGAGGGCGATCTGTATCTCTGTTCCGAATCCTTGGACGCTCTAGAGGGCGCGCTCGGAGCAGTGTGTGACGCCGTTGACGCGGTATTTCGAGCCGATGGGCCTCGGCGAGCGTTTTGCGCGATCCGGCCGCCCGGACACCATTGCTCCGCATCACATCCATCCGGCTTCTGCTGGCTCAACAATGTCCACGTGGGTATCATGCACGCCATACTAAGCCACGGCTTGACGCATGCTGCCATCATCGACTTTGATCTGCACCATGGCGACGGGTCTCAGTCTATTGCCTGGGAGCACAACGCGAGGAGCGTCGGCCTGGCTAAGAACGCCGCTTGGTGGAAGAAGACGTCGATCGGTTATTTCAGTCTGCACGACATCAATTCATACCCCTGCGAGATGGGCGATGAGGACAAAGTCCGGAACGCGAGCATTTGTATCGAAAACGCGCACGGCCAGACCATATGGAACGTCCATTTGCAACCCTGGAAAACCGAAGCCGACTTCTGGCATCTTTACGAGTCTAAATACTCTGTCCTGCTCGAGAAGACGCGGGCTTTTCTCAAATCTCATAGCGAGCGGCTGCGCGCCTCGGGGCTGAACTCGAGAGCCGCCATTTTCCTCTCCGCAGGTTTCGATGCGAGCGAATGGGAGGGTGCTGGCATGCAGCGACACAATGTCAACGTACCAACGGAGTTCTATGCCCGGCTGGCTCGCGACGTGGTTCGGATTGCTGCGGAAGAAGGAACAAGCGTCGAGGGCCGTATCATCAGCGTGCTAGAAGGGGGCTATAGTGACCGTGCCCTCCGCTCAGGGGTTCTCAGCCACCTCTGTGGCCTCGCAGGAGATGGGCCCAGCAGCGGAGATCTGCAGTCTAGCGGCCTCGGTATTGAAGGTCAGAAAGCTGTCCCGCTACGTGCGCGAAAGGACTCTAGCGCGAGCGAACGGGGGGCTCGTAGATATGAGCCGTCTTGGTGGTCCAGTGTTGCACTGGAAGAGCTTGAGGCAGCCATGACGCCGCCGCCTGTAGTGCCCCCAAAGCCTCGCAACTGCACGCCGCCAACATATTCGTCTCCGACTCAAGCGTCAGCAGCGAAGGCAGTGATGCCTAAAAATCGTCGGAGCATGTCAAACCTGTCAGCTGCCGCCAGAAGCGAGTTGGGATCATACTCGTACTTCGCCCCATTACCTCCCCCGGATGTCCCATGGGCTGTTGCGGCGCTTGAGCTGAGCAAGCTGCTTATCCCAACGGAACGCCAGACAAATAGCTGCACGCACGAGGATCTCAACGCCGAGGCTACTCGGGCTCGACGCGACCGTCAATCTGCCTTGGTCCAGTCTTTACCTCCAGCTGCTGGGACAGCCGGCACAGGAGACCGGCCTTCGACTAGAATGGGGTTAAGAGAGCGCAAAGCGAAGCCGTCAGCTCTCGTCGAGGATGATGAGAACCGCAAGGGCAGACGCAAGACAGTTGCTGGGCCCTCGGTTCTTTCCACCGAGGCGGCATCCAACGGATCTCTCACCACCACCGAAAAGCAGCCTAGACATTCATGCCGGCGGCTTAGTGCGGCGTCGACTATTGTGTCTACGGCAGCCATGGATGCGGTGCCACCAGCTCCGCGAACTGCACCGATACGGAGCAGCTCGAAGGCAGACGTTACAGTCAGACCCGAGTCCTCCACAAGCGTCAGAACCGCTAATAGCAATGCTCTGAACGTGAAGAAGACGCGGGCTCCAGCTAAGAAGGAGCCGGTCCCGCGTGTCCCAAAGGTGGCCAAGAAACTTCCTGGTGCAACTAATGGAGCCGCAACCCAGCCAGTGCCCGCCGAAGGTTCTTCTAGTGCGCCTGCATCGGCCGAGAAGACAGGGGATGAGGTGGACAAGCTGACAAACGAAATGAGGAAGATCAAGATCACAGTCATCAACAGGGCTCAGCGAGAGGCTCGAGAACGGGAGCGTCTTGCCAGGGAGAAACTGTCAAAGGAAGAAACAATATCCGCGGCGCCGCCTCCAGCAGTGTGCAAACCACCCCCTCCGGAATCCACGTTTAGCCCCACCGCGGCCGAGCAATATCCCTCCCCGTCGCCCTCTCTAGCCCCATCTGCATCTTCCCCCCCGCCACAGTCCGTACTCCCGAGCCAACACCCCTCCACCCCCTCGTTAGAGTTCAACCAACCCCCGGCCTTCCTAACCACCCCACCGCCAACCACGGTTAACACCGACACCGACGCCGATTCCAGGCGTGTCATGTCGCCGCCGCCGCCATCGCAGCAGCAGCATGGGCAGGATATCCCGAGTAGTTCTTCCCCAGCCAGGGGAGGGAACAACAAGACTGTCGATGTCTTTGTCTCTTACCAACCGGAGGGTCCTGCCCCTGAGACCCTGCCTCTGCCCGCCCAACAGCCCCTCCAGTGGATGCCGCCTAGCTTGTCCGGGGCTGGTACGCCTGTTGTGTCGCCTGTTAAGAGGGACGATTTACCGGTTTTTAGCAGTACCGGGGTCATTCCCTTTGCTCCTTCCCCGGCCAAGGCCACTGCGAGGGATGGGACTCAGGGGAGGGAGAAGGACTTGGAGGGCGGGGTTGAACAGGGTTGAGATATTCTTCGGTTCAATTCCCTTCGCTTCGGCTGGGTCCGGCGAAGAGTAGGAATAAAAAGGGGGAGGGTAAAGTGAGGAAGGGATGATGGCTCGGGAGAAAGAGGGTGTGAAAGCATACCTCTTTGTCACAGCTCACTTCAATAAGAGCTGGGAGCTTGAGGTTGAAGCTTGTTGGTGATGTGGTTATCATTGAGATATACTAACTGTGTAATGGCTCTTGTTTTGTTATCGGCCCGGATGGGAGTACCACAATTAAGCTTGTGGTGATGGTGATTCTGAGCGGGCTCGACGGCTGGGATACCCCCTTTCTTCCTTCGTCTCACTGTTCTTGTAGTGTTTTCTTTTTACGTTTTGGTTCTTGCTGGCGGTTGCCAGATGAATCATGTTTGCTTGCTTGCTTGCGTAGCGGGTTGTCTTGTATTGTCTTCAAGTCTTACTAGCATCTTTATACGAATGGCAGGGCCCAGTGCATATTTCAGTGGCCAGTAAAAGTGTCATGTCGACTGGATGAGTCTGACCTACGAGGTAACTTAAGTGTTGTGTAATCAAACCCCGAACTGTACCCGGGTTGTCATGGCTTTCTGGACTGGTTTCAAAATACTCGTGGTTAAGAGTTAATCGTCAACAGCTACATTTCGTGTGGAGATTAACACGATCTGGCAATAGGCGAGATCTTGAGAGATGACTTGGAGATGCTTGCAGTATCTTTGAGAATGAGTAGAATGGAAGTACAGGTACCCCCTGAAATGGGGATTTCAGAAAAGGGGAGAGATCGGGACACGATCTTCGCTCCCCAACGAATCTTAAAAGTTTTACATCTACATGTAAGGGAGATGAGAGTCGACACACAAGCCAACCCAGGCATACTCAAGTTTTACGTCTAAGGGAGATGAGAGTTGAGACACGAGCCAATCCAAGCATACTTGAGGCACGATCCCTTTCGAGGTTGGTTGCAATTCTCTCTATCTATTCCGCCTAGTATATATAAAACAGACACCCAGCATCTGACATCTTGGTCATGTTAGCGGGGAGAAGACGATGGAGATCATGCAGGCTGCATACAAGAGTCGATGGGGCACATGTGGGTATGGATGAGGTCGCGTGTTCCCAACATTGAGCTGGATAGGGGGTCACGGTATTCCACCCATGCCACATACTCACACATGCCCAGGCTATGCAACTTTAACTTGAAACTGGTTGGGATTGGAATACCCTGTTCGACGATGCAACTCTTATGCTTTCTGTCATGCAGGAAGTTTTGTGGCCTAACATTCCGATGAATACTTATATCCCTTGGCGGCGAGGTAATCCAGGCCCCCCAGCATTTGCTCTACCACAGGACCGTGAGCTGGGCGCCGCCGGAAGGCTGTTCGATGCTCAGGGTCTCCAGGTTGGGGGCGGCTCGAAGGAGTCTGTCTAGTTTTTGGATGTTGACTTGGCGCGGGCCCCAGGGGTAAGGTCGCTCATTTGGATGCTGTTCGTAAGGGACTTCTAAGTCCTCCGGCGAATAACTGCAGAGTTATTGGAAAGGCTTTTGACAAGGGAAAGGGATGCCAAGTTTCCCTCACACTTCAGCATAAAGATCAGCGGACTGTCGGTGACTCGGAGTTTTGGGTGCTGTCGTAGCCTGACCCCTGACCCCTGACCCCTAGGGCTGCATCGCCAGGCTTGGGCGTCGAGACGTTAAGGCTCTCGAGGTTGTTCTGGAACGGCTTCCTTCGCCGGGCATCGACAAAACTCATCTGCTGGTTATATAGAGGAGGCCCCGGACATGGACCTCGATGGTGTAGGGGAATGGGAGGGTCGTTGGCGCCATTTTTACTATGAAAATGGGTGGTGGCTTGGATTGAACGATGAACCTCTGTAGAGTAAGAGAGGGTGCCTACTGCTACACTACACAGCCATTTCACTCTACCCGTAGGGGGTGAAAGTAGGAGGGGACACTTGACTTATTACCCCAAACTAGTGAAACTTACTACCACTATCGTTCAAGACGGTTTTGGTTCATGAAGCCGGTCTGTTTGCACGGCCTTATTCTGCCTCTTTTCCCTGCCTTGGTTCTTCGGCCCCTTGTTCCCCGGTTTGTAAACCTACAGTACGGAGGTAGGTAACTTGACATAAGCCAACGGAGGATCACTCAAGCCTAGAGTGGCTTCGAATAGCAGCTTGCTCGCAGAAGAGCACCAGTTGTTGCAAATTAATATCTCTTGTCTAAAGCTGCCTAGAGCCGACATCGCCGATATCATGTCTACATGCACATTAAAGCTATACGTAAAGAGCAAACATCTAATCTAGCAAACCAGTCCAACGCCGTAACTCAACGCATAATCATCATGCCGCTTCCACCCCATTGGCGACGTCGCCAATCACACCGTTAACCCCATTGACGCCATTAGTGCCATTGGCCACGGCGGTCGACAATGCACTGCCATCGTCCTGATACTTATCCCAGTTGGCCAGGATGTGGCCGATCTTGGGCGAGTTGGTCAGGCGGTAAACATCCTCAAAATACTCCTTTGTCAACGCGAAAGGCCTGGCCGTCACGTTGGGAATGTATTTGCCAATCAGCTTGGCAGGGTCGATGGTCGTCTTGTTGATCTTCTTCAGCAGGAAGCTTCTGAAGGGCTTGACACCAGAGCGCAAGAAGGTCGAGTGGAAAGGCACGTCAATGCCTTTCAGAGGAATCGTGGCGAATCCACGCTGGAGCTCCAGGGGCTTCGGCTTGGCCTCCGTCTCAGCAGCACACGCCCTGATCATCTCCACAAGCTTCTCCTTGACCATCTCGGGCTGGTACTCCTTGCGCATCTGCTCAATGTCGATCTTCATGGCCTTGAGATAGTTGGTAACCCCAGTCAGGGTGTCGAGCGCACGGAGATCACCGGCGCAGACGTACTGCATGTTGGCAATGTTATAGTTGACAATCTCGAGCAACCAGCCCGTCGTCTCGGCGACGGCGCTGACCACGAAACGCAAAGCCTCTTCATTGAACGTCTTGTTGATGCGGCTGGGATTCACAGCGCACATGCTGTAGTTGGATCGGCCGGATGCATCACGCTCGACAGCAACCTGCATGGTCAAGCCGCGATAGAACACGACCGACACCAGAGACTCAATGGGCATGACATCGGCAAGGGCGGCCAATGCCGAGTACTCGCCGAGAGAATGGCCCGCAAAGGTGCTATCACGAGGGACAAGCCCTTTGGCCTTCATGTCCTCAAAGCTTGCCTTCTCCATCAGCGTCAGGGCAGGCTGGGTGAACTGGGTAGCTGAGAGCAGGCCGCTGGGCGAGCGATAGGTGTAGGATGTGGTCTTCTCGTTAATCTCCTTGAAGATGCGCTCCGACTTGATGGAGCCGTCGGCGGCCACCGTCTCGAAGGTCATGGCCATGTAGTTCTGCCGGATAGCTTTGCCACGCGGACCACCAAAGTGAATGGTGAGCTCCTTCGGGTTGTTTCTGACAATGTTTGTGATTGCGAAGCCTGTTCTCGTGTTAGGATGGGTGGCACAACTAGGAATCCAAGGAGCTTACCATAAGTATCCATCAAATACTTGTCCGCACGATCCCACACTTCCTTGGCGACCGGACTGCTGGCATACAGGTCCATTCCCATGCCTTGCTCCTGAGAGCCTTGGCCCGTGAAGACATAAGCGGTAACGGGCTGCTCGATTTCCGCCTCACCAAGAAGCACCTTCTCCTCCGTTTCCTTGTTACTAGCCTCGACTTTGATGATCTTGCGGCCGGCTACCATGCCGACATGCTGCAGCTTCACGTTGAGATCATCATTTGGTAGCACCATGCCGGTGAGGGAGGCGTGGAAACTCCGGACGCGACCAATCTTGTTCTCTGCAGCCCAAGTCTCTACCAAGCTTCGCACGGCAGCGCTGGAGTACATGCCGTGCGTGATGGTACCGGGGAGGTTGGCATAGGCTGCAAAGACGCGCGACACATGGATGGGATTGTAGTCGCCCGAGACACGCGCATACGTTTCATTGGAAGCGGGCGCTCGGAGCTGGAGAGGCGTCTTGCCGCTGAGGGGAATGGGGTTCTCGAAATTGACGGGCTGCTCAATGGACGAGCCGTGACGTTGGAGGTAGTCAATGACTGGGTTTCCGTGCGACTCGCCAGCCTCGTACTCGACCGTGGCGACTTGAATAATCTCCTTGGTGGGCAGTTCGACAAGGACTTGACCCCGTGTCTCAACATGGCTGAAGACGGTCCTGTTCTTGAACCGGACAAGGCTCTGCAGACGGAAGGTCAAGGTCTGACCAAGCAGCTCAATCTCGGGCGTGGCGAGATCGTCGAGGACAAACCATTGCTTAGAGCGGAGAACAGCGACATCCTTGGTCGTCGAGAGGTGAACCTGCATGGGCGTCTCAACTTTGCGTTGGAAGGTATTCTCAAAGTCGGTGTAGACTCCGCGGTAGAGGAACTGGGATGTGACCTCCATCACAGCTTCGCCATCGCGGGTAATGGTACCGCAAACCTCAACCATCTTCCCGGATTCCTGGTTGATGACGGCGTTGATCTGCGCGGTGGTATGGACCTCGTCGCCCTTCTTCAGAGGCTCAGCGCCAGGCATCATGCGGAACTCATTGGACAAGTGAACGAGCTTGAGGAGATCACCATCAATGGTGCGTGGGAAGATTGGCTTTGTGATCGCCTTCCAGCCGACCACAATGGCGAAGTCCATGGGGGCATACATGATCTTCTCCGGGCGGTCGACGAAGGCCTCGCCCGTGTTGCCGACGGCATGGACGAATTCGTTGATCGCCTCGCTCGTTATGACACTCTTGCCACCATCAAACTTGCTGGCGACGGGGGCATCAAGGTCGAGTTCATCATCCCCGAACCATGCACGCCAGTAGAACTCCTTGATCCGGTCATTGCGGCCGTCCATGATTTCGTGGATGGGCGCGTAGCCAGCCTCAGGGCGGTATGTGAAACGAAGCGGGAGGGCAATAGGCTTGCCAAGAGCAGTCGTATCCTTGATCATGTTGACCACAATCTCATTCTCACCAACGAGCTTGACCTCAATGACCTCGACGTAGCGGTTGTGGCGAGGCTGCTCCTTAACCACAATCACCGTCTTGGCGGGGTCATTGGGGTTGAGGATCTCAACAAACAGACCGCGAGTGGGTGCGAATATCCTCTTCATGGGGTTGGTCTGGTACTTTTGGCCTTGAACGATCACATCCGACTGGAGGAGCGCGTAGCGCCAGTTCCGCTTCGAGCCTGCCAGGAGCGAAATCCAGGACTCAAGCGACGGCAGCTGGGCCGACGGCGAAGAAGACAAACGGTATGTGTTCTTCGTCTCGTCCGTGAAGACGGTCAGGCCATCCACATCCAACGGAATTTCACTCTCGATAAGCTTTCCACCAAAGAACTCGACAGTAGGGATCTTGGAGGCATCGCCGCCGTACAAATCACGGGTCAAGCCCTCGATGTGGCCGTTGTGGATGCCATCGAGAATGTCCTTGATGGGCTCGTCAACTTTGGTTGAGTGCTTCGCGGCCATGGGCCCCTGGAGAATGCAGGTTCTGCCGACATCCTTGTCAATGACGGCTGCGAGGTCTTCCGACTGCCACAGAGAATCCTTTTTGAAAAAGAATTCGAAGTTCTCGTCGAGCGCCGGGACGAAAGTGACTGGTTTCTGCCCACGCCGCTGGCAAAGGAGCAGGAAATGCTGAACATCCTGCGCGTTGATGAGCTGCGTCTCGGCCTCGGGGTAGTGAGACAGAATGCGATCAACGGCGGTGTATGGTTCGTCGAGGTCAGCGTAGCTTTGAATGTGGGACGGCTGGCCAGAAGTCGTTGTGAATCGCTCCTCGATACGGTGGATGAAGTCGGCGGTGAGCTTGGCGAAAGAGGGATCGATCCAGCGAGCTTCGTCCTTGACGTAAAGAAGCTCGACCATCCGGCGCACTACCTCGCCATAAGTCATATCTTCAAGGTCGACGGCCTTGCCCTCCTTGTTCTGACCGAACCAGACCTTCTGGAAGTCGGCGTTGAGCTTCTTGATGATGTAGTCACGGTTCTTTTTCAGCTCGGGCACACGTTTCTCCTTTGGCAAGCTGAAAATCTTCTGATCCATCTCGGCCCAAAAGAGGACACCGCGCGTTGCAAGCTTGTGAATCGGCTCACCCATCTCGGACTTGACGGTAATCACGCCGCCAGCGGGACCCTTGTAGGTCTTCTCCCATTCGCTGTCGTCAAGACCCGGGGCATCGACAATAGCTTGCTTGGCAGCCTTGCTCGTGTGCGCCTCCTTGGCAACCATCATGCGGCTGCCAAACAAGCAGCCGTCGTAGGGCATTGGGGGATAGCCGTACTTGGTTGACCACGCGCCGGTAAGGTAAGGATACGTGTCGTCGGCACCGCCAAACCCGCTACCAGCAACGAGTATGATGTTCTCTTGTCGGCGGATGCGGCTGTACATGGCAAGAATCGGTGCGTGGAAGTCTTCATAGGAGTGGTGGCCACCTCCTCTACCGCCAGTCCACTGCAGGATGACCGGGAAATTGGGATTGGCTTTGGCGATATTGATGACCGCTTGGATAGCTTCGCTTGAACCGGGCTTGAATGAGATGTGCTTCAGTCCAAGTGTCTCGATGTACTCCTGAGCGACCTCAATCGACGGAACGCCGGCGCCGATGGTCAGGCCCTCGATCGGCACACCCTCGGCTCTGAGCCTGCCGAGTAACGGGATTTGCCAAGCCATGGCACGGGGGTTGACGTAGATAAGATTGACACTGATGCCTCGACCGGGAGGAATGGCCTTCTCAATCTTCGAGATGGCTTCGGTCATGGTCTTTGCGTTGTAGTAGCCGCCACCCGCTAGCTCAATCTGATAGCCGGCGTTCATTGTCGCGGCTACGAAGTCCCACGGGACAGTGGCAGGCGTCATCCCGGCCACAAGAAGAGGCGGCAGGCCAAGCAGTCTGCTCATCTTGGTATCGACGTACGTACGACCGCTAGAAGTCTTGACGAGTCTAGGGCCGTATTCTTTGACCCAATCGACAGCGTATTTGACGGCATGTTCCTCATCCCGATCAAAAAGCTCGGACTTGTACCCGACTTCGGTCACCGTACCGCTCACTGACCCTGCCAGGATGACGCGAACACCAGTGCCGTCCTTGTTTCTGCTGGTCAAGACGCCAAGTCCCGAAATGCCTCCCGGGCCAAAGTCGAGAATGTGCGTCGCCCCGCGAAAGACGGTGGCCTTCTCCCAATTGACAGGGTCGCTCGTAATCATGCGAATCAGGGCGGGGACCACGTTTCCAGTCATCTCCTCCCGGATGTCCACGCCAGTATTAGTGTTGTAGACGGGAATTCCCAGGCTCTTGACGTCAATGGAAATGTCCTTGAGGTCCTCAGCAATCAGCCCCCTGGCCTCCTCGAGATACTTGCTGTGGAACGGCGCAGTAATCGGCAGGAACCGATTCACGAAGCGAATCTTCCTCTCAGTGTAGGGGATCCTGGTCTGGTCAATGCCAGTGGCAGCCTTGACCTTCCTCAGCTGAGCATTGAGACCACAAAGTGACCTTGGGGGCCCAGCGACAACCAGGTTTCGCGGGCTGTTGATTAGGGAGATGGAGATGTGCTGGTCCTCGGGAAGGTACTGGTTGGTCTGGTTGATGTGTTTCTGGACTTCTGCCTGGGGGAGATCCCGAATGCTCAGCATTGGGGTTGGGGTGCCCTCTCCGTTGTCGATGGCATCCTGGAGCATGGATGGTGACATGGATGTCTTGGGGAACGTTTGTTGGCTGCGCGCTCCGATCCAGAAGAGGATGGTCAAGGCAGACTTGGCCATCTTCTCGAACGACTCCCATGAATCTGCAGCTGCTGTGACGGCAGCAAGGACAATGCCTTGCGAATGCCCTGTCGTCCCGCTGATTCTCTCACGCAGAATGCCGGGATGGAGACCCAGGGTCTTGCATGTAACTTGGTAATGCGCGAGCTGCACGAGACCAATCAGGGGGAAACTGACGGGTGCCGAAATTAGGTAGTCGACGTCCGGTGTAGCATCCGGATTGTGGAGCCAGTTCATGATGTCCAAGCCCTTGGAGTAGAGCTTCTCAGCACTTGGGTGCGAAGACAGCGTCTGAAGAAGCTCCGCCGAAGACAGGATGAGCTCCCCAACAAAGGAAGGGTACGTCTTGTGAAGCTCCCGGAGCTCCTCGAAATACTCTTCGATGTTGCCCTGGCCGCCAAAGATGTTGTAAAGCTTGGCGGCTCCCTCGTCAGCCGCTCGGAACAAGGCCGATTGATGCGCCTTCATGGGCCTGTTCGATGCCGCCCGAGCAGCAAAGTAGCTGCGAATGACCTCTAGCTTCTTAGCATCGATGCCAGGAAGCGTTGCAACCAGGGCATGGACATCATTGCCCCTGAGGAAGGCTCGTTCAAATTCGTTCAGGACGAGCTTGAGCACTTCCTCATACGATCCTTGAGCGTCATCCTCGCCCTGAGCCACCTCGTTGGCGATGTAGCCCATGTATCTCGCAACGAGCTCGGCAACGGAAGAGGGTTCGTCATCTTGTGCGAGTTCGTCGGTGGGACTCGGCAGACTCGCGGTAAAACTCTCCTTCAATCGCGAGGCGTGGAAGTGGAGATTGGTAGGTATTAAGAAGGAGGTTTCGAGAGAACCGTGAGAGAGAGTGAGCGGGCGGAGTGATGTTGACGACCTGGGTGTAACGGCGCCCGTCTGAGGGCCGGTTCCAGTACCGTACATTATGAGAAGGGGTATCTGAAGGATATGATGCCACTTCTGGGCAGAACAATGTTAGCTTCTCGCTCTGCTTAGGCCCGACCGACCAGTTGGGAGTTTTAAAGGAGAGACGAACCAGGCGCGTAAATCGAGCGGCACTTTGGCAAACGAATGTCTACTGAGACCCTCTTCGGCAACAAGGGCAGAAGTGCGTGGTAGTGGAGGGGCTCTGGAATGGAATCTGCCCTAGGATTGGATCTCCCTGAAGGTTGAAGGGAACTGCACGTTCTATGAAGGGGTCCTGAGGGATGGAAGAGAATGCAGTCAAAGAACGTTGCAAGGCGACAGTGTTTTGGACCCTTAGGATGTATTTCTCCAGCACGGTCTGATGGGGATGGACTGACGACAGTGTCCGCGTGCTGGGGAATGCAACTGGGAGTATGGGCCGCAATGTGATATGGCTCAACATAAAATTACAGTTTCCCAAATCAACCTTGACGACAAGCAGCTTCCTCGTTGCTCGCCAAAATTTTTGGATCTTGTTGGGGAAAGCTGCGATGCGACGACGCAACTCTCACCCTACCAGATAGTTGAACAGGTGTAACGTGAGTAACCTCCCATGATGCTTGCACGGCAGCTAGAAAGCATGTATATCAGTTAAGGTGATACGAGCGTGGCCAGCCAGTGCATCCGAATGTACGGACGGCAACCCCACCTGTCAGGGGAAGCCAAGGGATCCACAAGGGCCCAAAGTACCGATACATGGTTGATCTGGCCTATCGAAGACCGGAAGCCCAGATACGTAGACGAAAAACTATCAGTTTCCCCCAACCTCGGGCAGAGGGAAGTGGCAATGGCCGATTACCTGATGAAAATGACTGTCTTCCGAAGGTTCATTCTAGACTTGCACGTTTTTTCATGGTGGCAATGCCTCTGAGTTGTCGATGTAGTGCAATTCGATGTACTCTACTCCGTACGGCGGGGCACGACATTCGAAAACCTGGAACAGACGGGACTCTGAAAAGGGATGAACCAGTGGGCAAACAGAGAGATTCTGCTGGCTGTTCAAGCTCCTATTCGTTGATGTGTCCTTCTGGGATTCGTCTTTGCAGATGGCTAGGAGATTGAACTGAGTGCCTTCCGGGTCACTCCGCACTACGTATTAGCAGACTTGAGCCTCTTCCTTGTTGAGTGCATGGGCTGGACAAGGAGCATCTACGGATAGACTCGGAGTTGGGCCATCTGAGAATCCTGGACACGACTTAGATGACGACATAACGGCCTTTATCACTAATCTCAAAAAGCGACTGTTATGACCAGGCATGAGTGTAGCTTTCGTTCTGGGTTTGACACATTCAGCAACCAGCCGCCACCAAGGTGGGAACAGACGTATCGAGACTTCCGGATCCACGGAAGGAAAGCCCTGGGGAAAAGGCATACATGGCGCTAGTCCTGTTGTGGTTAGGCTGTACGTTTGGTTGAGGAGCTTGCCGCGAGCTGCACTTGCCGTGACAGGGGTTGCTAAGCCCAAAATTCATTCAACAGTTGCAACGTGAACGACGCGGCAGCTGCCAATTTTTGCGGTTTGCCCCTGCTCCGTGGTTAAACAACATTGCATCCATCATTCCAGTCGTTCTGTCCCCCTCACAACGTATAGAATTCCCTTGTCTGACCCGGGCCATTCTCCCTTGCGGCTTAATCACAGTTCAACTGGTGTTCATCTGTTCTCTTCAACTTTCGCGACGACCCGCACCAATACAAACGCCCAGTTCAACTCAGGGAGTTGATGCTTCTTAGGAGATACCCATAAACCTCTTTTAATCAAATTCTCCTGTTTCCTTGCTGGCCAGTAAGAACGGGGTCCTACGGCAGTAACAAAAATGCGTCCCGAAGTCGAGCAGGAGCTTGCCCACACGCTCCTTGTGGAGCTCCTTGCATACCAGTTCGCCTCGCCAGTAAGGTGGATTGAGACCCAAGATGTTTTCCTGGCAGAGCAGACCGCCGAGCGCATTGTCGAGATTGGCCCCGCGGACACGCTAGGCGTCATGGCTAAGAGGACGCTGGCTTCAAAGTATGAAGCATACGACGCTGCCAAGTCGGTCCAGAGACAGATTCTTTGCTACAACAAGGACGCCAAAGAGATCTACTACGACGTTGATCCGGTGGAGGAGGAACCCGAGCCGGCCGCGTCCGAAGCGGGCCCTTCGAGCGCCTCCGCGGCTCCAGTTTCCGCAGCTCCAGTTGCCGCAGCTCCAGCCGCAGCTGCCGCCCCAGCAGCAAGCGCCGGCCCTGCCGCGCAGGTTCCGGATGCGCCTGTCCAGGCCGTTGATATTGTACGGTCATTGGTGGCGCAGAAGCTGAAGAAGCCTCTGCAGGACATTCCTCTCAGCAAAGCCATTAAAGATTTGGTTGGCGGTATGTGTATGCCTCTGCCGGGTCTCTAGACATGATGCTAACGGCGGCCTCTGTAGGCAAATCAACACTCCAAAATGAGATTCTCGGCGATCTGGGCAAAGAATTTGGGTCGACGCCCGAGAGACCCGAAGATACCCCCTTGGACGAACTCGGTGCCGCCATGCAGGCCACATTCGACGGAAACCTAGGCAAGACTTCACAGGGTCTCATTGCTCGTCTCATTTCGTCAAAGATGCCCGGCGGTTTCAATATCACGACGGCAAGAAAATACCTGGAGACCAGATGGGGGCTGGGCTCGGGAAGGCAGGATGGCGTGCTCCTGCTCGCCATTACCATGGAGCCGCCCGCCCGTCTCGGATCCGAGGCGGATGCGAAGGCCTTTCTCGACGATGTCTCGCAGAAATATGCCTCTATCGCCGGCGTCAGCTTGTCGACCGCCGCTGCGGCTGGTCCGGCTGCCGGTGCTGGCGGCGGCATGATGATGGATCCCGCCGCCATCGAGGCGCTGACAAGCGACCAAAAAGCCCTATTCAAGCAGCAACTGGAACTCATTGCCAGGTACCTCAAGATGGACATTCGTGCGGGAGACAAGGCCTTCCAGGCCTCGCAGGAGTCGGCCAAGGTTCTCCAGTCTCAGCTCGATTTATGGATGGCAGAACACGGCGACTTCTACGCCTCTGGAATTGAACCTGTTTTCAGCTCCCTCAAGGCACGTGTCTACGACTCTTCGTGGAACTGGGCCCGCCAGGACGCCCTGAGCATGTACTACGACATCATCTTCGGCCGACTGAAGGCTGTCGACCGTGAAATCGTGAGCCAATGCATTCGAATCATGAACCGGTCCAATCCCACGCTGCTCGAGTTCATGCAATACCATATCGACAACTGCCCGACTGAACGCGGAGAGACATACCAGCTGGCCAAGGAGCTTGGTGCCCAGCTCATACAGAACTGCAAGGATGTGCTCACAGCGGATCCTGTGTACAAAGATGTCGCCATCCCAACTGGACCCCGAACCACCATTGACGCCCGTGGCAACCTCAAGTATGAGGAAGTCCCGCGCGCCAGCTGCCGCAAGCTTGAGCACTATGTGCAGCAGATGGCTGAGGGCGGCAAGATCTCGGAATACGGGAACCGTACAAAGGTTCAGAACGATCTGTCCAAGATTTACAAGCTCATCAAGCAACAGCACAAGCTCCCGAAGACGTCGCAGCTCGAGATCAAGACGTTGTACGGAGAGATCATCCGGTCGCTGTCAATGAACGAGAGCCAGATCATTCCCAAAGAGAACGGCAAGAGCAACGGGGTGCTCAAGAAGGTCAAGCCCAAAGGAAAGACTGAGACCATTCCATTCCTTCATCTCCGCAAAAAGACACAGCATGGTTGGGATTACAGCAAGAGGCTTACCAGCACATACCTAGACTGCCTTGAACAGGCAGCTAGGGACGGTGTTACCTTTAGCGGCAAATACGTCCTCATGACGGGCGCCGGTGCTGGTTCGATCGGCGCCGAGGTACTCCAGGGTCTCATCAGCGGTGGTGCAAAGGTTGTTGTAACCACGAGCCGCTTCTCCCGCGAGGTTACCGAGTACTACCAGTCCATGTATGCCCGCTATGGCTCGCGCGGCTCCCAGCTCGTGGTGGTCCCCTTCAATCAAGGCAGCGTCCAAGACATCAACGCCCTGGTCGATTACATTTACGATCCCAAGAACGGCCTTGGCTGGGATCTCGACCACATCGTCCCCTTTGCTGCGATTTCCGAGCAAGGCCGTCAGATTGACGGGATTGACTCCAAGTCCGAGTTGGCTCATCGTATCTTGCTGACCAACCTCATCCGTCTCCTCGGCTGCGTCAAGACGCAAAAGGCTACGCGCGGTTTCGAGACGCGTCCTGCCCAGGTCATCCTCCCCCTTTCGCCTAACCACGGAACCTTCGGCTTTGACGGTTTGTACTCCGAGTCCAAACTCGGCCTCGAGACCCTCTTCAACCGGTGGTATTCTGAGGAGTGGGCCAACTACTTGACGATTTGCGGTGCCATTATCGGTTGGACTCGTGGTACAGGTCTGATGTCTGGGAACAACATCGTGGCCGAGGCCATTGAGAGTTTCGGCGTCCGCACGTTCTCGCAGCAGGAGATGGCTTTCAACCTGCTCGGCCTAATGTCCCCGACAATTGTCGATCTCTGCCAAAACGAGCCAGTGTTTGCTGATCTGAACGGCGGCCTTCAGTTCATTCCCAACCTCAACGAGGCCATGACGAGAGAACGCAAGTCACTAACCGAGACCAGCGAGATCCGCCGGGCTGTTACGAAGGAGACTGCTGTTGAGAACAAGATTGTCAATGGCGAGGACTCGGAAGCTCTTTATAAGAAAAAGGTTATCGAGCCCCGAGCCAACATTAGATTCGATTTCCCCCCGCTTCCTGACTGGAAGTCGGACATTGCTCCCCTCAATGAGAATCTCAAGGGCATGGTCGACCTCGAGAAGGTTGTTGTTGTCACGGGCTTTGCCGAAGTCGGACCTTGGGGCAACTCAAGGACCAGATGGGAAATGGAGGCGTACGGCGAGTTCTCACTTGAGGGCTGCATCGAGATGGCCTGGATCATGGGTCTCATCAAGAACCACAATGGGCCGATCAAGGGGAAGCCGTACTCTGGCTGGGTGGATGCCAAGACAGGCGAGCCCGTCGACGACAAGGACATCAAGCCCAAGTATGAGAAGTACATCCTGGAGCACTCTGGTATCCGTCTTATTGAACCTGAGCTTTTCGATGGTTACGACCCGAACAAGAAGCAGCTGCTCCACGAGGTTGTCATCGAGGAGGATCTGGATCCCTTCCAGGCCTCCAAGGACACGGCAGAGGAGTTCAAGCGCGAGCACGGCGACAAGGTGGAAATCTTCGAGATTCCTGAGACTGGCGAGTATACCGTCCGTCTGAAGAAGGGTGCATCTCTCTGGATTCCCAAGGCGCTGAGGTTCGACCGTCTGGTTGCCGGCCAAATCCCGACTGGCTGGGATGCCAAGCGCTACGGCATACCTGACGACATCATCTCCCAGGTTGATCCGGTGGCTTTGTTCGTTCTCGTTTCGACGGTTGAGGCGCTTTTGTCTGCCGGTATCACGGATCCGTACGAGTTCTACAAGTATGTCCATGTTTCCGAAGTGGGCAACTGTGTGGGCTCCGGTATGGGTGGCACGGCAGCCCTCCGTGGCATGCACCGTGACCGCTTCCTTGACAAGCCGCTCCAGAACGACATTTTGCAGGAATCGTTCATCAACACCATGGCCGCTTGGGTGAACATGCTGCTCATTTCGTCCTCCGGTCCGATCAAGACTCCTGTGGGTGCTTGCGCTACAGCAGTCGAGTCCATCGATATCGGTTACGAGACCATCATGGAGGGCAAGGCCCGCGTTTGCTTTGTGGGTGGCTTCGACGACTTTGGCGAGGAAGGTTCATACGAGTTCGCCAACATGAAAGCGACCAGCAATGCCGTTGACGAATTTGCGCACGGTCGGACGCCCAGGGAGATGTCCAGGCCCACTACAACCACCCGAAACGGGTTCATGGAGTCCCAAGGCTGCGGTATCCAGGTGATCATGACTGCTAAGCTCGCCCTGGAGATGGGCGTTCCGATTTACGGCATTCTCGCACTCACCACCACTGCCTCGGATAAGATTGGCCGATCGGTGCCCGCACCTGGCCAAGGTGTACTGACGACGGCCCGGGAGCATACCGGCAAGATTGCATCCCCTCTGCTCGACATGAAATACAGGCGGCGACAGATTGAGCGCCGAACCAGACAGATCCAGGACGATAAGGAGGCAGAGCTCCAATACCTGGCCGACGAAGCTGAGGCGCTTAAGGCTGAGGGTCGGTCGCAGACAGAGATTGAGGAGTACGTTGCGGAGCGCGCAAGGCACGTTGAGAAAGAGGCCGAGCGGCAGACCAAGGAAGTTTTGCGCAGTTACGGCAACAACTTCTGGAAGAGCGACCCGAGCATCGCTCCCCTGCGCGGCGCGCTGGCTACGTGGGGTCTCACAATCGACGATCTCGGTGTGGCATCGTTCCACGGAACCTCAACCAAGGCCAACGACAAGAACGAGTCGTCAGTTATCTGCCAACAGCTCGCTCACCTTGGCCGCAAGAAGGGCAATGCCGTCCTGGGTATCTTCCAGAAGTATCTCACGGGCCACCCCAAGGGTGCTGCTGGTGCCTGGATGATGAACGGCTGCTTACAAGTCCTCAACACCGGCCTCGTCCCAGGCAATCGCAATGCCGACAACGTAGACCAGGTGATGGAGAAGTTCGACTACATTGTGTACCCAAGCCGCAGCATCCAGACAGATGGCGTGAAGGCCTTCTCTGTCACGTCGTTCGGTTTCGGTCAGAAGGGCGCTCAGGCCATTGGCGTGCACCCCAAGTACCTCTTTGCCACTCTCGACGAGCAGACGTTCAATGAGTACCGGGTCAAGGTCGAGGCTCGGCAGAAGAAGGCCTATCGCTACTTCCACAACGGCATGATCAACAACACCCTCTTTGTCGCCAAGGACAAGTCGCCATACACGGACGAGCAGCTGAGTGCTGTTCTCCTGAACCCAGATGCGCGGGTTACGGAAGATAAGAAGACTGGGCTCCTCACATTTCCGTCCGACTTTATGAAACTGTCAGAGAAGACTCCGACTGTCTCGGAACGCAAAGCGACGCTGGAGTCAGTCGTCAACCGGGAGGCACGGCGGCTGGAGAACATGAACACGCGCGTCGGCTTCGACGTCGAGGACATCTCGTCTATCAACGTTGACAATGACACGTTCCTGGAACGCAACTTCACCGAGGCCGAGGTGAAGTACTGCCTCGCGTCGGCCACGGGCCGATCCCCGCAGAAGGCTTTTGCCGGGCGGTGGAGTGCAAAGGAGGCCGTCTTCAAGGCGTTAGGCGTTGCGAGCCAGGGCGCCGGCGCGGCGCTGAGGGACATTGAGATCTCGACGGACCAGAATGGTGCGCCGCAAGTCAAGGTATGTCAATCCCTGGGACAAGCATATGAAGCGGCATCGTCTAACGAGTGATTTACAGCTCCATGGCGCGGCCCTTCAGGCGGCAGAAAGGGCGGGGATTAAGAAGGTTAATGTTTCCATTTCGTATACGGACAGCCATGCCGCTGCCATTGCCACAGCGCTGTTGTAGAATGTTATCGAGAGGACTGTAGGGGCGTTCAGTGCGGTAGAGCATGTCTTTTTGGCGGACGTGTATCGATTTTATGTTATAGATCAGGCGAGATCCGAGGTTGATGCGCTCTAGATCCCTAGACTACCTTAATTGCTAGACCTTGCTGGTCTGTTATGCTTTACTTGCAGCTGTTCCGTTATCTGTGTGCTGTGGGTTATTGATGAGTGCTCCCCAGGTGCGCTGCCACGGAATTGAGATCCCACGCGGACTTGATCAACCCTATTCGTATCTCTGCGCTGATTGCCGCACATGAACTGGGATTCCAACTTCTCGGCGGGTGCCGGGTGCCGGCGCTGGCCGAGGATCTGGAGGGATGAGGGGCGGCTCCGCTGTGCCAAGAGCGGGAGGGCGGCGTATCCGGCCGTGATTGCCCTGTGCTCCGTGGGTTTCCCCGGGGTTCGGCGGGGGTGGGGAACTGCTAAATAGGGATTGATCATGGGACTGATAAGCACGCCTTACCAGGTGCAACCATCTCCCTAGCCGTCCAAGGTTGAGTTAAATACCTTAAAAGGGGTTTACATTCTGTCCATTGATGCTTTAAATGGTGCGTTTCTTTTAATATTATGAAGACACGTGCTGTGAGGAATTGGACCTTCATTTTCACTGTCTGGAGATCTTTTTCCGTCGGTCTTCACCAGTCGATTTGTTTGCTCCTGCCTCCAGTTTAGGGAGGCGCAGTTCTGTGCGCTCGCTCATTTGCAAATTGCAACAACTGCAACAACAGCAAGGCTGAAGCCTGAAACAGGTAAACTACCTACTTGCCTACCTTACGTACGTTGATGGCTGAGGAGGGAAACTGAATGGATTACATTGGCTAGGTAAGGTGATGGGATTTGAAGTTTCGGCTTCAGGCTTGACTTTCTTCCTGAGCTGACGTGACACTGACTGTCTACTGCTCACCAGGCCCCAGTTGAATCAATTCGTGTCTGAATTAGCCTTCAGTTTAGTTCGTTCCCAGTGGACTTCAGAGAAGGCGTGGAGCAGGTGAGTGCGACTCCTCGAGACTGGAGATAAAGTCACGGTGTTACTCCCCAGTACTTACCAGATGTATATAGCTGTCGATTGATTTAGGTACATTGGCTGCGCTATACCCAGCCTCCAGCTGTTGTCTCGGGAATTGGTTGATCTCTTTCTCAACCAGAGCTCAGATTACCCGCGTGATTGTGGTCAATCAGCAGAATGGCGAGCAAGAATCAACTTTTCCTCGGCCTGTTCGTGCACAGCAAGGCGCTCGACGAGCTGGAGTATCTACATAACACAGCCGTGTGTGTGGACAAGTCCGGGACTATTGTGGCTGTCGAGAGTGAGTGCGACGAGGCGAGGGCAAGAGAGACCCTGTTCCCGCGGCTGGGGTGGGAGCCCAACGAGGTGGATGTTGTCTGCGCAAGGGAAGGGCAGTTTTTCTTTCCCGGATTCATTGGTGAGTGTGCAATCATCTGTCGCTAAGCAGCTGAAAAGGGGTAGATGGGGACTAGAGCACTAACCAACCGCAAGACACGCACCTCCATGCCTCACAATACCCCAACGTCGGCATCTTCGGCAACTCGACCCTCCTCGACTGGCTCAACACGTACACTTTCCCCATGGAAGCCTCCCTCGCGAACCTGGCCAAAGCCCGCCGCGTCTACACGCGCGTCATCCGCAAGACGCTGTCCCACGGCACCACCTGCGCCGCCTACTACGCCACCGTCGACGTCCCCTCGACCAACCTCCTCGCCGACTTGTGCTTTTCCCACGGCCAGCGCGCCCTGGTCGGCCGCGTGTGCATGGACCAGCTCTCGCCCGACTACTACCGCGACGCGTCGCCACGGGACTCGGTCGCCGCCACGGAACAGTCCATCGCCCACATCCGCGCGCTCGACCCGGACTCGCACATGGACATGTCCAGGGCTCTCGTGCGGCCCGTCATCACCCCGCGCTTCGCGCCCTCGTGCTCGGCCGAGCTGCTGCGCTCGCTCGGCGACCTCGCTGCGGAGACTAACCTGCCGATCCAGACGCACATCAGCGAGAATAAGCCCGAGATTGAGCTTGTCGCAAAACTCTTCCCCGAACACGAGAGTTATGCAGCCGTCTACGATGCGACCGGCTTGCTCACGGACCGCACCATCCTCGCCCATGCCGTGCATCTCACAGAAAAGGAAGCCGACCTCGTCGCCCAGCGCGGCGCGAAAGTAAGCCATTGCCCCTGCAGCAACTCGGCGCTGACCAGCGGCGCGTGTCCCGTGCGCTGGTTGCTGGCTAAGGGGGTGGTATGCGGTCTGGGAACGGACATGAGCGGGGGGTACAGCCCCAGCGTGCTGGAGGCGGCGAGGCAGGCTGTGTTGGTTAGCAGGCATGTTGCTATGGGCGGTGGTGGGGATGGGGACAAGCTAGGCGTGGAGGAGGTGCTGTACCTTGCGACGAGGGGCGGGGCTGAGGTGGTCGGCTTGAGGGGTAAGGTTGGCGGGTTCGAGGTCGGGATGGAGTGGGACGCGCAGTTGATTGGGTTGGGCATGGTTGCGGATGACGGGGAGGACAGAGCACAACAGGGAGAGGGACAAGGTGGGGGTGAAGATGATGGGGATGTGGATGTCTTTGGGTGGGAGAGCTGGCCTGAGAGGATTGCGAAATGGGTGTTTAACGGGGACGATCGGAATACGAAGAAGGTCTGGGTCCGTGGCCGGCTGGTGCATCAACGGAAGGGGGAGTGGTAACGTTTAGTACTTTAGATGATCTTGCGTTGACCGGCATCTCAGCGTTTGTGTCGCTTCTGGATTGGGGGAGGGAGTGGTTGGGACTTTTATTAGACGGGAGAGATATCCCCTCTGGGCACGCATTCTTGTAGAGATGTAGACGATTGACTCTGCCGACAGTGGCATGAGATCAGCTCTCAGGACAAAATAGAGAACACACGAAGGTCAAGTTTAAAGCAGCAATGGACCGACCGTGATCCTTTCTATATGTTCCTGGATTCATCATAGATTAGATTTTAAGAGGAATTCGGCAGAAACCCCGTTATCAACTGGAGGAACCGCCCTCACAAAGGAGGGGATGAGCAAGACAAGAATGATGAAGCGGGCCGAGTGTGAATAATACCAGTACTAATGGAGGGAGGTATATAGGAAACTTTAGTTGGTAGGTCCTCAACAAGGAACTGCTAGGGTTCAACGGCGTTGTGGCGTAGTGGTTCCAGCGCAGGGTTGAGAAAACACCTGGACGGCCTCTGGTCGACGGGTGTTACAGTCCCAGACTGCTGTCTAGGCTCATACCCTCCTTTAGGGCTGGGGGGTTCGATTCTCGATCAATCACGAATTTTTATTTTTGTTTAACCCTTCTTGTTTTTCTCTGCTTCTTAGATATTTCTTATTTGTCTTCTTTATTGTCTGAAGAAACTGTTAGACTATAGACCAATGTGCTGTATCAGCCTGATCGTCAGGAGACGGGAAGCTCGCTCGCAGAGTTCCCGAAACCTCTTGGCTTTGATATCCTCTACACAGAGTTGCTCCAGTGTGGTAAAGATGTGCCTTATGCACTGACTCACTTGACTTTAAGTTGTGGAAAACTTCAAGTTCTTGTCGGTGGTTGTAAACCTCTTTCCAAGATACGAATCCTCCTATTACAGTAGCCCTCAACTTCAAGTTCTTTCAAAGGCCCCGGCCGTTTGCCAGAGCCAGCTATAGAGCACGTTGTGTACCAGACAAGGATCCCGGATATAGTCTCTGGCCTCTCGCCTGGACCTGAGTATGGACTTGAAGTTCAGGTAACTGGCAAATGAAGTTGGGTTCCCTCAGCCCTGGTTGAATATCCCCTCATAGTATGCATCTTGGCTTGTTCTACAACATGACTAGCTGAGTAGCGGCTCATTGAAGTTGCGCCAGCACCTGGCTGCGCCATAACCTGCAGTGTTATCGCCTTGGGACGGGATTCTCTAGTCGTCAACGAGAGGTCGGCTCAGGGGTTGTATGTAATATTATAGCTCGAGGTATGGATCAACAAAAGGAACAATGGGGACTCAGAATGCTATACAAGTATATATACACAAAAGAGATCACCTCCTGCCTAGATCTAGAGAGTTCACTGTGAGATTCCCATATTCACGGAATGAGGACGAACTACTAGTACATGTAGTTAGCGTAGCACAGGACAGCTGCTGTCAGAGACACTCAGACGCGAGGCTCTCGCCATCAGACGAAGCCTTGCTGTCTCGGAACTCCTTCAGTTTGTCCTGCCCTGGGAATGTTGATCATCAACACCATTCTGTGTACGAAGCACTTTGAATGTTTCAAGGGCGAAGGCGGAAATACAACTCGACAAGGCGCTCACAATCCACGTCAAATGGTTAGTGCGCGGAGGACTCCTGTAGTGTAGCCTTGGCATGGTGCAAATGACAAGAATTCTGATTCACAGTTCGATCGAATTTTTGCAGGAAAATATCAGGCGCACGAAGGCGCAGCATGCACGCTAAAGGAGAGACTGCCACACCCTTGTCAGTCAATCATTGGCGCTTGCAGATGGCTTTTGTTCAGCGTTTTTGATGAATAACATGCACGACGAATGGTGCACCTTTTTGCGATCCGTTTTCGAACCCTTTTTCTACCCGACCTCAGCACTATCGAGGCCCGGCTGCCAGATGGCGGCGTGGAAAATAAGGTTATACAAGATATCTCTACCTCCGTACCCAACGAAGTACTGTTGCACTCCATTCCTTCCTCCTAGCTTAGGTCCACATGCGGGACCCAGACGCTAACTATCGCTTGTCATTGCCTAACCTGTCATTGCCCCAAAAACTTTGGGACGGGGAGAACGCTACGCAGTATCCTTATGTCCCAACAATTTTCACACGCAAAACACGTATCACAGCGAATATAAGGTACTTGGTCGTACTACCGTACAACGCATCAAGAGCCAAACGGAGCTACCACGTTGTCAGCGCCGGGTCTTATTCCTCCGGCTCCGTAACGTTAACGTCCAAAGTTGAGGTTTATCGCAGCCACGATCCAGTGGATCTCCGTTGTATTTTTCGCTAGGAACTTCCTGTGTTGGGCCATGGCGGCTGTCCCGCAAAACGCTAATCAGGCTGCGCCCCTCAATCAGTCTCAGCCCACCTCAAATTCCTTGGGGGTCTCACCCGCTCGAACCCGCTGCACGGCTGCAGTGAGCCCCTCTCCTCCGTCTCTGCTCAGCCTTCGGGTCACAACATCGTCAAAGAACCATGCCCCCTCAGCTCGCAAGGTTGTGCTGGGTTTTCACCTCGGCTTGGCGTGACAAAGGGCGACAAAGCTTGCCGATCGACTGGCGTGCCGATTTCATGCCAACAATGTAACGGAACCTTACAGTAAATGGTTTGGTACCGTTAAAACGGACTCTGTAGGTCCCGTGTTGTTGAAACCCTGGCAGCCAGCCGCAGTGCTTGTTGTGGCGTCGAGTGCGAAATGAGGAGATGCATGGGATGTGAATAAAGCTGAGGGATGCCCGCGCTTCTTCACCCACGAGGCTTGAAGTCTGATTTTTTTGTGCATCGACAACTTGGAGCCGAAGCCTGTTGCGGATTGGCACTACGTTACTGTACAATACATACAGACTCGCTGCCGCTCTCGATCGCCGTTGTACGAAGAGTATCTCGACTCAGACAGTTCCCAGATCACCTTCACCATCACCATGGGTGCCTCAGGACTTATCAAATCGGGCGTCCCGCCACAGCCCCTCTGGCTTCTCTACATCAAGATCGCAATCATCGTCCTCTCCGTTGTCATACTTGGACTATCTGCTTGGGAGCTTTCGCTTTTCTCGGGCTACACGTGGCTCGGCTCTGCTGGTGCTGGCGGTCTCCTCATTTTTGTGGTACGTGGACTAGCATCCACCGCCGTCCCTGAATTCGTAACATGTCCTGGGCAAGTCGCTGACCGACCCTGTTTAGGTAATCCTCAGCTGGATCGTCTACGGCACTGCCATCGGGCTCGAGCTCGGGGCGCCGCGATTCTTTTTCCGCATCGCTTTCCTCATCGGCTACATTTTGACTATCATTTTCTGGCTGTCAGGCTGGGCTTGGGCAGCGGCCGCTGCCGGGTTCTACCTGTCGTACCGGGACGCGGCAAACCGTGAGGTCGGGGCAGCGCTCGGTGCGTGCGCCGGTCTCGGTGCTGTGGTCTGGTAAGTTGCGGATTTCCACTCTCGTCCAATGGCACGCCGCTAGTAGGGTCGCTTACAAACGCAACCTATTCGCCCGGCGTCTGCTATTTTTACCACTGGCTAGACCCCTCGCTAACCATAAGTTCCTGCGCAGGATTTTGGTCATTGTTCACCTGGTCTTCTTCATCATCGCCTGTGTCAGGGAGCAAGGGAATTCAGGACCCGCCCAAGCCGAGCTCGGCCAGTACAAACCCGCTGAAGCCTACCCTCCGCAGCAGCAGTACAACCCAGTGCCAGCTCAGCAGCAGCCGTACCCTGCCCAACAGCAATACCCTGCTCAACAGCAATACGACCCTGCTCAACAGCCTTACCCTGCTCAACAACAACCCTATCCTGCTCAGCAGCCTTACGCGCCGCAATGATTGATGCATAGCACTATTGAGTTTGCGCATGGCAGGGATTTTCGCTAGTTTTGTTTGTATTGATACCAGATGGGACTAGCTCATATGTACGCGAGCAGGTTCCATTCTTTAATGACGGGATATGGGCAGGTTTTTGGTTGAGCGTCAAGCAGCGGGTGGCTTATCATGGAATTTGGCTAGATTCCGCCGTATACTGAGGACGACGAGATGTTGTACCAATCGCCTAGAGTTGCAAAATTGATCTTCATGACGTCTATGAATCTGTTTTATCACCACGATACCATGGCCGTTTCTAAACCATCACTGCAAGAAAGCTTCGCCATGCAAGCCACTGCGCAATCTTCTAACGTATGTCCACCCACTGCCTAAGGTACCTAGACCATCTCCCCACACATGCACTCAGTCCACTCACCACTCACCGCTCATCAATGTCACCACATCCCAGCTAACGCACTTACCCCTCCAGCTAGCAGTCCCACAACCCACCGCGCATGGTTCCACGCCACCCACTGCATGACCAGCTCCCCCATCCCAGTCTCTTCCGCCCAGCGCTTGCTGGCGTCGGTGGCCGAGTGCCGGTCCGGACTGGGAATCGTGATCGTGATCCACCCCGTCCTCCGTCCCGGCGTCACGGTGCGGATGGGGATGCGGAACCCCTCGTCCTGCAGCAGCCGCTGCACCTTCCACTTGCACGCGCCGTTGATCCCCGGCTCGAAGAGCAGGAGTGTAATGGGGACGATGGAGAAGGTTAGGGTTGCTGCTAGCAGGTACAATAACCGCTGGCTTGTGGAGTTGAAGAGGGAGAGGTAGATGTTGGCGAGGGTGCCGGAGAGGACTAGTGGGCGGACGAACACGGGTCCTTGCTGGTAGAGGGCCAGCCATTGCCTCGCGAGCGGCCTGGGGTCATGGTTGTCGGGGGTTTGGGTGGTGTGGATGGCCTGCAGCTGGCGGAGGGTGAGTGAGTATTGGTAGGCGATTCCTGCGGAGGGTCTGTTAGGAGCTGGGAGAGGTTAAGAGGCTGTGAGAGTAAGGGGGCAGCTTGCCGGCGTAGAGGGTTGGCATGGCGATGCCGGCCCACTGAGCCAAGAGGGTGAGGAATTTGAGACTGAGGGGTGGCATGATGTCTTTGTTCAGGTTGCTCCGGGGGGGCTTGGGGAGATTATGAAAGTGAATCAGGAAGTGGTGTTATTCTTTTTGACGAATTCTCACGAGGAAGCTGTGTTGGTTCTAAAGACATTGAGAGATGCAGCTTCTAAATCCCACAATCCTACTGGTCTTTGCTGGTGACAGTGTGGACTCTGCACTCCTGCGACGAAACGCGGATCGTCAATTGCTACTCCTTTTCACAAATCTCTAAGCAAGTGGTCTTCGCTTGTTAACCCATTTCACTGTCTTTGTTGGATATGGGGATAATTGACAATGATGCTCGGTTGTGTAACTTCGAATCCGGAGAAAGTCCGCGCCCGGATATCGTTGAGACCGCTGAGGCGGGAAAGAGAGAGCAGATGCACTGAGCCCAAACCCTAACCCATCCAAACGCGAAACTTCCAGGGTTATCAATTAAATGGATTGAGCCGCGCCAGGACGCGTTGCACGCTCCACCCAAATATCACCAATGCTTCAGTGCGATACAGCAGCCTATCGAAGCACTTGATAACACTTGTTTTACGCGTCATGATCCCCTCTTGACCGTCTCATCGGCCCCTGAATTAGAATACCTGAACCGACTTTACAATGCTCGCCCCCTCATCGCCCATTGCATTTCCGCCCAGCTCGTCGCCCGTCAACGGCAAGCGATTGCGCGATTCCGACGCGCCCAAACCAGCCAAGCCGCGCGTTCTCGCAGGCTTCATTGCCGACGATGACTCGGATAACGATGACACCACCGACCAGCCGTCCCCCAAGCGGAGGATGCTGCAACAGGACACACAAGACACCCAGCTAGACGTTGGATCCAGTTCAGAGGCTGTGGAGGAGTCGGTTGAGACTCAACCTGCCGCCCAGGAGGTCCTTTCCACCCCGCCCGACAGCCAGCTGAACGAGGAGTCGGAGGAAGAAGCGGAACGTTACCAACGTCTTTTTGGGACGCAGAGTGCGCATCAATTGCCCGCACTTACGATCGACGAGCCGTCTGCGTACCGCATCTCGACATGTTCCGGGAAATCTGTCCCCATCCGGGAACGCAAAGCCACAAAGGCTGTGTCTTACGCAACGATGGTAGCAGCGCGCTCGCGAACCAAGGAAGGCCGCGCAAGCAAGAGCTACTATGGCATTGCCATTCACGAACTTATCGACGACGCGAACAAGCAACTCGCCCAAGCACGGAAGGAGTCCACAACAGCGCCAGTCACGCCACCCTCGAATCCAGACCAACCCGTCCGCTCGGTAGAGGGCCGACACACCAACCTCAAGAAGCCCAGGCGCACCATGCTCTGGACCGAGAAATACCGCGCCCGTACATTCATGGACCTCGTCGGGGACGATCTGACCAACCGCCAAGTCCTCCGCTGGCTGAAGCGGTGGGATCCCATAGTGTTTCCACACGCGGCCAAAAGCAGACCTGCTGCAGCCAGGAGACACGCGCAGCAGCAGCAGGGGGGTCAGCAGCAGCCGGAGGAGGAGAAACCGCATCGCAAGATCCTGATGCTCCACGGGCCGCCCGGTCTCGGCAAGACCACCCTCGCCCACGTATGCGCCAGGCAGGCGGGCTACGAGGTCATGGAGATTAACGCCAGTGATGAGCGAAGCAAGGACGTCGTCAGGGGCAGGATCAGAACGAGTTTGGGGACCGAGTCTGTCAAGAATGTGGAGAATAAGAAGGCGGAGCCGGGAAAGCAGCAGAAGATTGCCCGTCCCGTGTGCGTGGTTGTTGATGAGGTGGATGGGGTTGTGGGCGGGTCGGGAGGGTCGGGGGAGGGTGGCTTCGTCAAGGCCCTAATCGACCTTGTCCTGCTCGACCAACGGAACAGCTCAGGCAGCGCGGCATCGTCGGGTACCGGACGAAGGAAGAAGAACAAGGATGATTTCAGGCAGATGCGGCCGTTGATCCTCGTTTGCAATGACGTGTACCACCCCTCGTTGCGCCCCTTGCGGCAGTCCGGACTGGCAGAGATCATCCATGTCGGGAAACCGTCTCTGGAGGCGGTCGTTGCCCGACTCAAGGCCGTGTTCGAGAAGGAAGGCATACCCTGCGAAAAGGACGCCGCGAGAAAGCTGTGCGAGGCTGCGTGGGGGATGACGAGCGGCATTGATGCCAAGCGCGGGGCTGAGAACAACGCAGAAGGCGACCTTCGGAGTGTCATGGTTGTGGGAGAATGGGTTGCCGGCCGGCTGCGCGCCACTTCAAGAGACGCGACCCCGCGCCTAACTCGACAATGGGTTGACAAATACATCATCAACGACCTCACCCACGGCGGCGGCGGTGCCAGAGGCCTCGGGCGCGGCGACGCCAAGGAGATTGTCACGCGTGTCTTCCAGGACGGCGCCGGCTTTCCGAGACAGGCCCCTGCAGCCGCCGCACAACCCAAGAACACGCCCCTTCACGAGCAGCCCAAAGCCCAGCTTGGGTTTGCCGAGCAGCAAAAGAAGTACGCCATGGCGCGGCTACGCGAGATGATAGACGCGAGCGGCGAAGTCGACCGCATCATGACCGAGATCTTCCTCGAATACCCCAATCGCGACTTCAACGACGATTCCTTCCTGACCAAGCCCGATCTAGCCTACGAATGGATGCACTTCCACGATTCGTGCTCCTCCCGCCTCTACTCGGGCCACCAGGAGTGGGAACTGGCGCAGTACACCAGCCAGCCCATCCTGGCCTGCCACCACCTGTTCGCCTCGCCGCGTAACCGATACCAGCAGCACACCACTTACGAACGGAAATGGGGCGACGCCGTAGGTGTGGACGATGACGGCAACGCCGCACCCCTGCCCTTTTCCGGCCCACGAGCGGACTATGCTGCGCGCGAAGCGGAGAAGGCCAACCGCGCGGCGCTGCAGGGGATCCAGAGCCAACTACCCCCAACCTTGACGCGGGCATTCCGCAGTCCGGAGGACATTGCGACTGAGTTCCTCCCGTACCTCGTCCGCCTGGTCTCGCCAGACGTCAAGCCCGTCGTGGTAGGAGGCGGGAACGACAAGACCGGGTTGGTAGCGAGCGTGCGGCGCGAGGGCGAAAAGGCCATGGTGCAGCGCGCCGCAAGGGTGCTTGCCGAAGTCGGCATCGCGCTGCACAGGGGGAAGATCGAGCCCGATCCGTCTAGTTTGACGGCTGGGCCGGTTACGGTTGGCCGGACGCAGTGGGTTTATAGAATGGAGCCGTACGTTATGTGCTAACATTCCTTTTACTTTTACTGCCTGCAGCTGAGATGGATGAGTATACTGATGAGTTGAGAGTATAGAGACATCGATGCCCTATCAACCTTCGAAACTGCCTCGTTTTACACCGCCCAAGCACCAACACGCTACGCCGTCCGCCAGGTCCTGGACCAGGAACTGCAAAAGGCGCTCGCGCAGAGGGAGAATGCTGCGCGGCAGGCGCGGTTCAGGTCTGGCGGGTTGCATGACGCCTCCCAACAACATTATCACCATGTTGGTGATGATGAGGACGAGAACAAGGAGAACCGGCTCCCCACTGCTGCTGCTGCTGCCTTTTCTGCTAGTACTAATAGAGCAATTGCGTCGTCAAAGGGTGTAAAGAGGGATTTCTTTGGCAGGATGATTGTTGAGGTTGATGATGGGTTGTTGGGAGAGACGGATGGGAATGCTGGTACTGGTACTGGTAAGAGACGGAAGAGGACGGGGGGTGGGAGCCAGGGGGCGGCTGGTGGGGGTGTGTGGGTGACGTATCATGAGGGATTGAATAATGCTGTGAGGAAGCCGATTAGCTTGGAGGAGTTTTTGCGAGGGTTTTGAGTCTGCCTGCTTGGGGACTGGGGAGTGAAAGAGAGGGAAGGGGTTTGTTTATGGTGTCAAATGGCTCTGGTTGAGGGTGACACTGGTACTGAGCGGGATCTGGATGAGTATGAAGAAGATGCTTGCAACTCCCTCCCTCTGCTCATGTCTCAGTTTTGTCCTGCCGTCACTTCAAGAAGCGATAAAATGCTGAGAAGTAGTTGATCGACAATCCCAAACAAGGACTATACAAACAAATTAGGGTATCTCTAGAGTCTAGAGCAGTTTTCCAAGTTACGTGACTGAGAGGAATGACCCCCCTCACGCCTGCTGTGCCAAGCACCTCAGCCAATATACCCTGACCAAGAAGAATGCCTCCCTGTGGTATTTATCTAGACTTGAAGCAGCAATCCAAAGCATTAGTACAATTTGTGAGGTGTCTCCACACCCTTTTTGGCCTTCCTGCCGCCGCTTCTGGCTCAGGGGTTACCGGCGGCTCGAGCAGAGGTTGCTGCGAGGCCGAGCTTGTTCTTGAAGTTATCGGACTGTTGGTGCCTGTAGGCTCGAACCCCTTGTCTGGTCTGTTGGTAGAAGAGACGTTAACCCGGTGCTAAGTAAGGTAAGATGCTCTAATGGTTATTGGTACTGAACAGTAGGGTAAGGGGGTTTGTAAACCTGTGTACTGTACTGCCACTTCATAGTGCAATGTGTAAAGGAATATATGGACATTGGTGAACTGCGAGAGAGGCGAGACTTGTAATATTGTCGCAGCATCTCTTCCCAGGGACATATGAGGGATGAGGGGCAGGCCAGCAGATGCCATGGCTTTGCACCAAGGAGCAGAGCTACGGATCTTCGCAATCCTCTTTGTACATACCGAGGCATGTCCGCCATGATTATATACCTGTTGTTCCGCACCTGCTCGAACCATTTCCTGATTAGCATTTTGCATTTTGAAATGAGCAGAACACATCTCCCAGGCATGTCTAACTAGCAAGATACGGGAGGGAATATTGGCACCAACCTCAACATAGAAGTTACCACTTCCGTACTGGTCCTGAAGGGTACGGAGAAAGAAGTGCCCGGTCCGGCACCAACCTGTAATGTAACTCCTGAACCTTGACCCAGTTCCTGGTTCTGTCTGCGAGGAGGGAGTTACAAGGATCAAAGTTCCTGGGCGTGCTGTCAGTGTGCGGTATACCGGTAGCTGTCTCGGGGACCTTGTTGGGTTTCCTGGCTTCGCTAGGCTCTTGAATCGGTAGTTGCCCGTCCATGTCCGAGACGGAGCTGGATTAGGTGGTAAGCTTGATTCGAAGCGTCAGGTTTAGAAGGGAGAGGTGGACCTGACATTCTCCTCAAGGCTTTTTGTAGGGAAGGGTCCTTTTTTTCCTTGTTCGAGGTCTCTGCGATTCAAGGACTCTAGAGGTGTCAGGGGTCCGTTTCTGTATGTGCCAAAGATGCCCCCTTTCAGGGCTCGCCAACCTCCATCGCCGCGCCAACAGCACATAGTCACGCAGTTCTAGGGGCACCTGGCAAGAGTGAAGTAGTAACCTTCTACAAAGAATCTATATCTCACTTGCCACCAGCAGCCCACCTGATCACATCAGCATAGCAGATCATGCAGTTGGTACTTAGGCAAAGACTTACACGACCATGGTAATTCACCACACCCAACCATTCTCTCGTTATATATCCAGTAAAGAGAGCGAAGGTCATGCCTTCACTCACTCCGTGTAAAAGCACACCACGTAATACATACCCAAGCTCAAGTCATTGAAGCGAAGCTTCACTCAATCATCATGATGGGATTCATGGCCCTCGGAACTGTGGACTCGAGGAGCTAACTACACGTCAGGCGTTGCCAACTTACCACACCAGAATAAATGGCGTCACATTTTTGACTTTCACCTCTCCATCAGTGTTCTTTAGCCATGCATCAAACCATCGCGTCGACTGCTTCTCCAACCTTTCATATCCAGGCGGCCACTGGGGAAACCTTCGCAAAGTCTCGCCCGTCTTGATGGTGAGCCTCTCCAACTTAGACCCGGCGCCGCGCAAGGCAAAGAAGGGCTCGGCAAAGGCCCGGACGAAGGCCTCATCCAGCAGCGGAAGGTAGGGCTTGTCCTGCCGCCGGGACCAGTCAAACTCGAGGCCGACCTCGCAGTGCAGGGTCAGGCGTCGCAGATTGGAGAACGAACCCGCCAGCGCTTTTAGTATATCTCTTGGCCACTCTCCGGACGCATCCCGGGATATGTCAATCTCAAGCTCTTCCAACTCCGGACAACTTTTATCAAGCAGCACTAGCTCCTCTACACCAAACGTTGGACGACCAGCCCCGTCAGGCCTAGGCACCTCAATGCAGTGCAGACACAACCGCTTCAGCCTCTCATGCCGGGCCAGTTTCTGCACGGGCACAAAGTGCCGTTTGACGGTGAGCTCCTCGAGCGTGTCAAACGACGCGAGAAAGCTCTCAAGCGGGTGACACGTCTCGTGGCCCTCGGCCGCCCATGTCTGGACGGTCAGGCTGCGCAGCGCAGTGGCGTGCGCTTTGAACTGGCGGAGCAGGTCGGCCATGGTCGGTCCGCCGGCCCACCGGGGATTCGGGCCCAGGGTGAGTGTTTTAACCTGGGACCAGTCCAGTCCGTCGCGCCAATGGGGCCATTCTTGTTCTGTGTCCATATCATACCCGCTGAGGGACAGGGACTCAAGCGGTGGGAATGGCAGGTGGTTGTTGGCTGACGCGAACTGGAAGGTTTTGGTAACGGAGTGGTGGATGTAGGGTCTTACGCAGCCGCCGTAATCGTTGCTCACCGAGAGGGAGAAGGACTTGAGGTCTGGACAGGCGAAGAATAGTTGTTGGATGCCTGGAAGCTGCGTGTTGGGCTTGTCGGGCTTGTCATGCCACGGGCTGGCTTTGGCTTTGATGGTGACGACGGCGGGCATAAGACCCAAGACAGGCCGTGATCCATTTTCCTTGAGCAGGTGGATTTCTGGTTTGTTTGGGGTGCTCGTGCAAGGTGCGGAATAGTGCTTCAGATGCCGGAGTGGGTGAGAAGATGCGCACCTGCCGCAGGTTCGGGAGCACATTGACGAGGCGGGGAAGCTCCTGCTCGAATATGGGGCGGAGGTCACCGAGCTCTAGTGCGTCCTTATCCCATTCGTGCCTAATAAAGGATTCGATGTTGATGCTGCAAACGGCGCGTGTCTGGTTTGGGTTGGAGTCTGCGGTGAGGCGGCGGACGAGGGCCAGACTTTCGGCCCACTTGGTAGACTCTGACTTTCTGTCCTCGTCGTTGATGGTCTTCCAAAACGTAGCAAAATCAATGTATGGGGGTCCGATGGTTATTGTTTTGTACAGGAACTGGGTGGCGAGGGGGTAGAGCCCTTTGCAAACTCGACAGATGCTGGCGAGATGCTCTCTGTCGGGCACCTTCTGGAGGATGAGATACCACACATCGGGACTCAGGCCGACCACATGATGCACATTGCCAGCAATGGACGCCTTGCCGGTTGTCGTTGCCGTCATTTTGGTCATGTTGTTAGCCTGTTACACCTCACAAAAAAGTACTAGTAGCGTCGAGATGAGTGATGGAGGTGGTTGACGGAAATAAGCATTAGGCACCCGCCGAGGAAGATGATGGATTGGGAAGGTACTAGATAGATATGCTTATGTGCTTACGTAGGGTGACATATCGCAGTTTACCTTATATAAGCCCTTTCCTCTGTCGTCCCAGGGAAGCGCGAGAATTCTTGATCCTCACGCAAGCAATCTTGCATTTGCGTTTATATTCCATATCTCCAGCAATCACCTTCTAGTACTTGAAAGGCTGTCGGTTGTGTGATGACTAGATTTCGCTTTGCTTAGTTTGTGTACATGACCCGTTCCCTCTGTCTAGGTATCTAGAGAGACAGCAACCACCCAGAGTCACTAGTTGGACCTCAACAAAGCTCTGAAACATTTTGATGAACCTGCGTAGGCAGCGCAAATCGCCTCCAGTCACACCACACTTTCCCCCTTCATAGCCAAAGTGAGTGACGGCCGTTCTTGCTCCAACATCGTAAGGTACAGTAGCTGTACTAAGTAGGTAGTGATTCTTTAGCCAACTTTCCGGACGCTATGTGTAAGGTAGGTTACCATCCTCACTGTATGTACTCATAGAGCCTCCAGCTTGCTCTGCCTAGAACGGCCCATCAACGCAGGCATAAGCCGCGGCACCAATGTTGCTCCAGCCCTCCCTGTCGACAAACAAGCTGCCATTGTCATTGTCGTTGCAGTGGTACGCACACCCCGCCGACGTGAAAAGACGGACGTTGTACGAGCCCGACGCTCGCACCGACACAAGGCTTGTCTGGAAGAAGCTGGGCAGCTGGCAGCAGGCCTGGTACGGGCACGTGAACGACTCGCAGTGGCCTGAGAAGCTACGGCCCGAGCACCCGTAGATGCTCATGGACTGGCCTTGAACCAGGGCGCACAGGGAAAGTACTGAGAGAATCGCCGTTTTCAGCATGTTGGATATTGATGTGCTGGATGCTTGGAGTGTTGGATGAGGAATGGGATCATTGATTAGGTGGAGAAAGGAAGCCCCTTTTATACTGAGTGTTTATATTTACATCATCCGCCACTGGGTGACGTTAAGCTCAAAATCCTGGAGATGTAAGCAAATTACCAATCGTTGTCAAATTTCACCGGATCCAGGCAACTGCTACTACCGGCGATCAGTGACAGCTACTCGGATCCCGGGGACCGAACTAATCGCACAGCCCGGAAGCTGCCCCGCGTCGTCGATCTTCCGCTCTGCCCCACATGAGCGGTAACGTTGGGGCTGTAAGGCTGCGCCTGAGACACATCATAGGCTCGTATGTCTGTCAGACAATTTCCTTAATGGTGTTTCGGAGACAAATGATTACACGGCAGGAGGGACAACTTGAATCCGGGTGTGACCGTGTAAGTGAGTCTCGATGGGGCCGAGATCGACAACTTCCAGTCAAGGGCTCGGTATAAGTACTCTAAATGGTATACGAACCCAATAACGGACGGTGGTGCTCAGCGAACCATCCAGTCGGGTGTTTTGACGTCGGGCAGTGCGACTCTTGTAGAATACCGCCGCCGCCGATACCGGTACACTATATCTGTCAAAGAAACTGAATGGAGGCAAAGAGAAACACAGAACCCCTGTCTGAACCTTTCTGTCTTCATGTTGCCAACCACTATCAAGAATTAATCGATTACTAAACAGTAGTTGACTCACAATCCAAAATACTACCTAAACACATTGGGGTATCTCTAAAGCAAGCTCCAGGTCTGCCTGGAGGAAACGACGACCCCCGCCACTGCTAAGTAACCAATTACCTCTCCTGACCAAAAAGAATGCCTCCCTGTGGTGTAGTGTTTATCCTAACCAGACCTAAAGCAGCAACTCAAAGTAGTGATACATTCCTTGATATGTCTCCAGACCCTCTTTGGCCTCCCTGCCGGACTTGGTTCGGGAGATCCCGGCCCGGGAGCGTCGAGGAGAGGCCGCTGCGAGGTCGAGCCTGCCGTGATGATAGTGCTGTCGGTGCCTGTAGCGGCTATCCCCTGTTCCGGAACCCGCGGCGTGGGGTCCGGGCCTGGCATTCCGGTGGTGGTAGCCGGCATTTCAGGGGCTGCGGCCTGCGCTGTGCTGCGTTTGCCACAATGCCCTTCTTCCGTTGTAGACTGCGGACGACCGTCGAGCGGTCCGGCAGGGAGCGATTCCAACTCTTGGGGCTCCCGTGGGGGTGTGGAAATGCCCGAGGGCTGTCCGCTCGCTGGACTCAGGCTTCTGGGGCTAGGGCTTGCGCTTCCAGCTTGCTCGCGGTGCGGGCTGGCGTGCATGCTAGACCTGGAGGACTCAGAAAAGTAATCCTAAAAGTGGGTTGTCAAGTTAGTCGTCTTGGCCTCACGCTGGGAGGTAGAGCCGCATACAATGAAAGTGAATGCCTCGAGTGGACCATCCCTGCTCTTATACGGTTCAACACAGTACTCCTCACTGTTACGGCACTTATCGAGAATCTTGGCCAGCTCGTCAACAGTCTTGCGGCCGTCCCATCTTGCCGCTTTATCGGGATGGAGGAGGCCTTGGTGTATGATTCTGATAAAATCATGCGCAAATCTGGGACAGTGATCGAGCGCCCGTAACTTGTCCATCCACTGTTGCGAAGCACGCGGTCAGCCGCCTTCCACGTAATAGTAGAAAATGTGGCCAATGAACAGGGCTGGACTTCAGTGAACTTACTTCGAGAACCGACGTTTTCAATGTCGCAACAACGGAGCTATTGTCTCCGGAAACTGAAAGTATAAAGAACTTGTCCTCGGCTAACCATGGATACATATAGCTGTGAACTGGAACCGTTTTGTCCTCCTTAACGCGAGCATCGGTAAATATCTCGTCAGCTTCCAAGCCAAGGAGATACCAAGTGATGAAGTCGAGGAACAGACATCCTAACGTCCAGATATCGAACTTCACCGAAATCGTCGCCCTGGGAAGATCGCACTCTGGGGCCCGGTAACTGGGAGACCCACCCCGAGGTACTTGGTCTCTAGAGCGCGACACGTAACGGTGGAATACGCTGAACCCAAAGTCCGTTATACGAAGGTGGTCCTCGCTTCCGTTGTGGCCTTTGAACCAAAGAATATTCTCGGGTTTGATGTCGCCATGGCGGCCCGTGTTTTTCAGGTTGTCGTCCGGACCTAGGCCGCTGTCCGGGATCTCGCCGTGAATCTCTCGTATACCATCGGCGATACCGTGGCATTGGGAGAGCATCCAGCATGCCAGAGCATGACCTCTCTCTGGTGGATTGTTTGTCTTCCAAAAGTCGCACAGGTTCCCATTAGCCCAGGGAAAAACCATATGGAAACTCTTTCCGTGCTGATAAGTGAGTAGAAGTCGGACGAGATGCGGGTGACTTTTGTTTTGCCCGCTAAATCTCCGAAGTATCTCAACCTCTGCTTCGTATTCTCTCTTGTTCTCGGTTTTAAGTGTTCTAACGGCGAAGTATTGTTTCTCGACCCCCTGTTCCAAGGGGGGGATGTTAGCAACGTCACAAGCATCGTCACAGTTCAGATTCTTACTGCCTGGCCGGGGAAATTATGATGCGCCGGATGGATTAGAACTTTCTGGACCTTCGCCTCGCCGCCTTCACCGGCCAGTTCAGCCTCGACAAACGGCAGAACAGCGTCGTTAGGCAGATCATAGAAGAAAAGGTCCCCTGAGCCGAGGTCGAAAAACGGACATGCCACGGCATGTTGTTGGCCCAGCAGCCATTCTATCTCGGAGTCATCCCAGTCGTCAAAGCACTTGATCCGTTTCCCAGTCCTGGTGTAAACCGACTCCGAGCTTGAGGCCTGCGACACGATGACGAACGGAAGGTCAGAGTCGTCGATATCCGAGTCAATCAAACACTTGATGCAGCTCGTCTTATTGCCTAGTACCAAAATAGCGAATAGTCGGCGGCGGGATGGTACTCCGCATATTCTCTTCGTTAGTTCGTCGAGATTTGCCCTAGGTATCTCTTGCCTCAAGACATCCTGCACATTCTCTTCAGACAGACACCTCTCGATGTCGCTAATGGGAATGAACTTCAAGCGAGCAGAGTCCCCTGGTTTGCAATAGAAACCCCTCAAAAGCTTATTGAGCCTCGTTTGAGCAGGGTCCTTCGGCTTGGGACAGCAGAACCACCTCAACAACTTATTGAGCCTCGGGAGAGCAGAGAGCTTCGTTTGAGCAGCGACTGGTATTCCCCCGGACTCATCGCCCGGTTGGTCCGGGCTGGCGATGCCACTGGTGGCATGGACCCGGTTGGGATGCAATGACTCTGGGCTCCAAATAGCGGTGGTCTTTGCAGTTTCCTGTCTCGAGAATCCAAGGTCGTTGACTGTTTGAATACTCGCGAAGCTATGTTCACTTCCACTCTTAGGTTGAGAGTAGAGGCTCTTCGGAGTATCCCGTGCGGTAGCACTAGCCCTTGCTGGATCGCCAACGGCAAGGTGCTTTTTAGTGAACTGACCAGATAAGGGGCCGGTGAGGGAGGGGGTTGGGTATGTATTGTACATACCATTTGTTAAATCATTGTCCTGGAAGATGAATACCTTGTTGCCCTCAGGATCCTCAACCTCTACCGCGGATGGCGTTCGAGGGCGACTGGGACTCCGTGGTCCCACTTCTTGTCCATTGAGCTGAAGAACTGGTGAGAGGAGATTGGTGGTATCAATACGGCTTTTGGTCTCCTCGGGTCGGTCATGAGCAGCCGGCGGGTTCTGGGGGATCGCGCTCAGATTCGATGATTGGGGCAGGCCAGGCGCCACAGGTTGATGGATCATTTGGCTTGTACTTGACGGCGGTATGGCACCTGGACCTTCCAAGTTTGACTCATTCTCGTGGTCGATCGGAACGAGGGAAGTCGTGGATCCACCACCGCCGTCTCCCTCCTGGTCCAGGCGACCTCGCATGATCCCACCCACTGCCAATGGTGGAGGTTGCCTATCAGCGGCCTCGTCCCGCCTGTTAGCAAAAGATCGTTAACAAGGACGCCAGCGTGACAACATGGGCTGACTTGCGACGCACAGTAGGTTGCTGAGCCTTTAGTATAGCATGGTGAGGATGAGAATTGTGACCTTCAACTTATGCACTTCAGTTCATGATGCAAGTTGCAACGTTTTCGATAAACCGACGGGGAGGCAGCCTGATGCGAGGCTTTCATATCGCTGCATGGCGTCTGGCAGACAGACCGTAAAGGGGGAGACCAGCAGAGGGCATTTTGCGCCACAAGCCTAGGGATCTTGGGCGAGTGCAGGGTGTGTGGCGAGGCTGGGAAGGTTTCCGTTGCTTCCCACACCATCTCAAACTGTTGATCATGAGTTTTAATTACAGGTGACGGCGCTAGCACCCCAACTCCCCAAGTGTGTTGGACTATTGGTGCATGGTCCTGTACGTGCCTGCCATTCTTGCCAGAGCAGCCACTACCAGCCAGACATGCTTGCCTTAGCGACTTGTTTGTTCTTTGTTTCTTGCTGTGATGTAGAATCGATGCGGGGAATGTAGAAAAGGTCGCGTCGCTGCGGGCATGCGGATCACACAGCAACCAAAAAGAGGCTTGGGGCTGCACCTGATGGTGGTCCTGAATTGGCAGCTTCCAGGTGATAAACCTGCTTGACCTAGGTCAGCCCTTCTGGCAGTCGCGCTTGAATCAGCCTAGTCTAACCACGTTCAGAAGGATGGCGCCTAATAAAAGGAGCCTGTTTCAGCCATGGCATGCAGCCTTCGGATTGCCCTGCTGAGTTGACCGTCTCCCGGTGTGGTGCATACCTTATTACTTGCAGCTGCCGTCCAGATAACAGACTCCGAGGGATGACAGTGTTCCTTCGCTATACCCTTCCATCGCACACCAGTCAATCATCGGATGTCCACCACCGACACAGAAACCGAAACTCGTACCCGGGGCGCCTTAGACGTCGCCCTCGACGTCGACGGCAGGAGTACCTCAACCCGCATAAAGGTACATCCCAGATGTGTTCAAACTCCTGAGCAGTTAAAGTCGACAATCGACCACTTTTGCAAAGGAAAATATACAATCGAGATACGCCACAACATGTACATAATCAATGCGGACGAGCCCTTGGACCAGCGGGAGATTGTAGGGCGTCTTGAAGCCGGGAATGGACTTTACCGTGACACCACTGACACTCCCCAGGTGGCCCATCTGCTGAATCTCAAGAAGCCAACGGCCAAATGACTGTACGCCAAACCCGTTCATTCTGCCAGTAATTCAGCGCCAGGGGGAAAACAAAGATGAAATTGCAGCGGAGCACCGGAGGCCACTTTGCAAAGCGGATTTCACAGGCTCATCTGTGCGGCCCGAGCCTCACCTCCAACCAGTGTCCAGTTCCGGTCTTGGTTGAACCCTGGTGAACCTTACGTTGGGAAATTTAGGACTGTACCTAACGGACTGCCGTTAAGTTGACGTGTTGGATCTTATTGCTTGTTATGATTCCCGGTCAGCAACTTGAACTTTGCGATATCCAGGTGCCGAGGAAGCCTGGCGCCTTAGGTGTTTTTGTCCTTTTTCATTAGTTAGTACTCCAATCTTGGAATCCTGCGGCTTGTAATCATGGACATTATGTTGAGATTGAGGATGGTTACAGGTAGTTGAATGGCCGTCAGTGTTAGACTCTGATTCCCAGACGCGTTCCGCCAATCTGCCCGGATCACGATTCGTGTCATGGTCAGGATCAATCTCAAGACTCAAGGATGCATTAGCAATCGCACAAGCCCACCCGGATCCTGAATTGAAGAAGTTAGGAGAGTGAAGCAGGTGTTGCCATGTACAAGTACAGTCCTCTTAGAAAAGCTCCAGGAACTTGCAATCTGCTGTACAGTACTGTACAATGGGAGATTCCAGGTTATGTTAAGAGGGGTAGTAGAGAGGATGGTTTTCACATACAAAATTTTAGCTGCACTAACAGAGACTGTGGCCTCTTGAAGTACCACGACTGAAACAAGCAGTGACGGGTCCGGGAAGGAGGCAGCCACAGGTGTACTTCGATCTTAAGGCAGGTAGGCACCTTCCTTCATCTCATGGAGGACCCGCCGAGGTCAACTGCTGTTCCAAGGTAGGCCTCCTTCTAATTCACAAAGTTCAGGTCCAGATCTTTTCTGAGTTTCCTTGCCTTATTGCGCACAAAGACTCACCGCTCTTGTAAGCACTGAGCTCATTAAGTCATCAGCTCAGTCATCTTTCAGAGTCCAGACTATCAATATCCAACGTCTGGAATCAGTGAATCACGCTTTCCAACCCGCTGTCCGCCTCTCCCGAGCTCCTTACGAGAGTTCTCGATAACAGTCTCTCGATGAACTGTTGCCTAGAATCCTCTTCTCCCACATATCAGACCCCCAGACTAACAGAGGACCAGTTCTGCCCTAAGTTGCCCCACTGCTTCAAAGATGATGACCGCTTTACTCCAACACGGAACCGAGTTTCGATCATTCTAATTCATGTGCTGAGCCAACCACTCAACAAAGATCTGAGGATTCTCCTGAAAGTGCGTGTAGCCCTTCATGCGGACCGTTCCGTCGACCCAATGCAGCTTCTTGTCCTGGATGGGGATCAAGTCGTACATAGTCTGCACATCACTCTCCTTGGTCAAGATGTCGTTGCGCACCGCGTAGATGAACGTCGGGATCCGGATGCTCTTCATAATTGGTATGGGCGACAGCTCGTCAATGTCGAAGCTTGACTCCATCTTGACCATCCAGTTCACCTCATCAAAGCGGTCTGAACCAAGCCCGGCTATCTCCAGCGCCCTCTCCACAAACGGCCGGTACGAGAGCGGGTTGGGAACCAGGAGACAGCGCACGTCCTTGAACACGTCGGGCCGGCGGTGCACAGCAAAGAAGGTCGCGATGCCGCCAAGACAACGGCTGAAGAGCCCAATCGTCATGTTCTTGGTGTCCTCGCGGCTGCGGGCGTAGTTGAGTGAACCAACCACGTCTCTGGACTCGAAGTGCCCCGTGCCCGAGATGCCGCCGTTGGCCGCTCCGCTGTTGCCGAAGTTGCGCATGTCGTAGGCGAGAACATTGTAGCCCGCATCATGCAGGATCTTGAGGTCGGGGATGAAATTGAGCTCATAGTCGTTTCCCGTGGCGGAGCCCCCGAGGAAAGCCTTCCAGGGGTCGAGGTGGGCGGGGAAACCGGACCGGTTGCATCGAAGCGGGTGGTTGACGATGATCAGCTTGTCTGAGCCGGGCTTTGGAATATACCAGGCCTCAAGCGGAGTGCCGTCTTCGGAAGGAAAGAAAACATCCTCGTACTTGAGCCCAGCTTCGGAGGGGTTATGAAGGAGAGGGGTGGGGATCTGATTCCGCAGAGGCGCGACGAGGCTTTTGAGGTAGCCTTGAATCTCTTCGGGCGTCATCCTGGTTGTTATTTGCTTGGGTACTGACTTGGAGATATTCAGGAGGGTATGGCACGATATATGGTGACTCCAAGGTGTTTTGAACGGGAATCGGAACTGGTTTGATCGTTGACTGTTCAATAAGGATGAGGTCAACGGGGAGTGAGATTGGATCTGACAGCATGAAGCCAACGCGCTTCTGATATACTTTCCTTTAATGAGACTCGAGAGATCGCTAACCTGGCTCCAGGACTAAGGAACGTTAGCGTCCTGCAACCTGGTTCTTTAGGGATTCGATTTCCAAGATTAGACGTGACAGGCTTGTCGTCGACTCCTCGGACTCGACTTGCTTTGACTTCGGACTTGTACACGAGCTTGCCCGCAGAGACTCGGACTGAGAGCCTGCAGGCTCTAAGCGAACGGACATGGTTCACGGCTCCGGCGGCAATAGAGTTAAACTCCAGGATGACGATATTGACCACTGATCTGTAGGATGTCAGGATTGTGCGTGCGTGCTGTGACGCCGGATCACTTCACCGGTTTATGGAATTAAGCCAAGTTCCGTGCCAGTTGGGCACATAGCATGGTGTAGGGGAGGGACAGAGGTGCGGATTGATTGGGACTTGGCGGCCCCGGAATACTGGGCCGTGAAGGTGCCGAGGTGGCGGTACTGCAGGGCGACCGAGATGGAGCCGTCGGTGGTCGGCGGCGTTAGGGGATAATGACCCATATCCGAAGTTGGGGGTGATTTAAATCGGCCAAGGCAATGGTAGAGTCCCTGGACGAACGTAAGAGTCAACTTACAAGATCAGTCACAGGTGTTCTTGGGCAGAACCATCACTGATGCTCGCAAAACCCGATAGCATAACATACTATCTCCATTATATGAACCATGCCTCTAGGTGTTTTTGGTTTCTCTGCTCCGTTGAAGTTGTTACTCCCGTCTGGAATCACTCCTTCCAATTCGACGTCCGCCTCTCCAAACTCCTTACCACGCTCTCAACAGCGGTCTCAACATCAACATGGAAGTACGGCCGGTTGACCCCATAGAGCGGAACAAATCTGCCACTGCCCGAGGGTGCGTCGCCGTCGCCATTTGAAGACGCGACGGGTGAGATCTCGCCAGCAGCAGCCTCAACATCAGTCTCTTGGGCCTTCGAACCACCCCTTTCCGTAACCTTTTCAGTACCAACCACGGCCTCAGCAAACCCAATTAGCGGACCGGCGGCCCTTGATGCTTGCCGCCCCTTCAAGTCGTGGTCAGTTCCCGACTCAACACCCTCGACGACCCTCTCCGACAACCTCTCCCCGCCGAATCCATTTGCCACCAGCGCCCGCTTGGTCCAGCGATTCACCACCCCAGCAAAGTGCCACTCGACCCGCTCGGGATCCGCATACCTGTCGAACTGGCTTCTCAGGTCGACCAGCGCCTGCGCTGCCGTAACATCCAGGTAGTTCACGGCGGTGAAATCAAGAATCACAGCGCGCAGGATTGGGCGGGAAGCAAGTTGTTCGTTCAGCTGCGCCACATTCCGCCTCGGACCCGGGTCGTTCCAGGGCCGGTCGCCCACTTTGTCGTATTTGTTCAGCTGTGTCCGGCGCGTGTGCTTGAAGATGTGGATGGTGAGGTTGTCCAGGTGGCGGGCCGAGTTGACATAGTTGAGCCCCTCGCCAAAGCGGTAGATGAAGACGCCCGGGGACGGAGATCGGATGTCGGCCTGCGGGTTGGACAGGTCGCTCCTATCGAGAGCAATGTATGCCGCGTGTGGGCTCTTCTCGCCAATCAACGGGTCCGTTTCCTGTGAGAAATTATTGTTGGAGTTGAGCCGGTCTCGTGGTGCGGTACGTATGACAACCCGGCCGAGGAAGCGGCCTGGGCTCTTGGCTATGCGGAAGAGGAGAACGGCGGCCGACGCAGCAACGGTGACGTATATACCATTTTCAATTGAGGTAAAGACGGAGACAAAGACACCGGCGAAAAAGATCACACCTTCCAACGGGGAGGTCTGCCAGTATTGGTAGACTTCACGCGGCGGGGAGATGAGATCGCCGACAGCATGAATGATGATGGCAGCAAGACCGCTGGTTGGGATGTAGAAGAAGACGGACGTGAGCGCGTAGAGGGCGAGGAGGACAATGACGGCGGTAAAGATACCAGCTAGAGGCGTCCGAACCCCCGCTTTAGCCTTGATGGCGGTACGAGAGAAAGAACCCGTGGCTGGGTACCCGCCGAGGAAGGGACCAAACACGTTGGTAAAGCCAATGGCGACCAACTCCTGAGAAGGGTCGATGATATAGTTGTTGATACGGCCAAAGGACTTTGAAATTGCAATGTGCTCGATCAGAAGGACCAGAATCGTGGTGGGAATATCAGGTCCAAGCGCCGCCAAAATCTCGCTGTCAACACGAGGAGGGCCAACAACCTGGAAGCCTGGAGAGAAAAAGAGGCAAGATTAGTACATTACAAACTCGCAGATTTGTGGCACTTGGTACTCACCGCTGGGCACGTTGCCGAGAATCTTGAACTTGGCCTTGGATGCGTCTGAGACACCACGGTTGACAAGCCAGCTGACGAGTATGTATAGGACAACGACGAAGGCCATGCGAAGTGTCGAAATGAAGAACCAGGTCTTAGCGCGACGTGGATTTCTCCTGCCCATGAAATTGCAGAACCAGCGGATCATGTAAAGGCCAAACAGCGCAGTCAAGCCCATCGCGGCGTCTAGCTTTGCTCTCGGTAGGCCTTTGAGGGTGTTGATGATGACAAGATATGTTTCCTCGCGAGTGTTGATACCGGAGATGCCCAACAGGCCGGGGACCTGACCTGCGGCGATGCTGATGGCGGAGCCGGTCATGAAGGCGCCGATGGCGACCAGAGGAATGAACTCGACAATGAAGCCCGCTCGGATTAGACCCAAGAACAGAAGCACCACTCCGGATATAAGCGCTAGACTTCGGACAATGGTGTCTGCACTCAGATCGGGGTGCGTTTTCTGTACGTTGATGACGATGTTGCCAACAATGGTTGACATGACGGCGACGGCCTGTAACCGGGTTAGAGTTTGCGCCGTCAAGCCAGAATTATTTGCTTGGTACACTTACGCCGATGGTGATGTCTTTGGACGTCGCGAATGCCCAGTATAACAGGAACCCAACAAAAGAAGTATACAAGCCATACTCTGGTGGTAGTTTGGCGAGCAAGGCGTAGGCCATGCCCTGCGGCACGACGACGAAGCCGACAGTGACACCTACGTTTATCAGCCGACGACGCGCCACATGAAGGCGAGACACTTACCGGCAATGATATCGCCCAGCAGCCATGTTAGGTTGTAGTGGAAGATCCAGCCGAGGAATGGGAAGAGCTCGTGGAGGTAGCGGATGAGGCCTGGTAATGTGGGCATAAAGTCCAGGAGCAAGTCCTTGATGGACGACTCCGTCTCGATATAGGAGCCATCGTCATAATAGGCCGAGTCGTCGAGAGTGTCGTTGGGATCAATGCCGAGGAACCGTTTGACGCGCTCGCCAAGCCCGTTTGGAGCCATGATATCGATAGCAGCTCGTATGCATAAAGCTCAGGCTCCAGGACGCAACATCAGCGAGGGGCGGCAGCAAGCTTTATATGCAGGCATACGCTTTCAGGGACTCTCTGATTTGGGGGTTACCACGCGATGTTGGATCCCCTGTCCTCAGGTCAGCTCTGCCTCTATCTCCCTTGGTCCCTTTACCCAGGACTGTTTGGGAGGTTAACAAAGCCGATGGCGTTCCTGACATGGGATGGACCAAGGTTCTGGATCTAGATAGTCGAGCACGAGCTTAAGGAGGCTTGCGTGATGATAGGCTGTCCCGCGGGATGTTTCTCTCCAGATTGCGGATCGGCAAGAGGCGAGGCGTGGCAATGACACATGGGAATATAGGGAATCCGACTCGCCTCCACGCAGCCGACTGCGAGTAAGTGGTAACACTGGGATTGGGGTAGTAGCTGGGGATGTGACACGGGGAGCAACCACACTTGACCTCTGCAGAAGCCCTCGGCGAGGGAATATGTATGTGCAGGGTACGGGGAAAGGATAGCTTGGCTCAGGTAGCCATGGTGAGCGTGCGGCAGCAATGAATGATGGGGGGCAGCGGAGACTCGAACCCGGGGGCTGGAATCGATTCCGGAGTGCCGCCAAGTCGGCCCTCGCCAAGTTCACCGACAAGTTACCTTAGGCAATGCCAAAATGCCATGCAAAGGAATGCTTTTTGGCAACTGGAAACGCATTGAGCCCTGTCATTCGTCCGTTCTGACGAGCTCTTGCATGATTAGCACACGAGCGGCATTGCCCAAGACATAAAATGATAAAGGATCGAACAGTCCTAATGTGTTACCAGCTAGCCCATATGGACACCGGAGATGAGGGTTCTGGCATGCTGTGATAACGAGGCCAGAAGGTGAAGATGGAAACCCAAGACGGACCAAGACTTGGCCAAGGAAGCTTGATCGCGTCTTCCTGATGATGCGATGCCGCATTTCGAAGTAGTGGAAGGTATCCGTAGAGCTTGGGCTTCTTTGCTTCAAGTGCAGTTCAAAGACGGTTATCTTGGTGCGCATTGGCATGGCGCAACGCCACTGCTTGAAGTGCCCCGACTTCTCCCGTTGCGTCCAGTCGCGTTTATCATCACTTGGCGGAAGCTGCAAGAGTGAGACCGACAGACGCTGCTGCACAGAGCAGGACAGCAGGTGCCAACTGGGCGCACGCGAACTGTTTCCAAGAAGCAAGAGGCAGATATGGATGTATGTACATACATACCTGGGAAATATCTTTCCTCTTTTGGCAAGTCGCTCTGCTGTTCTCGTTAGTTTACCACCTACTATTGGCTGCATTGGTCCCCAGCCGTGTATGAAGTTTGAGACCAGCATCAAGTCGGAAGGAGCCAGGCTCAACAATTCCAACCTCGAGCAATTGATGAGTCCTTCCTCTTCCAAAGTTCAATATCACCACCAGCAAAATGAGCAGACTCTGCCTGCACTCCACTCCGAGCGCAAAAGAGATCTAGAACCTGGCTTCGCATGGCTGCATCTCGTCTCCGCGAAATGTCGCCTTTGTCATAGTTTGGCCGGAGTGGGGGACAGCTTGCGGATTGCTGCCCGCTTGGAGGTTGGAAAAGAATAAAAAGGGACGTGCTGCCCACCTTTGTGCATGACGACATTTCAGGGGTTCTCTTGCGCGATCGAGCACGAATGCCCCATGGCCAACCATTCCGCACACGACTGCCCAGGTGCGAGCACTTCCCTCGACACACATTTGGTATAATCGCTTCTTACTGAGAGCTGAACCGTGTTGTCGGTGTGGGAGTGGTGTGTTGAACAGAGCATTTCATCAGCAGGGATTGACTCCGCATCCGACACTTCCTCAGGACGGGGTAAGGCCGCCTGAAGCCCCGATCCGCGTACCGTCAACCGGGTTTTTCACCAAAGGCTCATCTAAAGTCCAAAGTTTGGGACCAATTGATGGGTTTTGAAGGCTCGCGAATTATCTCTTCTTTCAGCCAAATCTCCAAATCTGATGATACGGGTGCGAAGGGGCCAGCTCAAAATTCTCAGTGGTTCAACCCTAAGGTATTCTTTGTGGCTCTGAGAGACAGAACCATCAGGAGATGCTGCTGAGACAAGTACCATTTCCATTTGTGAAGGAATCGAAGCCAGCAACTGCTGCGGGCTGATTCTTTCCCACAAAGGACAAGGCCAAGAGGCCTGAGGTCTTCAGAGCACACCAGGGTGAGGTCTCGCTTGCAATGGGATTGCCAACCATGTCCTCGCTGGCTCTGGACACAGGTAATTGCAATGCTGGGAAGTGCACGGTAACCGGAGTCCAGGGAAGGGTATGGCTGCGCATACCGAAGATGGGAGAAAGTCCCAGTACCATGGATGAAGGTCCATCCTGGAGAATGGACCTGGGATAGCCCCGCCGTTGGCGGAACTGCAGATGATTATTGTATCCAGGCCATTGGCTAGGATAGGCATCAGTGCTCGTGACCGAAGCCTCCTGTTGGAGTGGCGCTATCACGCCTTAATTAGACGACGCAGCTTATACAGGCCCGTCTACCACGTTGAAAGAAGCAGGGTCGCAAGCGCGCCCACCTATTGCAGAGGATCGAGTTATGGCACTGGATCTGTTACGTACAGGTTGTTTACGTGGGCAGTTTCTGCCCCCCAACATGCGGTCGACAAAAGAGGAGCATTGCCTTAGTTTCTCTGTGTCTCACGCACATCTTCTGCACCAACCCAAACCTCCTGGGATGGGGGACCCGACGCAGCGATGCGCCGATACTGGGTGACTTGGGTCGCCTAGGTGGGATTGGAACTGTTGTCTTCCTTCTTATCTTGACCTCCATCAGCCCTCCAACCGAGGATGTGCTCGATAACAGCCCTGTTTGGATGCAGGAGCCGCAGGGAAAACGAGTCGAGAGATCTATGCATCATCGGCATCCCAACTGACGTCTTTTGACACGCAGATTCGAAATGCATTCCGCCTCTGTCGATAGCCCCCCTTACAGTCCTAGTCTGGACTATGATTGCTCGTTTCCCGAGAGGCATTTCCTTTCTCGAGAATCTCCTGCAGACGGTTCGCATCAAGCCGGCATGCCCAGCCTTGTTGATAGCGCCCCTGGTCCTTCGCAATCGGAAGTCGACAAGGCGTGTGAGCCAAGTTTCCCGTCGGTTTGGCCATTAGACTGGACGGCTCAACCCCAGACATTGTTCCTTCAAAATGGAGTAAGTGATGCAAGGCTGCAGGCAACAGGCCCTATTGATACTTAAGTGTTGGCTGACGTGGTTGCAAGACCTCCGCTCCCAACTTGACGGCGGAAAACAACATCCTTCCGAGCTTGTTGCACCAAACTGCCCGTCCAATGCAAGAAGAATGGGGCATGTTCCGCGAGCAGTCTCCAGGAGCTGGCTTCTGGGATCTCACGCCTCCAGATTCCGTCGAGGACGATTCAGATTCCATGCTGAGTCCCAGAGACAGTCCACAGAAGTTCTCTTCGCAGATGACGGCATGGCAAACCTTGCAGGGGCTCAGAAGACGAAGCTTGCATAGAGTTGCGAAACCTTTGAGAGTTCCGGCACCGACATATGGCCCAGCCCTCCAGACAGGCGTACACGCCAACGGCTATGCCGCCTCCGACTTGGGGTTCTCTGACAGCGTTGCCGCCATCTTGCTGGACAATGTGAATACAGCCCACGACGGCGCCGAAATCGACATAGTGTTTCAGGACAGTGCCTCGGCGTCCAAGGACGACTCAAAACGCATAGCACACAAACTATCGGAAAAGAGCCGGCGCAACAGACTCACCCTGGCGATACGCGAGATCCAGAAGCTGCTGCCCGCCGAGGGAACCCGGCAAGAAGCGGACCCGCTTGCCCGGCCTGGGATGCCAGTCAGTAAGCTGGATGTCGTCGAGATGGCCATCGGATTCATCAAGGACCTGAAGGAGCGGAATACGGCAATGGAGAAGAAGATAAGGGAAGTGGAAGCCATATTAGCGGAGTGCCACTGTCGGCGGGAGAAGGGTGATTCAGAAACGTCCAGTCCGGGCATTAGCACCAACTAAGAGATCCAATAAGTGCCTACATCAACTGCATGTTCATCAAGACTTGTCTGAAGTCTCGGTGAAGCATCACAAAGACATATCACAGCCTTACTGCTAGTATACCTGTGATACGTACTTGCGATTTAGTCGAATCAGATGAGTCCACGGTGCAACACACTTCAATCTGCCCAGGCTCAGAAGTTGAGGCTGTGCCCGAACATTCGCATCGCCCAATGCTCACCGCCTTGGCGGGGATTCACGGTCTGCTCTTCGCAGCCCAACCGAGATGCCTAACGTTAGGTACCGTCAAGTCGACTGCGAGTCTTCAAAACCGGGCTCAAACGCTGGCTGAGTCCTTGCCTACTTACCTACTCACAGCAGCTAGAGCCTAGACGTGAGTTTTAGCCCCCTTTTCTTCCTGCCCCTGACCTGCCGAGTTTAAACACACCCTTTACCCCTTACCCCTTTTATTGCTACCTCAGTTTTGCCCCTTAAGGTATCTTATTAACCCCGATCACCGCCCCGTCCTCCACCCGCGTCGGTAACATGTCATTTGTCAAGTCTTTCTCGGCCAGGTATGCCGATGAGGATACCATCTATGGGGCCCTGGCCAAGATATTTCCTATGGAAACCGGAATCACTGTCATCGTAAGCATAAACAAAACTTCTTACCCCTGCCTAATCGCCGTATCCAATGGAGGCATACCAATAACGTAACTACTTATGTGTAGTACCAACGTGGCCGTTTCATCTGCACTACGCCTAGGGAACTCACGAGGGTTAGTACCGGTGATCTATCTGCAACTCCTTCCCTTCACGCAGTCCCTCATGGTGATGCTCTGCACAGGAGGAGACTTCGGCTATCAAGGCCGCCATAAAGGCGAATCATTATGGGGATGAGTCCTGATGAATACACTTGGGCGGACTGCATACGTGAGGAGGTTGTTTAGGGTTCATGGGGGTAATAGATCAACTTGAAGCGATGGGTCTAAAAGTAGAGGAGACGGAGCAGGGGTTGCAAAGTTGGCCACGCTGACTGTTCAACACATATTGGGTAGCGGTATCCATGATTGGTTTCACTTTTGATTGGAAGTGCGATTCTAAATCTCCTGGCATACTAAATTGCACACGCGGTACATAGTTCCTACACTACTACTTAGATAGTAGGACAGTGGAGAGGGTAGTGTACAAAAGTACTTGAAAAGAAGTTGGTTGACACTGTTGAAAAGAGATGGTTTGAAAGGGGGGATTGTGAAGAGCGGCCACATTGTCCAATGTAGAGTCAAAGGATGTGACCATCCCATTCACGCGTTTTCCGTTCCGGTGATCGCCGTCCAGTGTACCGAGGGATGTTCAATGTGGCCTGGCTAATGTGTCTCAGGGCTTCGATGCTGAGCGGCTCAACAACAGGTCGTTGTTCTGGTATGGCAAGACTGCCGCTGGGAGGTGCTGGCACTGTGTAGTATGAACGGTCTTTGTCGCACTTTCGCTTCATCTCATCGAAGAGGGGCGCTATCCTCTTCGCCGTTCCCCTGGCGCTTTTTTCTATTATCAACATGTGGTCTTGAATGATATCGAGAAAGTCCTGAATGAACTGAGTGGCCTCTGGTCTTGCGCGAAGTGTCGCGATCCACTGAATAGGGGTTTGCATTGGATGTGGTCAGTGAAAAGTCAGGCCAGGCTGTATCACGGTTTTGTGAACTTACGTTCATGACACTCGGCTTTACAACCGTGACATGTTCTTCCAGTCCCCCTTTCTTGGGATCCTTGAAAGTTTGCACCTCCCAAAAGATGTCGTTCCTTATGTTATGGCCTAGATGGGGTGCGAAGCGCTTACGTTGGAAATCGTCTCTTAATGCTGGGCCACCTACTACCCAGGTGACAAATTCCAGGAAAACACAGCCGGAAGCCCATATATCTATGGACCTGGATATGTGGTCTCCAGGCAAGATACTCTCCGGGGGGGCGTAGGCCAATGTATGGAGGATGTCCTTATTGTCGACCCCGGAACGCGAGTTTTTGTGGTTGAGCGAACTTAGCCCAAAATCTGAGAACACAAGCTGCCCCGATGCAAGGGGATGTCCAAGGTTCGAGTTCCCCTTGTACCAGAGAATGTTCTCCGGCTTGATATCGCCATGTCGTCCATATAGCTGGTTCATTTCCGGGTCCAGAACATCATTACCGGGTTTGTGTATCCATTTGAGGGCCTGGAACAGCCCATGACATTGATTAGCAACCCAAATGATCAACGACTGACTTATTTCATGCCCTCGACCGCGGCCCCAGTAGTCAAGAAGATCGCATTCTGCCCACGGAAATAACAGGCAGTAGCTCCCGTCGTAGTGAAACGTGGTAAGGAGCCGGACGATGTGTGGCTTCTTGCCGCTGAGTTCGCGGAGCATAGTGACCTCGCGATGAAAATCAGCCTCTTTTTTGGTTTTTAGTTTTTTCACGGCAAAGGTCACTGGGGAACCGGTCGCCTAATGACATGTATGCGGTGTCAGATGTTCTGCTGCTCGAAAATCCGAGTCTTCTAGCCGGTGCCGTGCAACTTACAGCGTTGAGACCGTCGAAGCGGTAGTGACCCTCATGAATGCATACTCGGAACACATCACTGTGGCCGCCCCCTGGTGCGTCTGTTTCGCCATTTGTTGAAGTCGATGAGGAAGACGCCATGCTGCCGGTTGCCCGAGGTGTGTGATAGTTATGCCAAGGCATCATTGTTGACTTTGTGAATGTCTGGTGCTCATTCTTGAAGCATGGCAGGAACACCCTCCATTGGGAATTCAGAAATGAATCGCGACAGTCGGGTGGCCAGCCCAGTTCGCAGTCCGGAATACTTTTGTCCCAATCTCTGGACCGTATGCTGTCGTCATCCTCCCCTTCTACAAATGGAAATGCCTTGTCGTTCAGCTTGTTGTCGAAAAACCGAAAGATGTCATTTGGCCTGCCGCAAAGAAGCAACACAGCAAAGACGCGTGCAAACTCGCCGAGCTCATCGGACCCGCCGCCTCCTCGTATCAGTCGAACGCACTCGGCAGGGCTGTAATCTTGACGTGCCCGTTTACCAAGGCACAGACTCAGTGAGATTCTTTCCTTGGTCAGAACCTCTGCCAATAAGGCGTGGGGGATTATAGTTTTGTGGCTCTCGGTGGTGCCATCTAGGTACAATGCCTTGGACGCCTTCCTCAACAAGAGGCCGACTGGGTTTGAGTTGGGTTTTGCTTGTGCTCGGATAATAGCCTCGCATTCCTTGACGACCTGGGCAACACGTTCCTGGGAAGGGGGCGAATACGCCACTCTGGGGGGAGAGGCTGGAGGTGAAGTTGGTAGGATCTCCTCGTCATCGGGACCTTGGATTCGGATTATCGGATTCTCGCCTACAATTGTTTCATCAGAAAACGGTCTCGTTTAACTTCAGCCTAACCAAAGTTGAAACTCACCCATTCCATTGGGCTGCAAAAGGCCCGGGGCCATATTCAGCTCTATGAGCCGTAGTAGCTCAACTCAAAGTACCTTATTTATGTTCACGTTCTGTAGATGCCTTATGCTTGCCGGTGAGAGGAGGCCCGGTTTCAAAGACAAAGTGAATACTTAGGTAGTCGACGTTGTTGAGGGGTATCCGGAAAGGTTGATGACTCTGGCGATGTGACTATGATACTTGGTAGATCATAGACTTGATGTGGCTCGGTAGACCGAGTTGGAGAAAGATTCTATGTCCTGTCTAAGATGACGACGAGGGATTATGTACAGGTAGATAATGTGCTTTGCATGCTGAAGTGCCGTCCGTTCCTTCCCTTTGCTCGGCATGAGGCTCTCGAATTCAGTGCCTACATGGAAGGAAGTAGGTGCCTTGCCAACACTGTGGTGGTACAACTTAAGCCCGGAGCTTTTCCCGCCTACCTTACATCGCAGCCCGTTTTCTGAAGGGCTTTGCAGTTGCTCGCCTCATCAGCCACCTATCGGTGCCCAGGCGTTCTGCACATTTGCTCACCGTGAGGTGCCAGCTAGGTATGATGCCTTGAGGTGACGGTAAACTTGGAATAAGGCAACCAACCAATGCTGCAGGCAGACATTGGCAGAACCAAAATGTCGCCAGTTCTAATTCGCGATGGAATCTAATGGCCATTGACAGGCAATGACATGAATTTCCAGAAAGGGGGCTCCGAATTGTCCGTTTCCTTGCAGGTAGCATGGAGGCAGCCAAGGCAAATGGAATGAAGTGAGTTCCATTCTTATGCAAAGGTAGGTCCTTCCCTTATGAACTACAGTGGGTTGTATCATGTATGCGATGGGGGGAAAGAGGCATACCCGATACCCGACATGCATAATGCACCTCCCTGCCCAGTGCCCAAGGTTGACATTGGGAACAAAATTGTGCATTCAACTCGAATCATGCTTCCTTCTGTCCGCGCACTACGGACAAGACTTTGCTGCAAGCACACTGCGCTTCGCCCCAAGTGGACGCCACACAATATACCACGGGCATAATTACCTCCATACGCTGCGAGGGCGCAGAGTCGGGTCCGTCTCATCGCTGGCTGATCGTCCGCCTAGTCGTTGTGAAACAGGAACCCAACTGCTTTTGCTTGGACGTGATGGTATCTTTGTGTTACGGTGAGGTGACTTGACTGTAGTACCATGTGGTTGTTGGCGGCACACGCAATACAATTATTACAAACTAATGTAGTAGTAAAAGCTTGCTGCGGTTAAGGAGGTACTACCCTCTAGGCTACTCTAGGGGCCAAAACCCTTGCCACAGCAGATGCACAGGGCTGTGACCAAAGTAACCGTATTTGGTAACTCGGTTGGCTCGGAGACTGCCGTGAGACAGCAAACAGCTCGGCTCCCCGACGTTTTTACTCTAGCACAACAAAGTAGATATGAACATTTTACGAGAATGCAGTTAATGTAAAGCACGAGGTCAAGCTACTCGTCTTCAAGTCTGTCAGTTTGAATCATAGTTACCACTTACTAGCGCGCGGTTTTTCAGACATGGACGGGCAACGACCGATGGAAGAGCTGAGTGAAGCTCGGAATCTCAACAAGGTGCTCGGCTTTCGCAAAGTCGGTGAGGAGGATGGGGAGTTTGCTGTGGACGAGATCTGGGACCCAGCCAATACCACACTAGCTATTGTGGTGAGACGTCGGAATGATGATGATGTGAGAAATTTTCATATTCCTTTCTAGCTCGCTCCGATACTCATGACATTGTAGGAACCCGACCAGCGGATACTCCGAGATGAGGAAGACTGGGAGGAATTGTTCGCAGAAATATTACCCCCGAGCAATACCAAGACTTCAAGCTCAGACATCACCTGCAGCCTAGATTCGAGGATTCATCCGACATCTAGGCTCCTTTTAGTGCAGGTTCCCCAATACCATCCTCTGGCTCAAATTCGCACGCTAAACCCATGCTCTAGATTAGCACATCCTGAAAAAGAATCCGAGCTGCTAATAAGACACACCCCTACCTTGCAAATTCCGAACAAGCAAGAGCCGGCCGATGCAACAATGACTGGTCCCGGCAGGGTGGTCACTAACACAGCTCAAAACGTTGCCGCGAAGGTCTTTGGTAGCTGCCGTACTGCAATCTCCGCTCTGACCTCCCTTTTCTCAAGAGGAGACGAGGTGCAGCGAAACGAGAAAGTAGAGGAACCTAAGAAAGCAAATATGGGATTACCTGCCGATGGGTTCAAGATGCCTATTCCAGCAGCCCCATATCGTGACCACAGGAAGAGACTACGGAGCATATCGTTTACCCTGAGGACCTTTCGGACCATAGCAAGAAGGATGTCTATTCACAGTTGGATTGGTCGATTAATAAGCCGGGCCAATGTGCCAACATTTGAACGCACTGTGACAACAATGCCGCTGTATTCGAGTACTGGCGAAAATATTGGTGGTCACAAAGCCATAGGTATGTCGATTCAAGCTGCGCTCGCAGGGGAATGTATGTGTAAATGCTTACCTGGTATACTGAGTTACGCACATATCGCAGTCTATAACTGTCGGACATCGAACGAGTGGGAAAATGACATGGCATTGGCCGTTACTCACTTTCCAAGCCAAAAACTAACCTTTGCCATGCTGTTCGGCGCCTCGGAAGAGCAGGAAAGAAGCGTCTTGACACGTCTCAGAAAGGCAGGCGCAGATACAGCTCACCCGATGCTCCTTCCGGGAATACTGGCAGAGCTGGAGCGTATCAGGCAAATGGATGCCGTGGACGAGATGATCAATGATCTGGAAGAACAGATTTACCAGATCGACAACCAGACTGTCGCAACTTGGAACCTCAGCCAACAGACAAAGGCCGAAAGGAACAAGCAGAAAAGGAAAGCCTGGCTCGACGCCACCTTCCTGAGAAACCTTTTAGCGGCCAATACCGCCTTGTTACTCAAAATGCGTAGGCACCTCGACGAGTTTCCCATTTTGGTTGGCCATTCAAGCACGGCGAAATGCTGCCAACATGTGTGTCGTCAACAGCCTACACTTGTCGACGACCTTGCTTATACGGGCACCCGACCTGGCACTCCACAGTCTTTGGTTCGCATTGCCAACCTCTGGCCTCTCCCCGATCCACCGATTCATGGGTCCGAGTCTTTGATGGGTTGGAACACAACCCATGTTGGCTCAGACCCTGAAAGTTCTGAAATCGAGGCAAAGTACGAGGACCTTCTTCACCAGGCGGCTAGTAGGATGAAGGATAGACTTGTCGCCATCATCAGCGAATACGATGACAAGATTAGGGCTTGTACTATGGAAGTTGACGGCATGGCAATGGCAACACAATGGGTTAGTATCCCCACCTCATTTTGCCTGCAAGACGCAGCATGGAGAACGCAATGCTAACCGTCCACATCGCAGTCCCAGGGAGAAACAAACATGGAAATTGCAACAGCTACCGGCGAGGACTCAAGCCAGATGCGGTCCATCGCGCTGGTTACCATGGTATTCCTCCCGGGGACTTTCTTCGCTGTAAGCCTCCTATCTTTGCTTCCTCCATTATCTGCCTGATATACAGTCTAATACTCAACCCCCCTGTCAGAGCATGTTCTCCATGACGTTCTTCGACTGGAACCCTGATCCCGATAGTAACCACCCCGTTGTTTCTGGGAACATTTGGATCTACTTTTTGGCCACTACCGTCTTTACACTCATCACTCTCCTGCTCTTTTGGTACTTCATTCTGTCCCGGCAGAGAAGAAGGAGATTGCCACAGGATTCCTCAGGCCCTGAATGATGAGCTGCACTCAATATTAGGTAGATATCCGATCACTTACATCAAACTCAATTGAAGTCTCTGCCTCTCTTGTTCACCGCTTCCTCGCCCTCAGCCAATCATTAACAACTCTATATGCACACATGCAGTCTCCCACAGCCTCATGCAAATCGGATGCGCCTTGTACGGTTGTGTGCTGGACTGCATCTGGGAGAATATGGCTTTCTCCGTTAGGTGCCAGTTCATCTCCGTCAATGCCCAAAATTGCACAATTCGGCGAGTTAAATGCGCAAGCCAACTATTCGACGCATGTTAGGGCTGGATATGCAGGACGGCAACGTAAGGTGCCTTATCATGTATGTACTATTTCCTTATGTACGTGGGCCCATGGCCGGAAAGGGCGCGGATTGTTCTGCATCAAACATAGGGACAGGTTCCCACTAACAATCCTTGAGAGATTTAGGAGATTTCACTGCCTTGCTATTCGGCATTTCCATCGATACTAAATGTGGTATCCCGTTTCACGTATCCTTCGTCGACCCACTTAGACCAGCCATGAAACGCACACGGCCTGGGGGGCAAGCTTCTTGATCCTCCCGAGTACCCAAGTTACTAGATTACTAGATAGGCACCCTCGCAATGACTGTGTACACGTTCTTTCGCATCTACATTGGCTCAAGGCGGTATTAGTAAGCAGGAAGTAACTATCTGTCTGTCGGGAGGACTGTAGGAAGGAATGCTAATGACATACCTCAATGTAAAAGTTCCCAATTCCGTAGTGCTCCCGGAGCACACAGAAAAGATAGCCTGGGTCCGGCACAAGTCTGTAGTGGAGCTGTTGGACCTTAACCCAGTGAGCCTTTTCCTTTTGGTCTTCCCCTAGGGAGCAGGCGGCATAACCAGTTCCGTATGTGAGTGTGCTCTGCGGCATGCTACTGGAAAACGTGTTGGAAGACCTCGTGGCCGGGTATCGATGGACCAGGGAGAAGCTGTGGAAATTAAGAGCTTGTTGGTGTTTTATTTGTAGATGAGGAACCTGAAAGAAGACGAGTAGGGCGTAAGGGCTCTGGGAGGAACAACTCGAAGCCGTATAAGGCCGTGGGGTTGTTTATCCTAGATGACCAGTTGTTGTTGTTGTTTGTTGTTGTTTACGCTGTCCCAGGTCACTTGGTGCTAGTGAAAGGTGCCTTTGTGGGTGCAACCAGGACCAGTTCCGTACCAACAGAAGTCTACCTCCAACTGAAAGGGGGGAGAGCTTGTAAGTCGCGCTTAGAGCAAGTGAAACGAGGTGCAGAGATGGGCAGAGCTTGCAACTTCAAAAACGGTGTTGAAGCGGTCCATTAGACTGGAACGACAGGTTCAACTTGAAGACCGCCTGATATATTCCATTCTTGAGACGGATCAATCAAGAATTCATGGGTCAATTCCTCCTGGCACCAGTAACTAGACGTGTTTCTAGCAATGCCGTCGAAATCCTCGGACAATGATGAACACCTTGAAGGCTTGAAATGACGACAACCCCCCATCGGTGCCGAGTTCGCCCTACTGATGTGGGTGTATAGAGACTGTAGTCAGCCATCGGGTGATACGGGTTTTGGAACGTGCAAGGGCACTCGTCATACGTCACGGTAAGGCAGACGTGCAGGTTGACAAAGAACTGCTTTTCCGCCTCACCTTATCATCTTAATTATCTAGCGGGCAATGAGCCTCAAGCAACAGATCGCTACGTTGTACGGCCGTGGGCTTACTCGGCAATGCACTTGAGCATGATGGCGCTGTGCGTGTCTCCCTATAGTTGAGCCGCGGCAGACGCACTGAACGGGAAAACTTAAACCAATGATATTTGAACATATTAGTAAGTTGGGCATCCATGTCCTCTCGCGTAGATAACAAGATTTCAATGTGCATAAACTAGACGCAAGTCTCTGGACCAAACACTGCAGCTAAGGTAGCCCTGATTGCAGATGTGGCTTGTGGAATGCAGCTGCAGCGGGGATGTTTCTGCAGAGGATGTTGAATAGGACCCAACCAACAGCGCTGTACCAACCCACCTGTTGGCTAAGGTACCTGAGTCCTTCCGCTCCTTAGTCTCTCAGGGGCCATTATCAAGGTCGATGGAGAAAAGATTGGGGGAGACAACAAAATTTAGGCCAAACTACTAAAGTGAGGCTTGTAAGAAATGAAGCCAGGCTCATCTCAACATGGTGTCCTGACGGGATTTGTTGTGGGAACGAACTTCATTGCTACTGCTCTGATGATGGTGAAGAAGAGAGATGGCTGGTGAGGCTCTGGAAGGTAAGCCTATATAGGGTTGCCTTCAATCCCGGTGCTGAAGGTGTTTGCACTATCAAAGTGGACAAAGGAGCTCTAAGGCCCAAAGAGCTCTACCAACGTTTGTCCTAAACCGGTGTTAGTTACAGGTCACTGCTAAGGACATCGCGCCATCGTTCAGCTTCCGTTCGTCACATTGACGACTGGTACTGTTGAATGACACAAACATGGGGTAGAAATATGAGTGTACTGCTCAGCCTTGAGTAGCTAACTCAAGGATCTGGGAGACGGCCGGAAGACATGTAGCTACAGTCTAATGGATCTCTGCTTTTAGAGGACCATGTGATAGTGATGGCTTGTTTTCTTCGGCCCTGAATCTTGACTACGTAAGGCCCCTACACTTATTGCTTTAAATTCTTGAAACGGGCCTCGGCCCATGGCCCAAGATGCTGATGTTGGTTGGTACTACTAGTACCGTCGACGCTGCATGGTCTGTAAGCCCGAGAGCATGTCGAGTATCAGCAATGAACCATCAGTCGCTGATGTACGCCATATGTGGCCCGGGCCGCGTTGACCAAGAACCAAATGACCTCAGAGACTCTCATATCCAGCCGGTCTCCGGGGCGGCAGTAGTATACCTGCATCACAATGGCATACAATGGCATGACAGTACACCCACCAAGCTGGAGTATGGGCAAAGGATCACTGTAGACCTTTAGTCCGGCGGCAGCAAAAGCGGAAGCAGAAGCATTCCTAGTAGCGCCTCCAATGCCCCCCGTCTGAATGCCGCCAGGGGCAACTCCATGACCGGATGAAAACAGGGGCCCCGGTTGATTGTTGCAAGCGAGGCATGGGAGTTAGCAACACACACTGCGGCTTGTTAAATAGTTTCAGTCCAATCTGACGTACATGCAGTCCAATTGGCCCTGAATTGACTCGGATTGCATTGTAGGTGTGCAAGTTGAGGTGTAGCAGGGGGTTTTGGTTGGCAGGGCAACAGGAAGGTAAAGGGTTATGGTCAGGGTTAAGCCAAGGTGCACTTAAAAGCTAAAACCCTCTCTGCTCGAGCAACCCCTTTTGTTTCCCCATGAAAATTCAAAACAGGTAATGAACCTCCTCCTCCCGCCCTGCTGCGTACTCCGGTTTGAGACGCTCTGGCTGTCGCAGATGACCTGTGATAGGAAATGAAAGTCCCGGGCCTTTGCATCCTTCGGCGATAACCTGCTTACCAAATGGCTGGCCAATGGGCATTGGTAAATCCGAACTCCAAATTCATGTACTGAGTAAGGCCGGATGATGCAATCTGAATATACCCATACAGCATGCCCTCTTGATCTGTGAGTGCGGAGTTTAACCGCCGAATTTCTAATCGCAACCGGGTATAAAAGTAGGACTCGTCTTCCATGATAACCTCCAAGCCTCCAAGCAGGTCAATCACATCTCTACACATAGTACTAAAATGGCAACTATCCCGGAGACCTACCGAGCCGTTCGTCGTAGCGCAGGCACGCCGAGTCTAGAGAATCCCCTGCGTCTAGAGTTCTCCACGGAAAAGACACTTCCCGAAGGCGGGTTGCGCAGCAACGAGGTGCTAATCAAAGTCCACGCCGTGTCGCTCAACTACCGCGATGTGTCGATGCTCCACGGCAACTATCCATCACCCGTTACCCCGCGGGGCATCTTGGCGTCCGACTGCGGTGCCGAGGTGGTAGCCGTCGGCGACAGCGTGACCAAGTTCAAGGTTGGCGACCACGTCAGTCCCACGTTCGATCTGGGCAACCTCACGGGCGAGATCGGGCCCGAGGGCCACATCGCTGTTGGCGGAGATGTCGATGGTGTGTTGAGAGAGTATGCCATCTTTGAAGACAAGTACCTGGTGCACCTGCCAAAGCACCTCTCTTGGGAAGAGGTGAGTTCCTCTAGGCTGTGCCGTAACAAATGCGCCAGAACGGAACGTTGACCAGCAAGTCGCAGGCTTCAACCCTGAGTTGCGCGGGCATCACCGCCTGGAATGCCCTTAATGCACCCCATTCCTTCCACAAGAAGAAGACGGTCCTCATCCAAGGTATGCCGTCTATTAGCTGGAGATGACCCCTTTCAGCCCCAGTCTCTAGCTCATATGAATGCAGGAACCGGCGGCGTAAGCCTCCAAGCCCTGCTAATCGCCCTCGCGGGCGGTATTACGCCCATCATCACCTCATCGTCCGACGAGAAACTGAACAACCTCCGTGAAAAACTCGGCAGGCCAGACCTCTTGGGTTTCAACTACCGTACCCACCCGGACCAGGCCGCCGAAGTGAAGCGGCTCACGGGCGGCCGGGGCGTCGACATTGTCGTCAACAACGCCGGGCCAGTCAGTTTTCTGGCCGATATTGACTCGCTCGTGCAGTCGGGGGGAACCATTTCCATAGTAGGGTACCTAGGCGGGTTCCAAGCTGATTGGAATCCGGGTGAGCTGTTCAAATTGGTTGCCAAGCATGCAAAGCTCCAGTGAGTCGAGACCTATTTAAACCCTTAGTTTGATGGTTCTGGTTCGGTTTCGATTGCTAATGACGTGCGACAGGGGCGTTCTTGTTGGCTCGCGGGACGACTTTGAGGCCATGAACAAGCTGTTCGAGGAGAAGCGTGTTTCGCTGCTTCCGCTGGTGGATGACAAGGTGTTTGACTTTGACGAGTCCCAGGCGGCGTTTGACTATTTGTGGTCAGGCAAGCACGTCGGGAAAGTTGTCATTAGAGTTTAGGGCGAGTTGGCAAGAGATAGAAACTGGATCACCAGGACGTTCTGTCGGCCTGCTCGGTTTCCATTACCAACCTGGAAGGGCTGTTGGAATTCTTGGTGGTTGTTCCCTGATTCGATTGATTGGATTGTAGGTTCTGAGGAATAGACGCAGGTCAGCATTGTATTTTTTCACTGGCGAGTGTTGAATGCAGTGGGTAATCCTTCGCAACTGGCCCTGTTGGGCGCCTGCTCATTTTCTCAGGCTTGCGACGCTGCAATGACAGGAAAATCTGAAATCTTGATGTGTGAAATGCAATTATTCTTCCATAATATGCGTAGGGGAATTACATAGCGAGATAAAAAGAGAAGGAGGCAGTGAGAAAAATATAAGTTTCCTGTAGCTGCGACTCGTTTCGATCGAGTGACCTCCGGGTTATGAGCCCGGCGCGCTTCCGCTGCGCCACGCAGCTTCTAATTGCTTGTTAATCAGTGAAAGATAAAGAGGTATAAAAGCAGAAGGGCTCTTCGATGTTTGAGACGGATGAAGTTCATGATGTTGATGGAAACCTCCTTGCTTACGGAGCGCCGGCACCCCAACAAGCAGGCCGCCTCGCCCCACCTGGCACCTCTTTAGGGCGCCCCACAGCGGTCCGTCGCGTCCCCGCAGGGCCACAGCACTGCCGATGACTTACACGTGTACCTCTGTAGCGTACATACACTATTAAATTGTTTATTAGATAGAAAGGGATCTCCAGATCGGATGAAGAGAAAGGCCTTGTAATCCGAGAGCGGAGTATGTCAGCATGAGATGCTATGCTGGGGAAATCCCCCGAGGGACCTCAGTCCGCCTTCTTTTGGTGATCCGGCCAGCCGAGACCTTCGACCCCAATCGACCTCGGGAGGAATTGCGTGTTTTCCGCGATGGACCCCCGGATAGACGCTGCAACAACGAGGCAAGATATCCCGGAGGTCTCTTTGCCTCGCGGATGTCGATCCTATGTTCATCTAACAGGGTATAGGCGCGGAATTCCTCGAAGCTGTCCCACACCTTGACTCGCTTGCCTGTCCGCCGCGCATCGATGAGGTCGACAATGTTAACCAGCGTATTCTTTAAACATCTCTTGCACTCGGCGACCGAGTCGCTCGGGTTAATGCCGACCTCCTGGCATAGTGCTTGGTAACCTCGGAGTCTTATCTCTTCTTCGCTTAGCTCCTCTTCCTCGTCGATGTTGTCGAGCTGCGGTTGCGAGAAGTAGTGGAGTTCGAGTTCCTCTTTTATCGCGATGGTGCGCTGTCGGGTGTATTCCTGGAGCCGGGAACCCACTGTTGGGATGAAGCGAGACGGGCGAACTCGTGGTCAAATGATGCCGCGTCGTTGGGCGTGAAATCCTCAAATTTGGCGAAATGGGACTGCGAAGTCGGCCGGGCACCATCGTGGTACCCATCCAGTGCATCCACTGACGAGCCAGACATTTGGGATCACAAAGATTGGATCAAAATGCTTTACTTCAGACCAAATCGCGTCACCGCGGCTTCTTGGGCATTTGTCGCGTTTCTACGGCTAATCAAGGTTATCACTGTATTCAGGCGGAGGCCCGTGCTCTCCGCGGTGTGATTAGGCGGTTCAACGCGTGCATTTCCAGTGCTTGGCGCGCTGTCCTTCGGCAAACATGGCCATTATGAAGAGCAAGTGCCCCCCTCTCTGTAGGTGTCTAACTTGCATTCGTCGCAATCCGACATCGTTTCTCAACACCGATGCATTTCATTCAAATGGTTCAGTTCTCCATAATCTCCCCTTTGCGCGTTCACCATTCCCCTAACGGCAGTCTCTCCGGTCGCACGCTTGCCTGAGCGACCAATCGACGGGCGGATCGCCGACACGCGGCTCCTATGTCCAACTCTGCACCATGATACTGCGGCATCTCGGTGAGCCTCAAGGGAAAGGGGGCGTGACTACTTTCCCGAGATGTAACAATGGCAATTACATGCTCCTGAGATGATTGTGCCAACAAATTCGACCTGGGACTGATATATCGGCTCCATTCCGTTCAAAATGTCGAAAGATGACCGGTTCTCATTCCCAGGGGTTCTCATCGCAAGCCACCAACCCCGAGCTATAGCACCCTTCTGCTCGTCATGGGCTTCCGCCAGTTTGCCACGGCCGCCCTCGCTGTCGTCAGCCTCTCCGTATACCAGGGAGTTGCAGATGCCATCGACGTCGACCTTGGAGTCTCGGCACTGACTTCGGAAGTCGAATCGGACTGGACTTCCGTCTACTATTCCAAGAAACAGCTCCTCCTGCTTGGCAATGACGGGAGTCCCACAGGGGGATGGCTTGCCTGGAAACTGGACTCGGCTTCGCCCTTGACCCAGGTGCACGCCGAGACGCCGGGTCGCAGGACCAAGCTCGTGACCACCCTCTACGCGGATGCGGACGATTCAGATGAGGAGGACCTCATCGTCAGCATTGGGCAGCCCGACTCGGTCATTCGAGTGTGGGAGGCTGACGACTTTGAGGAAGTCAAGTCGGCACGGTTCGTGGCTCTGGGAGATTGGTCGGCACTGTGCTCGTGGAAGACGGCAACTGGATCGGATTATCTGTACCTTTTTGGCAAGAAACAGGCCAAAATGTTTCTCATACGCAGAGCCCATGGTGACGATGACGATGATGATGACGACGACGACGATGATGATGTTAAGATCATTGAGGTTTGTCTGTGACGATCTAGGAACTGGTGAAGACAATGCTCATGCCATTCTAGGTTCAAACCTTCCCTCTCCCCATCGAGCCGTCAGGCTGCGCAGTCTCGCCCTCTCTGAGCAAGATGTTTCTCTCGGCCGATGATGACAAGGACGTCTACGTCTTCAACCTGGCCGAGTCCACCACCCCGCCCGCAGTCAGCAAGATTGGGGAGGCCGAGGACGACGTGACGGGCGTGGCTGTCTACGTTTCAAACACTACGGGCGTCGACTATCTCTTCGTAGCAACCGAGGACACTGTGGCCGTGTACGAGCCACCGCTCAACCTGCTTGGCCACTTGAACCTTGTTGGCTACGAAGACATTGAGATTCAGGGTCTCAGCATTCACCAACGTGCCACATCCAAGTACCCTAGCGGCGTACTTGCATACGCTATCGAGGCTGAGGACGTGAAAGGCTTTGGTATCAGCTCCCTGGACGGCGCTATCCAAACCCTAGGACTCAAGGTCAACACGGCGTACAATGCCAAGATTGGAGGCAATAAACAGTCACCCATTTGTGGCGCCTGCTCTAGGAACGGCTACTGCACCAGAGCCAGCAGGGGTATCGAATGTGCTTGCTTCTCAGGCTGGCAAGGCAAGACGTGCAGCGCATTCACCTGCCAGGACAACTGTTCAGGCCACGGCCGGTGCGTTGGGCCAAACACATGCCAATGCGATCGGGGTTGGGGCGGCTTGCACTGCTCCTTCGTACTTGTGAAGCCGACAGCAGAGACAACTGCCAACGGTGGTGATGGAGATGACCCCGCCATCTGGATCTCGCCCACGGACCGGGCTCAATCCCGCATCATCACGACGACAAAGTCAGAGCAAGGCGCAGGATTAGGCGTCTTTGATCTTTCCGGAAAAATTCTGCAGACAATCCCAGCCGGCGAGCCGAACAACGTGGACATCATCTACAACTTCCAGGCAGGCTCGCGCAAGGTTGACCTTGCCTATGCGGCCTGCCGCGAGGATGACACCTTATGGTGAGTGTTCCCCTCTGCCACTCGATTTCAGCGACTTCTAACAGCCTAAAGCCTCTTCGAAATCAAACCCACCGGCCAGCTCGCCACCATTCCCGGCGGCAGCCAACCCGTTATCCCCGACTTCACCGTCTACGGCTCTTGCGTGTACCGGTCCCCGTCAACGCAGAAACAGTACCTCTTCGTCAACGAAAAGTCCTCCCGATACCTGCAGTACGAACTAACCTCAACAGCGAACGGCACTCTCCAAACAACACTAGTCCGCTCCTGGTTTGCCGGCTCAGGCGGGCAGGTCGAGGGGTGCGTCGCGGACGAGGAGAACGAGTGGATCTTCATTGGCGAGGAGCCGCACGCGCTGTGGCGGTACGACGCCGAGCCGACCGAGTCCAACCCTCAGGGCACGGCGGTCGGCACGGTGGGCGACGGCCACATGTATGCCGACGTCGAGGGCGTCACGCTCGTGTACGGCAAGACCAGGGACGAAGGGTATATCCTTGTCTCGAACCAGGGCGTGAGCGCTTACAACGTCTACCAGAGGAAAGCCCCTCACGAGTTTGTCATGACTTTTACGCTTACGGCCTCGGCCGATGGCAAGGTCGATGCGGTTACCAACACGGACGGCATCGCGGCTGTGGGGACCGGGTTGGGGGATAGGTTTCCGAAGGGGCTGTTTGTGGTGCATGATGATGCTAATGAGTTGCCTGGCGGCGGGACTAGTGCTGAGGCAAGCTTCAAGCTGGTGGGACTGGATAGGATTCTTGGGGCGGATGTGGTGAAGCGCTTGGGGCTGATGGATCAGGTCGATAATGACTGGGACCCGAGGGCTTGACGGGGAAAATGGCATGGATAGATTCTCGTCAAGTACCTTCAGGTATGGGAAAACAAGCTCTGTTGCTACTGCTCTCTGCTGATGATGATGGGGAAGAAGAGATCTGGCCAGAGAGGCTCTAGAAGGCAAGCCTATATACCTAGGCTTGCCCAGCTGTGGTGGTGAGGGTGTTTGCCCTGTCAAAGAGCTCTAAGGAGCTCCACCAACATCAGGGGCTGGAATGCCAGCGGCTGTGGATTCGCTACTTATTCGTTTGGTAAGAGCAGTTGCCTACCAAGTTCAAGCCGGACAGAGGCAGTCGCAACTCGCAAGCGGCCCTCCTCCCCCTAGAAGCATCGTGCAAGATTCGGCAACAAGAACTCAAGTGACCAGCCGATTACCAGGTCAATAAAAGTTTGCTCTTGAAATGTGGCTCAGCCCGTCGGCCCACGGCTCTTGCCTTAGAAGATTGGCTGGTTCTCGTCTGTAGGAATCGCCGAATCGGTACACAAGTCCTCCGACACATTTTCACATGCTCGTACAATATAGCGTGGATTGCTCGACTATGACGTCATGAGCGGTCTTGTCTAGGGTCCTCGGCAGGAATGGAATACTCAGGCCGGGCAAGAAATAGGACTGAACGGCAGCTAGTAAAGCGGTTCTAGAACCCTTCAACACACATCTAGCCAATTCTCAAAGAATTGGCGTCTCCAGTTGAGCCTGGGTCGAACGCCAAGACATCTACTAAACTTAGCTCGACTCAGTTGACAGACAGTTCCCCAAAATGCCCTCGCAGTCACGCCTATACAACCCCCTTTTCCACCCCTTCCTCTTCCTCTTCCAGATATTCCAATGGCTCACGGACAAGATCCTCTCACCTAACCCTCCCGGGCCGAGCACTCGCCTCAGCCGCCCGAAGATAGCCGTGATCGGTGCCGGCATCACAGGCGTCACCAGCGCCGCCCACTGCATCGGCCACGGTTTCGACGTGGTCATCTTTGAAGCCGGCAGCGAGGACCAGCTGGGCGGCATCTGGAGCCGTGTCAACAACACGTCCAGCCTGCAGATCCACTCCGTCATGTACCGCTTCCACCCCTCGGTGAAATGGGAGCGCGGCTACCCGGACCGCCAGCAGATCCTCAGCCAGGTGCGCGAGCTGTGGCGCCGCTACGGCCTCGATGCCCGCACCCGCTTCAACACCAGAGTCGACCGCGTGTACCAGGACGACGGCGGCAGGTGGATCGTCAACGACCCCGAGCTGGGCCGCTTCGACGGCGTCATCTCGGCCATTGGCACCTGCGGCGACCCCAAAGTCCCGCGCATGCCGGGCATGGACAAGTTCCAGGGTGAAATCCACCACTCGAGCCAGCTGACGGGCGCCTGCTCGGCCCGGGACAAGACCATGATCATCATCGGCGGGGGCGCGAGCGCGGTCGAGGCGCTCGAGTTCGCGCACGAGGAAGGGGCGAGCAAGATCTACATCCTCGCCCGCAGCGACAAGTGGATCATCCCGCGCAACCCAATCTGGAACATGCTGCTGGCGCTCAACATTTTCGGGCAGGAAACCTGGTTGAGCTGGATCCCTGAGCTGGTTCTGCGCAAGATGTTTTACCGCGACCTCGAGGACCTGGCGCCCGCCAACAAGGGCATCTTCACCGACACGCCCATGGTCAACTCGGATGTGATGGAGAAGCTGCGCTCCAAGCGGGCCGAGTGGATCCGCTGCGACATTGAGCGCTTCACCGAGAAGGGCGTTAAGATCAATCGCCGTGCCAAGGGCGTGGCACCGGGAGGCCCCGGCGTGCCGGACGTGATTGAGGGGGATGTTGTGGTCATGGCGACGGGCTATTCTCGCCCGCAGTTGTCGTTCCTGCCCGGGTCGTGCTTTGAAAAGCCGTACGACCCGCCAAACTGGTATCTTCAGACCTTCCCGCCGAATCACCCGTCCATCTCCTGCATTAATTGCACCTACATGAACGCGATTGGGACGGTGGGGAACTGGCATATTGGTATCTACACGCGGATCCTGCTCATGTTTCTCCTGGACCCGTTGACGAGGCCGAGCCCGTTCTGGATGAGGCGCTGGATCGACATGACGAGGCTGTTGAAGGCGACTTCGCCCGTCGGGCCGTTTGAGTTCTTTACCTATCTCGAGCTGATCTGGTGGTTTGCGTTTTGCGTCGCGTTCAACCCTTTTCGGTGGAAGTGGGCCTTCTTTGTCTTCTTTGGCCTGGGCTTCATGTTACCGGCCAGTGTGGTCGAGGCGGAGGGCTGGGTTCGCAATGGGCTGGGGCTGAGGGAAGGCCCGAGTAGTGGCCAGGATGTCGGTCTCAGTATTTGAGTCAAGAGGTGGGAGGAGTTGGGAAGCTGCCGGCCGCATGTCTATGAGCAGCTCCATGAAGAAAAAGACAGCGAGCAAGACGATTGAAACTGCACTTTGTGATCAACAATCCATAGATTGGGGGTGATAGACGGTAAAATGTGTATACTGGGGCTATCACCGCCCCTTGCCTCTTGTGCCCCGGCCTGCCTCGAGCACCTTGAGTCGTTTTTGGTATCTCTCTCCCACATTGACCCCGCTTCCGCGCGCTCCATCGACGGTGTCGATGCCTCTCTTGCGGCTCTTCTCGAGCAGAGCCTTGGTCCCCCCACCGGAGCTCTTGCCCTGCGTCAACCGGCTGATCCTGTCGACGCCTTCGCTGAGATCCCGCCATTCCTCGCCTCCGAAGTTGAGCCGCCCGCTACGGCCCTCCAGTCTGGCCCTCTTAGCGCGCTCCTTCTTGCTCTCCTTAGGTAACCGCACAAAATTCCGCTCTTCGTATTCCCGCCTCTCCTCCTCCTTTCGCCGTTCCGAGGCTGTCTTGATCTTGCGGCCGCCATTCACAATCGTGGTACCAATGCTGGGCTCGGCAATCGGCGCTGTGGACACCTCATCGGCGATGAACTCGTCAAGCGTGGCCGACTTGAGCGGCCGCCGGTCGCCCTTCTCCCGCCTGTCGGTGGTTGGCATAACCACCGGGGCAATTCTTGGCGGGCGGTAGACACCCGATGTGTCCTTGTCCTTGCTAGAGCCTGTGGCGCCGGCCGGACGGTGGAATCCGGACAGGTTAGGTCGGTGCTGTAGGTCGGAAATCTTTCTTCCGTCTATCATGTCCTCTTGTCCAGCCTCCTCGTCGGATCCCGCTTCATCGCTCCCGGACGCGGACTCAGAGTCTGAGCCGTGGCCCGGCTTGTCCCCGTTTGCCTTTGCCGCGGCTTCCGCTGCCTTCGCATTGCGCTCAGCATCGTCGGCTGCGCGAAGGACCTTGTCTATTTGGAACCGAAGCTTGTCTTCAAGCGGCCGTGCGCCCTTCTCGAGGTACAGTCGTAGTTCAACGAGCTTTGCTACGACGAGGTCGTCGAGGTTTTGTTCCTCGGTGTCCGTTCGTGTTGTCCCAGCTTTTGCATGCCGCAACTTGAGAAGAATCAGGAAGACGAGGTTCTGCAGATAGGAGAGTAGGAGTTCGTTCTTGACATCGAGGAGCGAAATCCCATCCTTTGGGAGCTCAATGTCGCCGAGCTTCGGCGCTGCTTCTAAAGTAGACGAGAGGGATTTGGTAAGAGAGTCCAGCAATGCTGGCAGGGTCGCTGGCGCTGCCATGGCCGACAACGCTTATTGAATTCCCGTAGTTGCAAGCGCTGTCTCGATAATCCGAATGCAAGAGCAGCGCAGTGGGCAAGAAATTCTTTTGATAGCCCCGCGAGAACTTTTTTATGGGTCCGACCGAGTCCTGCCAAGCCAGCTTAGCAGGGCGAGCAGGGCCCACCGCGAGCAGGTATGTAAGAACCAGGCTTCTGGATTGGACCTTGGAGCCGAAGATATTCCGCAGGCTTCAGGTTGCACAAGCCAACGGTTTAGCTTGCCAGGGTGTTCTGTCAACCGCGCTTGCGCATCGCAGCAAAGAAAGTACGTAAACTTCCCTGCCGCGACGAGGCCGAAAAGCTTACAACAAAGCACTCAAGGTCAATCACCACACGATAACGCTCGACCTCGAAGTAATCTCCTCGGCAAGGCCCGTTATTCCGCATGATCTGCATTTTGTTATAACGCAGATCGCTTGGGGTGGGTTGAGGCGAAGCACTCGAAGCAGCAAGAAGGATTCAGAGCCGCTTCTACGTTCCCCCTGATTCACGAGGTGCGCCAACCGATCTTTGACCACCTTCGTGCCTTGACGATTTCTTCATGCCACGTTCTCTTCAGACTCTTCTAACCCTCACCTCAAAAGTCTGATATCCCATCACAACCCGCGCCGCCATGCAATTAAAACACGCGCCCTCGCGGGTGCTCATGGCCTCGCTGTTGGCGGCGCCGCAGCTTGCCTCCGCATTCTACCTTCCCGGTGTCGCCCCCACATCATACAAGAAGGACGAGCTGGTACCGCTCTACGTCAACACGATCAGGCCAGTCGCGGGGTCCGACGCCATGCTGCACTCACTCGTCTCCTACGACTACTACTATCCGTTATTCCAGTTCTGCCGGCCCGAAGGCGGGCCACAAAGTGCCAGCGAGAGTTTGGGAAGCATCCTGTTTGGGGATCGGATAAAAACATCACCGTTCGAGCTCAAAATGGCACATAACGAGACGTGCAAGACGCTCTGCGAAGTCACATACCAGAAGGGCCACGCCATGTTTGTCAACCAACAGATCAGGTCCGGCATCAGTCTCAACTGGCTGGTAGACGGCCTACCAGCAGGGCAAAAGATTATTGACGAGATTTCCGAGACGGAATTCTACAACCCAGGTTTTCTCCTCGGTCAGCAGTTTCAAGATAGTGACCAGGTGCAGTTCAACAACCACTACGACATCATTGTCGAGTACCATGAAGTTGCCGGGAGCAAAGACCAATACCGCGTCGTGGGCGTCATTGTGCAGCCCGAGTCGAGGAAATACACGGGTCCTGTTGGGCCTGACACATGCAATACCGCGCTGGATCCTGTGATCCTGAGCGAGACGGGCGACACCAAGGTGCAATTCACCTACAGCGTCTACTGGATTCCGTCCACGACAGCCTGGGCCACGCGGTGGGACAAGTATCTCCACGTTTTCGACCCCAAGATCCACTGGTTCTCTCTCGTGAACTCGGCCATCATCGTCATCTTCCTTGTCATGACCGTCATGTCGATTCTGGTCAGGACACTGAAGAAGGACATTGCCCGGTACAACCGGCTCGACCAGATCAATCTCGACGACCTCTCGGGAACCTCATCAGCCCTGGAAGACGGCGTGCAGGAGGATTCGGGTTGGAAGCTGGTGCACGGCGACGTGTTCCGCACGCCTCCGAACCCGCTCCTCCTCTCCGTCTTCCTCGGCAACGGCGCCCAGCTTTTCGTAATGACGGGCTTCACCATCGCCTTCGCCCTCCTCGGCTTTCTCTCCCCCTCATACCGAGGCTCATTAGGCACCTTCATGATCCTCCTCTACACAGTCCTCGGCTTCGTCGGCGGTTACACGTCCGCGCGCTTCTACAAGTCACTACATGGCGAGAAGTGGAAGCTCAACATCATCCTGACCCCGCTCCTGGTCCCGGGCATCGTCTTCGCCACGTTCTTCCTGCTGGACCTCTTCCTTTGGGCGAAACAGTCCTCAGGCGCCGTGCCCTTCACCACCATGCTGGTGATCGTGCTCATCTGGTTCGTCATCAGCGTACCACTTTCCTTCGCGGGCTCCTGGCTGGGCTTCCGCGCGCCGGCGATCGAGCCACCGGTCCGCACCAACCAGATCCCGCGCCAGATCCCGCCTGTCACCACGTACCTCCAGCCGATCCCCAGCATGCTGCTGGTGGGCTTGCTCCCGTTCGGCGCCATCTTTGTCGAGCTCTACTTCATCATGAGCTCCATCTGGTTCAGCAAGATTTACTACATGTTTGGCTTTTTGTTCCTGTGCTACGGCCTGATGATATTGACGTGCGCCTCGGTCACGGTGCTGCTGGTGTATTTCCTGCTGTGCGCAGAGAACTACAACTGGCAGTGGCGCGCCTTTTTGGCCGCTGGCACGAGCGCGGGGTATATCTTTTTGAATGCCCTCATTTACTGGATCAGCAAGCTGTCGATGAGCGGGTTCGCGGGGAGTGTGCTGTACATTGGGTACAGCTTGCTGATTTCTTTCTTGTTCTTTATACTGACTGGTAAGTCGTTTCCCAGTACATGAAATTGAGATGATTCCTGTGTGTGCTGACAGGCTATGTCTAGGGTCCATCGGCTTCTTTGCAAGCTGGCTGTTCGTCCGGAAGATTTATTCGTCCATCAAAATCGATTAGACGGAGGCTGGGGAAAATTGGTTCGATCGGAGGTTTGAAGCACTCTACACCTTGGTAGTGTAGTATTTGATTTTGGAGTCATCTAGATGAGTTCATGTATGACTATGGGCGCGGGCACGGGGGGATAGGGGGTCGTATGTCATGTAACATCAAAACTGGCAGCGTTTGCCTTGGAAGCCGAAGCTTACCAGCCTAGATTTGCTTTTCTTCTCGGCAGTACTGGGATGCCGGATAAGAAGTTGTATCTAATGAGTCCAGCGGCTCTTCCGTAAGCAGGTAGTGTTGCGCTGGGGGTGTGCTCGCCCGTGCAAATTCGTGTAAACGCACGATATCGCTGGCTTAACAACGCAAATTCCTCCACTGCTCTGCAAGTCACGTTAAACGCGTTCTTGCGTCTAGGCGTACCCCTCGGCCATAACATTGGAGGGAAGCCGGCATAGCCCCTTCGTGAGACCGGCCTACCGCATTATGGGCTCTTCCGAGAACTCCCTCCATCATGGCCCGACCTATTCCTCATCCTCCTCCTCCTCATCATCATCATCCCCACCAAGAAACGTAAACTGCTTCGGCGCCCTAACACCACCCCCACCCCCACCACCCGCAGCCGTACTCTCCCTCCTCTCCAATGCCCCCGGCCCCGGTCCCGGCGCAGCCTGCTGCTGCCTTTCGCGCTCTCGTTGTCTTTCCCGCTCCCGCTCCCGCTCCCGCTCCCGCTCCTCAGCCGCCTTGCGCGCCTGCACCTCCTCCGCTTCTTCTTCTTCCTCCTCACGCCGTCGTCGCCTCTCGGCTTCCTCAGCCGGATCGTATCCGCGCGGGTCAATCCCGCTGTCAGCCAGCCGCTGGATTGTTGCCAGCGCGCCGACACGGATCTTGTCCTCGGTCGGCCAGGGGTAGAAGCTGGCGTTGTGCAGCGGGTTGATGGCGGGTTGGAGGTGGGCTGGGAGGGTTGTTTGCGTTGTTGTTGATGTTTGAGATTGTTGTGTTTGGTGTTGTTGTTGTTGTTGTTGTTGTTGTGTTGCGGATTCGGAGGCGGTGGTGGGTATGGGCGTGCTGGGCATCGGGTTCGGGGTGCCGACCGTGCCGTTGAAGCTGAAGTTGAAGCTTGTGTTGGGAGTTTGGGTCTGGCTTTGGGTGTGGTGGAATGAGTCGTCTGGCTGTTCGGAGGGTTGTATTTGTGATTGTGTGAGGGTGTGTTGCGAGGCGTTTGGCGCGGGAGTCGGGGCGCCCAGGTCGACGCCGTTGGTTACGCCTGGTGGAGGTAATGTGTTCCGGCTGATGCGCCGGGCGTAGTTGAGCAGCTCGTCGGCGGTGAATTGGTATTTGGGCTTGTTGGGCGGGTAGGTTGTGACGGGCACGGCTTTTAGCTCCTTGCGCATGTTCCACAGCGAGCTGAGGGTGTCCTTTATCTGGGTATCGAGCAAAGAGGTTTCCTGCCGTAGCTGCTGGATGCGCGCATGGTTGTTCTGATGCTTCTCGAGTAGTCTGAGGCCCTCGAGGAGGTTGGCTTCGGCTGCGACAAGGTCCTCGGCTAGCTTCTCGGATGGGTTGTTCTTGGTGAGGGAGTCGACCATGCTGGCGAGAGCTACTTCAAGCCGCCCAAAACGGCTGTCGAGGTCCTTGTCCATTGTGATGCTCTGGCTCTTAGGTGGCTAATGGTATGGTGCCAGTAGCTTATCTTGTCACCGAAGCTGGTTGAATAAGTGACAATCTTGACGAATATGGATAAGTGTAGGCAAACTGGGAGGTTTGAACTCGCTATTGCCGCAAGGAGTAGTATTTGAAGCCCACTTTCCAACGGCTGATCGCTAAGCTTGACACCTCACCTTCCTCCCGCCGTTCTATAACTAGGCGAATTGGGTATTTGTTCAATGAAGCTCTCCACTTTCGATAGTCCAGTCCGATAGGTATCGGCGCATGCTTGGGGTTGTGGGAGTCGAGGCGGCCGCTGCTCTTTCGCTCCCCGCCAATTCCTTTGCGACCAGTCGCGTCGCGTTGTGGTTCAAAGATGTCGGCGGTGGACCTGACTGCAGGGACCCACCGTTCCCGCATGTGATTGATGATTGACATCAGTTCTGCCTGAGGCATCACGGCGGAACCCAAGGGCTCTTTGGCCTGAGGCACGTTCTCTTCCGGCTTTGTCCGGCAACAAATCGCACCGAAAGCCAACATCATCTTGGATCGCCAGTTCCAGATTGTTCGCAGCCATTGAAGCGCACGCTCGCTCTTTTCTGCCACGTCGATCGCAATGGCCCCTCCTGTACGTCCCAGTTCACCCCAGGTCGCTAGATGGACCGTTTCATTCCCTTTAAGCATGCGAGCGACGCAGTCAAAAACTAACCTGGCTTGTCTCTCCAGTCTGCCCACCGGGTAGCTCCCCGGTATCCCACGTACAAGAGCCCCTACGGCCCGAAGTAAGCGCCATACCCTTAACCCGATGAATTCGAACGCAGCCGGCGTCGATCCGAACGACGCCAACGTCTTAGAGACACCAAAGGCATATGACGATGAATACCATGGGCACGCCATTGACGATGGTGCAGATACTTCTACCAGCCCCAGTTCTACGGCATCACCCCCAGAGAAGCCGCGAAGCTGTGAGTTGACCTACCCGCGGTTCTACGCAGTATCATCCTGAGGGCATGTTAGGCGGCTAGGGCACCGCTAACTTGGCTGGCAGTGGCCTCAAGGCTGGTCTCTTCGGCGGTGTTGCGCTCTTCGCCGTCGTCTTCTACGCCTCTGGCATTCCCAGGATACAGAGGGACATTCTCCAGGTATGTTGTGCCTTACGATAGCGTTGCAATGCCAGCTGGGCTCACGCCTCCCACAGAAGATTCCTTTTGTCCGCCAATACTTTATCAAGGAGATCCCCGCCTCGGACAACGTAAGTCCTGTCATATTTCCACAAGCTTGCCCAGTACTAATTCCTCATGTAGCCGTTCTAAACGCCTGGTCTCGAGCCGGGCATCTGTGATAGTTCAAGTTGGCGCGAGGATTGGGGATCGGGGTTGTGCTTTGCGCTGCCTCATGTGCGTGTAGACCTGTACAACAGACGTCATTCCGATAGACACTCTACATAGATCGAGTCCCCCCAAAAACCGCCAGCTCAGGATCGCGAATTGGCACTCCGACTTGTAATGCATCAGCCCTAGGCGCACCTTCTCATCGAGTGCGCTTGCCATTTGGATCACGCACGGACCATGCAGCCTTGCTTACAGTTGAAACTCCTGGAACCACTGGAGGAGCAATTGACAACTGTAAACATCGATGTTGAATGGTGAGAGGCTGAGAGCGTCCTCGTCTTAGACGCGCAACACATCGGCAATCCGTCTAGACTCGCCATGATATCCACTCATTTGTTGCATTTTCCCCCAGCCTCTCCCAATGGACATCCCACGTACCACTTCATCGGACCCTTTGGACTCCCAAACTTCTTCTAAGGGTCTTTGGCCAGCTAAGCTGCTCCGGGGCTTGCTCCTCGCCTTCCTGCTCGACGCTTTTGTCCGTCCAACAAAGCCGTCACAGTCATCTCGTACCAGAGCCATCAGCATCGCCGGCTCGGTTCTACTTTTCGTAATTGCCGGGTCATGGCTACGTCTTGTGGACACTTATGTCCCTGAGCCCTACCTCGTAATCGCACCCCCTTTCACAAACTATTGAACTGTCGCCTGCTGATGAGTTCGCTAGGATGAGGTTTTTCATATCCCGCAGGCGCAGACCTATTGCGCGGGGCGCTTCTGGGACTGGGATGACAAGATCACCACTCCGCCAGGCCTGTCAGACCACCCATAGCCCCTCTTCATGTTTGCTGGTCGGATATTGATCTTGGTCGCAATAGTTACCTACTCGCGGCGCTGTATCACAAAGCATCTCTGTTTGCCGAGTGCACCCCTTTTGCCCTCCGGGCAAGCAATCTCTTCGCCACCCTTCTGATCTTCCCACTTGCTGCCCAATGTCGCCAGCTCATTGAGGCCCGTTGCGCAGAGCAAAAGGGGGAACAGCCGACACCAAACGTCTCGTTCTACTCCTACCATACGGCTCTCAACACTACGTTTTTCCCTGTCATATTTTTCTTCTCGGCTCTGTATTACACCGACGTGGTGTCGACCTTCGTTGTCCTCGCGGCTTACCGAAACCATCTGCTGCGTCTGGGGTCTCGGCGGCCTAGCTTCTTGAACGATATACTGACTGTCGTATTGGGAGTTTTTGCCCTTTTCATGCGTCAAACCAATGTGTTCTGGGTCGTTGTATACATGGGCGGCCTGGAAGCAGTTCATGCTGTGCTCTCGGCGAAACCTGTTGCTCAGGGGTTCCTTAGTACGGTTCACGATCCACCATTGAATGAAGCTGGTCCAGAAGGTACTGCCCCTGAGACATGCTTCACACAGCATCTGCTAACAAGCATAGATTGGGTGTTGTGTCTGCTTAGCTTAGCCGTCGCTGGGCTACGGTATCCAGGACGCGTCCTGAGACAGATATGGCCTCACATCACCATCCTCGCTCTCTTTGTGGCCTTCGTGGCCTGGAACGGTGGTGTGGTTCTTGGTAAGTATCCCTTTGCTGTTCAAGCACCTGCATACTTATGTCTTCCTCAGGAGACAAGTCCAACCACGTCGCCACCGTCCACCTAGCGCAGATGCTCTACATCTGGCCCTTGTTCGCATTCTTCTCCGCTCCCCTCTTCATTCCCTCCGCAGTCTCCCTCATCACACATCCGTTACGCCATTTCCGTGGCTCAGGTGCCGGCGCGTCAAAGCTCTCAACCCCGATCAACGCAGCTTACACCGCCGTCACGCTGATCCTCTCCCTCGCCATAATAAAATACAACACCATCATCCACCCCTTCACCCTCGCCGACAACAGACACTACATGTTCTACGTTTTTCGGTACACCATCCTCCGCTCGCCCGCCCGCCGCTTCGCTCTCGTCGCGGCATACACCCTCTGCCGCTGGCTCGTGTGGGATACTCTTGCCGGGAAAGGCGCCAGTCCCACTACTACTACCACCACCAGCACCAGCTCCCCCTCGGCCGCATCGACTGCCAGATCCAAGAGCCTCTCACCTGCCCCGTCTGCAGCTGATAAATCTGCCAGCACAAAACCGGGCAGTTTCTCCCCGTCAACAGAAGCAGCAGCACCAAAACCAGCAACATCTCCATCCCAAATCCCAGTACAGGACCTCTCCCTCCTCGACAGCACATCCTCCCCACCATCAACCGCCCCGCCAAGCACGAGCACAGCGATCCTGCTCTTCCTAACCACAGCCCTGTCCCTCGTGACAGCACCACTCGTCGAGCCAAGGTATTTCATCCTCCCCTGGGTGTTTTACCGGCTGCTGGTGCCGGCACAGAAGAATCAGGCACCTCTTCCAGCGGCGGGTTGGTGGGGGTGGTTGGGGAAACTGGGGCAAAAGTATGACCTGCGGCTTGTGCTGGAGACGGTCTGGTTCCTGGCTGTCAATGCGGGGACCATGTACATGTTTCTTTTCCGCGGGTTTTACTGGCGTGGGGAGGACGGGGGGTTGTTGGACGATGGGAGGGTGCAGAGGTTTATGTGGTAGGCTTTTGCATTGGGATTTGATGGGGGAGGGGGAAGATAATCATGGCGACGGCGATGTCAGTGAAGAGGACAGGGAGGGAGGTAGAGATGTTCGGGGAGCGAGAGAAGAACGTTGCGATGAAGATGGGTCAACTTTAGGTTGGTGTACGGATATACAAAGTTAAAATGCGTTATGTTGCGCTGTCAAACATCTACTGACCAGCATGGCATTGTACTCTTTTTCCCTGCCAGATGGACCCATACCAACCAAACCCTATCCAGTCCCAATATATGTGTGTTTCTAACAGCAGTCACCCGTCCACACTCTAGCCCGATCCGACCGATGCCTTCGAACGCCGTCCACAAACCCATCCCATCAATCTCAGATCATGCCCTTCTGTCCTGGTTATCATATCAAGTAGCTAGGCATCCTCCCCCGGGGTCGCTCTACCCCCACTCCCACTCCTTCCCCATGCATAGCATAGCATACACTCCCACAAGCCCCATCACAAACTCAACCGATCCAAACTAAGCCTATCCCCACTCCTCACCCGTCTCACCACCCCAAGCTTGAAGAACTTCTCCTCGCCCGTCGCCGTCCGCCCGCCAATGTACAGCTTCTCTGCCCCGAGCGCATCCCTAAACCCCTCGCTGCTGCTATCACTCCCTCTTCTCCGGCTCCGTTGGCTATGGCTTCCCTGTTGTGGTATCGGGATACCCCCCGAACTGTGATGATGATGGTGGTGGTGGTGGTGATGATGTCGCGGGGAGTGCAACGGCAACTGGCTGATGACGCTGCCGGATCGCGCCGATGTCGAGGGAGGGGATTGCGAGGACGAGGATGCCTGTGATGTTGCTGCTGTGGCCGACGGGGCCGGGCCGGAGGATGATTGCGTCGCGTGCTTGTTTGGTTGCTGGGCTGCTGCTGATGCGCTGGCGCTCGAAAGGGATGGGGCCGCCGCTGCTCCCTGCCGGAAGGTGGCGAAGAAGGTTGAGAGGAAGAAGGGGCGTTGTGAGGACATGTTGGAGGTCATTGATCGGGTTGGGTGCCTAATCAATCGGTGGGTGGAAGGTAGAAGTTTGTCGGGTTGTTTGTTCGCGGTATTTGATGGTCTAGGGCGGGGTGGAAGAAGGCGCCGCCAGCGGCGTGGTGCTAAAGTCTGTTTGAGCCGGCAGCTCTCTCGAGATGCCCTCGGCTTGTTCCCTGTTTGATACCTATTTGATGGTGATTTCCGAACCCAGCAGCGTAAAACTGCTCTGTCAAGCGCCCAACGCCGTCTCCGTGATATTTGACTGGCCTATTGCAGTAGCTCGATGACGTCGTGCTTGTGGTGATGAACCCGTCTTTGCGCTGAAAAATCGTGAAAAATTCGTTGATATTGTCGCAGCGTGGTGTGGTCCCCTCGCGTTGGTCTCCAAACTGCGTTTGTCGATGGCCCAAAGGAAAGTCGGCCGAGAAACAGAAAAAGGCGAATGTAAAGTGTTGATGGAGGCCTTGCAAAGCAAAATCGTGGAAAATCACAAGCGTGGCCTTGCCGACCGAGGTGAAACTGGATTGGAAAGACAGATGGAATTGCCGCCGCTTCTTTCCGGCGCAGCGTTCTGACGTCGGGAAGGCTGCCGTGCATGTGCTGCGACAGCCATGAAGGTTCTCGGCCAATTCCGGGATGTGCCAGCGAATAGGATCGGTTCTGGCAGCCGACTCCAGTTGTCCGGATCGAGTTCTCAAATCACCTGCCGCTGATAGGCTGCAGTGAGGCCCGGTCGTCGTGCGGGGCACCTCGCGCCAGAAACTGCAACCGCGGGGTTGTGGGCCTCTTGGAGCACGGCTTGACAACTGAGAAGCGAGAACTGACAACTAACAACCGCGAGCCCTGACTAGTGAAATCGTTGCATCTGGATAGCTACCGCCAGGCCCATGGTTCTAGCCGCAAGTTCCCAACTACGTTCCATTCGTCCGAAGAAGCGATACAATCTGCACGCACACCCGCGGGAAACGGAATGGAGGAAACACGTCCTCACAGCTGGATTGGCGATATGGCACCTGGTGACTCGGCCATCTTTCCGAAGGTAGTGAGCACCGAGGAACAAACATGCGGCCGAGAATGAACATATACGCCCGGTTGATACCCGCCTACCCCTGATATCCCTTGAGCTTGATTACCTACCTTACCTGACAGCCTTGACTACCACCAGGCATCCAACTGGCCAGCCTCTTCCACTCGGCTGGCCAATTTTCTGCCTGAACTCCAGCACCTGCTGAGCTGGGTGTTGTTTTTCTTCTTCATCGGCTTCTTGACTACTAGTGCGAAAGGTACTCCGTCACGCAGACCTTCGCCTACGCGTGAAAGCTTTGCGAGCAGCAAGGTAGCAAATGCTTACCGTAGCGTTGCATGCTCAGTCTGCTGGCTAGACCCCTAGGCTTCCCGTGTGCGGCGACGGCACAGTATTCTTGCGATGCCGGTGGACTGGAGTTGGTCGGTCGAGCACATGTTGCCGATGCCTGGATTTCACCTTGATCGTGGAGAGCCTTCATCACATTCATCAATTTTGAGTCTGCAGCCCCCAACAGGAAGTCAGGACCAGGAATCGGCATCTTGGATCTTGCTGCTGTTTGAACCCTACTCTCTCCTCAGCTTGACATGATGCTCATCAGCAACGACAGACATCGGACCAGGACCTGGCCCGGGAGATGAATTCACTCGGCATTGTCCTGCTCACTGTGACACCGGGTTCCTGTCGTTCGCCCTACGGACATACCTAAAGAAGGTACCTAGTAGCTAACTTGGCTATGGCGTATCCTTCATCAAGATTTTCTGTAATGCGGCTGCCTAAGGCAGTAACCAATCGTGAGTCTAACTCCTAACCGCCAATATGGAAATAAGGGGGGATATAGCAGGCCTCTGGCCGCGAGCCTGGAATGGAAACTTCTGTGCTGCTCAGTGATGAGGGGATGCTGGAGCAGCTCGCGGTCAGAAGTTTCCAGATGGCTAGAAGGTTCTCAGAGAGGTCAGAGGTGCTAGCTGGAAAGCAAGGAGTCAGGGGGGTCGGGATTCTGTCTTAGTCTCACAATTCACTGTCAGTATGAGACCAGGTTGCGCGAGGTTGACCAGTGATTCGGGTAGCTAGGTAGGTATTACTACTAATGATCTGGTCGCAGTAATCTGTACTCGGGGAACCCATCAAGATGGCCTCGCCCTCCTATAGAAAAAGAATGTTGTTATTTAAGTACAGGGCGCGTAGACCTGTGCCATGGCGGGGGCCCGAGGCGGACGAGATCTGCCGGTGCCTCTGCATTTGAAAGAAAAGAAACTGTCCCTCCCAGGCCACATCAACCGTGACCAATAGCTAATGTTCGAAACCCCCCGGCGCCTAACCCATAACTGGCCAGTTGAGCAGTTATAAGCCCCAAACTCCCGCCAGTTCCGAAACCTCCAGTCAAAGCCAGCCTAGCTAGCCAGCGGTACCGTAACGATGATCCCCAACCTAGCAGTAGTCCGGAACGCGCAGGTTGGCCGCGTCGCACTGGGCCCTGTTGCAAGTGCACCAGCAGGCACAGATCTGATTATTCATGGCCACGCACGCGCCGTCGGGCTGAGGGAAGCCGCCGGGGCCTGAGATGGGCGGGCAGTTGAAGACGTTCATGTACGGCACGCAAAAGGCGAAATCGCGGCCGCCCGGGCACCTGTTCGGGTTCCATTCGCCCTGGCGAAGCTCGAGGAGGTGGCTGTGTGGGCCCGGGGCAGGTGAAGTGCCCGGAGCATCGGGACCAGGGGCAGAAGCGGCGGGCGCGCCCAGGACCACTCCGGCGCCCGAGAGGACGGAGTACATGGTGATCAGGATGGCGGTCTTCATGATGGCGATAGTAGCTTCGCGGTTGGTAGATTATGCGAGATAGTTGGATGGCTTGATCAAGTTAGCCGTGATTCAATCGGGGGTCTCGTATCGTGGACGGCTCAAGACTCACATTCTTAAGAGCTAGTATGGAGAGAACAAGGCTTGCTGGAAAAGGGGTGAGTGTCTTGAGGTTGACTGGAAGCATCTGGGAGGGAGACTTGACTGATATATATAGGCAGCAGGACATCTTGGACATGATGTATAACTTGAAGTTATACACCTCGATGTTCAGGTTGCCAACCGTCATGCCCCCAGCCCCTTCAGGTAGTTACCCCCATAGCCCTCAACCCCTTCAGTCACCTTTCTCTAACAGAGTTCTTTGGCCCAACGGTACTAAGGGGCCAATCCCCAGTAGCAAAGCAATCCATCACGGACATAGCGGAGCAGCGGAGCCTTGACGAATTCCAATCTCCGTCTGAACCGCGAGGCCCTTCACCTGCCTGGTTTCCGCGATCTTGGCCATATGCATAATGGTACCCTACACATAAGACTTGATTAGCTTGCCCCAGCTCATGATCATAGGATTGGTGATGACAGGTCAGACCAGCACCACAGCCCAAACGCCAAGAGGTGTTTCTGGTGCTGACGTCCCCGGCGTCGTCTTCATCTCCCGGGTGGTCCATAGCTATCCCCATGTATGGCGGGCCGAATGACGGGACGAGGCTGTTGGCTACTCAGTCCGTCTCCAGCGGAGCAGCGGCAGGAAGTCATCGCGACGGCCTACAAGAGAGTGCCGGAAACAACGATGGCCGTGCCCAGTCTCCGGCTGGAAGAGCCAAGAGATGATTCATTTCTTGAAGCCCTCGTTCCTGCCTGCAGGGTACTAGTAGTTCCTGTTGCCTTTTGGTACCTACCTTACTAAGCCGCCTACCTTGATTGACGGGTAAGGAAGAAAGGTAGCCTCAGGAGCAAAACTACTAGTAGGACTACAGGGTCGAACCCATACACTGCTCTCTGTACTAAGATCACGATGCTTCGGGCTACCTGTACATACCGTTAGCACCTCTCTCGTTTCAAGGAAAAGGCACAAGGGGGCCCTCCGGTCCTCGTCAGCGAGCAACCTCTCAGTCAAGAATCTCCCAGATTGCCCTGCATGTCGTGTCCATGTAGGTAGGGATGATCATTCTGATTCATTCCTTGGCTCTGGTTCAGACTCAGGGTAGGATGCTAGCCAAGCCGCACAAAGCGGATTGGCAAGAACTACGAGTTTCGACGCCAAGGTGCCTATACCTTGACTCGGGTAGGCAAGGTAGGTGACGAAGGCAGGTAGAATGGTACTCGCACAGCCCTACAGCCCAGACATTGAGCGCACTTACATGCCTCTCCGGGCAAGGTCCCCGGGTTTAAGCCGGGTTCACCAGGAGCTTGCGCCGGCACCCGTCCCGTTGTTGAGTCGTCCTTCGGCTGCCTTCAGCCAAGACAGGATAATAAGATGCCTGGACCTTAGTAAGTAGCTTGGCGGAGACCTGTATGTACGCGTGTAGTTAAACCTCAGCCACAGCCAAGGATCATACACTGTACCATCCCTTCACTCCGTCCTCGATTCGGACTGGACGGTTAACGAAAGATGCCTTGGAGCGACCTGGTTTGGCGGTCAAGAAACTTTGATAAACGCGGCAAGAACAATGGAGGTTTTTGCGGTTTGGTTTGGGGGTCAAAGCATTACCGTATTGGGAAGGGGGAACTTTTGCCAGGAAGGCAAGATGCAAGTGAGCTCTAAGGTAGCTCTTCCAACCAACCACCTCCTGCAACCCATCAATTCACCACTTCTCGGTGTGTTTTCATACTCTCAAAGGCATGTGTCAAAATTGTCACATTGTCATGTATGAAGGTAGGAAGGTGCAAATATGACGAACTAACAAACGGGAGATCAGTATACTAATCGGAAGAATAGTAGTCCAAAACCAACATCCAAGGCCTAAAGTCTGGACATCCGAATGCCACGGGAAGTCGAGGTCTTCCCCGGGTCCAATACCGGGCCGCTTTACAAGCCGGCACGTGCAGAATAGTATAGTGTATAAGGTAAGAATGCGGCAAAGTTGATCCATCCTCTCGAGTGTTGAACTGACACCACTGGAGCGGGACGTTGACTCGATGAGATCGAGTAAAAGATTCTCGACCCTGCGGGGTTCGGCAGTGCAACGCCTTATCCATCCTTATCGACGCTCCGCACCTGCTGCGGAGATAAGACGATATCCTTCGCCGTACGGGGCCAATCGACCGCCGCTGTCGGCCCATCGCCAAGGCCTTCTTAACCCTGTCCAGGCAAGCTCTCCAGGACCCGTCGCGACTCGATTCCGTTTTGAGTTCTCGAACGATATCTTTTGCGTGCTAACACCGAGGGTTAGCCCTGTCCATATCGTATTCCCCGGTCACCATCATATGGATTATGGATTGGAACCCTCGCGCATGGCTTTCCGAACCCTGAGGCTATCGCAGAGTCTAGATGTTCCTTGCATGGCGTGGGGGAGACCTCGGCGATGTGAACCGAATTGTCGGCTCGTCCCAACGATGGAGCTGATAAGGGGTCTTGATAAGTATCGGACGAAATCCCAATCATGAGCGCTGCTCATCAAGCTCAGTCGTTTTGTGTGCGGCTGCGATCTTGCCCCGATGATCCACTCTGCACCTCGATTTTGAACGAACCGCTCCCCGTGGTTTGGGTCGAACTCGGCGATCCCCTCTTCACGTGTGTCGTGCGTCATAGTGCAGATCCTTCAACAGGGGACGGCACTGCAATCCAACAACCGCCACCCCTCGAAGCTGGTGGCCGAGGGCCATTAACACCTACTTTCCACTTCTCTCCCGTACTTCACGAAATTGAAGACAGCAGCTTCGCAATCATGACGGAGAAACCTAGCGCGTTCAGGCGCTTCGCCGACAAGCTGGCCGTGGACACGGAGCCCGGGTTGACCAACGCGCAGTTAATGGTGTGAAATTCCGCCGCGCCCATCATCCTGAGGATATGGAGCCTCCTACATGATCGCATTTTGTCGTCCAGCACATGGCAGCTGACACCAGCCCTTTTCTTCCCATCAGTTGACGAACGACGATCTGAAGCCTGTCGAGCCTGAGCGCCGCCAATGGGGCCCCTGGAACTTTGTCGGCTTTTGGGTCGCCGACTCGTTCAACATCAATACGTGGATGATCTCGTCCTCCATGATCGTCGGCGGCTTGTCGTGGTGGCAGTCATGGCTTTGCGTTTGGATTGGCTACGCCATCTCGGGCTTCTTCATCTGCCTGACGGGTCGGATTGGCGCAACTTACCACATTGGTTTTCCAGTCGTGGCGCGGTCGTCGTTTGGTATCTGGGGAAGCTTGTGGCCGGTTCTGAACCGAGCTGCAATGGGTGCGTGGGCGTTCGCCCCTGAGCATACTGTCAGTATGGGGTGCTAACAATGCAACAGCATGCGTTTGGTACGGCGTCCAGGCTTACATAGGAGGGCATTGCGTGTATTTGATGATCCGAGCCATCTGGACGAGCTGGGTGAGCAAATCCACTTGGCAGTCTGCTCGCCACCAGTTTCTTACATTTCCCAGGACCGTAACACGATCCCGAACACATTCCCAGAGGGGTCAGGCACCAAGACAGCCGACTACGTCTCTTTCTTCATCTTCTGGTTCTGCTCGCTCCCTGCGATTTGGTTCCCAGTCCACAAGGTCCGGCATTTGTTCACGGTCAAAGCCTACTTTGTCCCTGTCGCGGGCATTGCCTTTCTCATCTGGGCTGTGGTGCGGGCAGGCGGCGTCGGGCCCATCGTTAGACAGCCCGCGACCATTTCCGGCTCCGCGCTCGCCTGGGAATTCGTCAAGGGCATCATGAGCTCCATTGCCAACTTTGCCACTCTAATCGTCAACGACCCCGACTTTTCCCGCTTCGCCAACAAGCCGCGCGCCGCACTCTGGTCGCAGCTGTTCACCATCCCCATCGGCTTCGCATTCACTTCCTTCATCGGCATCATCGTCTCCTCTGCCTCGTCCATCATTTACGGAGGCGACCCGATCTGGGACCCGCTCGTCCTCTTGGAGCGCTTCATCGACGACGGCGGGTCGGCCCAGCGCTTCGGTGTCTTTGTCATCGCCGCGGCCTTCTCGCTCGCCCAACTCGGCACCAACATCGCCGCCAATTCCGTCTCGGCCGGCACCGACATGACAGCCTTGCTCCCCCGCTGGCTCAACATCCGCCGCGGCGGTTACATCTGCGCCGCCGTCGGCCTCGCCATGTGCCCCTACAACCTGCTCACCTCGAGCAACCAGTTCACGACATATCTGTCGGCCTACAGCGTGTTCCTGTCGTCCATCGCGGGCGTCATGATTTCCGACTACTACTTTGTGCGCCGGGGCTATCTCGAGGTGAAGGAGCTGTACGACGCGCGCAAGTCCGGGCCTTACTTTTTCTCCTATGGCATCAACTGGCGCGCCTATGCGGCCTACATTGGGGGGATAGTCATCAACGTGGTGGGCTTTGCTGGCGCCGTGGGCACGCCGGTCCCCATCGGCGCCACGTACGTCTACAACCTCAACTTCTTTTGCGGCTTCATCGTGTCGGCGGGGCTGTACTGGGGTTTGTGCAAGATCTCGCCCGTTCCGGCGACCAGTGACAAGTGGATGGAGGTTGGGGATGAGATTAATGACCTCCGGGTGGCGTACGACAGGCAGAGTGGGAGTCAGGAGTATGAGGACGAGGTTGTTATGGATAGAGCTAAGGATGCCGGGAAGGTGGTTTAGAGAAGTTGTCGTGGGTTCTTTTTTGCGGTTGGTTTGGATACCCTTTGGAGATCTAGAGAATTGAAGTTGGATGATATGCTGTGAATTCAAGAGTCGCCTAGTAGACACTACTGGGAAAGAGATGAGTCTTACTACTGATGGATATGATCCATTGTGTAAATTTCTCCTTTTTATCCCTAATGTCCGCGGAAGAAGTGGATCATCGGCTTCCAGCTCGTTCCCTTCTTTGCTTTCCCCAGTTTGCTCCTTGCTCTTATCTCGGTCCCAATTGCTGGTCCTATATCCCAAACCTGGATCGTCCTGTCATTTGATCCTAAGGCTAAGAGATCCGAGCTGGAGAAGGAAACGCATGTAACTCTGAGACCCACGAGCATCTCCAAGGGCTTCCACGTGAATGTATCCCAAAACCGGAGAGTGTTGTCGGATAACCTCAAGGCTAGGATTTTGGAATCGTGTGAAAAAGCGCATGAGTCGACCACAGTCAAGCTTTGGTCCCGAAGATCGATCTCTTGCCACTGCCATGTATCTGTATCATAAACCCGGACTAGGCTACTGCTGCGTGGCCCGGGCCTGAGTCGCGAGCTTAATGCTAGTCCTAGTAATTTCGTGCTGGGCGAGAAGGAAGCGAATAGCGCCTCCGAGTCCCCATGGAGATCATCGATTGTCCTCCGCAGCTCCCAAGTAGCTGTATCCCTAAGTTCGATAGTATACGGTGCTGATTCCGATCTCCTAGGCCCTAGAACTAGCATTAGTAGCTTTGAGTCGCTTGAGAAGGCAACTGCATAAGTCACATATGGGGGTTCGAGTTTCTTGTGACGCTCCCATGTAATCGTATCCCAAAGCTCGATATAGCCGTACTGTGACCTTGCTGCTAGTATTCTCGAGTTTTGTGAGAAAGCAACTGGCTTGACGCTGTCACAGTGGTCCATCCAAACGTCCTTGAGGAACAGTCGGCGCTTCCCTGTGATTGTATCCCAAACCTCGAGACTCGGAGGGCGGCAATATGACACAGCGGCTATCAGTCTTGAGTTGGGAGAGAACGTGAGTGATTTAACGTTAGCGTTATGACACTTGAGCGATTTGGAGCGCCGCTATGTAGTCGTATCCCAGAGCAGGATAGTCCCGTCGGATGATTCCGACGCTAGTAATTTCGAGTCAGGAGAGAAAACCAGTGAGGTTATCATGCCGCTATGTCCATTGAGAGTCAGGTTGCGAAGCTCCGACGCGGCAGTATTGTTGCTTGTAGTGGTATCATTCCCGGGCAGCGGGTGTACGGCGGTCGTGTCTCCTCTGATCCCTGCTCCAAGGCTGTCTTGGTCTTCGGTTGTAGGGTCCGTATCATGCCCTAACTCAACAGTCTCAGAAACGGGCCAAATACTCCTGGCTGACGGGCGGTGACATCGTCCTCATGGACGTGGCTCCGAGTGGGTGACCATTCCTTACCTGGACTTGGGTGACTCGAAATATTCATAGCATCGGAAACGACTGTCGTCATTCCTCTTTCCTCGTCGAATGAACTATTTCTAGAGGATTGAGCCGAAGACGTGGACGAGCAACTAGTAGTGTTCGTTAACTCCGTTTCAGTACCACTCTGCCGATTTCGCAAATCATGAGACCTACTCTGTATCGCTCTCAACGATGACTGCTGCCGATACGTTCGATGTAGAGGGTCGAATCCAGCGGTGGGCCAGGGCCGCCGTTGAGCTTAACCGCAAAGGGAACCGCGGTGCTAACAAGGCTTGGATGAAGGCGCAACCGTCTGGGCTGATGTTGCGATCTTCTAACTGGCTGTGAGGGAATTGGACTTCCGGATTATGGCAATATTGAGACATCTCCCAGTATATTGAGAACAGGGCGATCCCCATTACCATACGGTAGGTCATGATGCCCAGAGCCCACATGTCGGCGGCTGGATAGCTGATATCAGCAGTGTTGCCCGTCCCTAACGACCCTGGGGTTACCAGTCCTAACAGCTCCGGCGCCATGTACGATGGAGTGCCGATTACTGTGCTTGTCCCGGCTGTAGCTGTCTCCAGTGGCTTGCTAATGCCAAAATCGGTGAGTTTGACCCACCAACCATGAGGCGTACCCTCTACCGGACATTGCTGAATCAACACGTTCTTTATCAAGCGTCAGAAATTGAGGTCATCATACCGCAGAACGTCTTGAACTGCGTGCTGGTGTGCGTTTACTAACCTGAGGCTTTATATCCCGACGCGCATATCCCAAACTGTGCATGAAGTGTAGACCTTTGGCGATCTGCCATACGATTTGGCGGCATTCAGCTTCTGGCAACGGCGGCTTATTGCGCAGCTAGGTCTCGAGGTCCCCTTTCTCCATGTACTCCATTGCGATGCACAACTTGTTCTCCTTCAAGTACCATCCCAGTGATTGTACAAAGTACCTGGAATACTGCGCGGTATTGCAAGTCAGCAGACGGGCTGAGGTTAAAGAGCGACTCAAAGACACGAACCCTGGGGTGGGAAACTCTGATCAATATTTGTAGTTCTCGAATGTAGCGCTTTCTTCGGCCTTCATCATGGAGAGCAATTGTTTTCACAGCGCGTAGGTCATTGATCCGGCTGTCACTGATGCATCTCTGGAGATAAACTCTGCCCTGACCGCCAGACCGACAAGCAGCTTGTCGCTTTTCCAGTATTCACTGTCACCGCCGTCGTTGATGTGTTCCACTACACGCTTCCTTGGAAACCGGGTTTCCAGTTTATGGAACCTGACGTCAGGCGGCAGCTCGTCTTCCATCGTGATTGCCAGTTGCGGACCATCAGCTTGGAGTTCCGTCGGAATGCCCTGGGTGAATTTTGGACGATCGGTAGAGAATCGCTTGGTTGGACCAATACAAGCCTTCAGCACAGCCTCACCCTTTGATTGGTGAGTAACATTTGTAAGGGAAGGTTTCGTGCAGAAGTCTGGTGCCTCTGGGCGGACAAGTGTGATTCGTTGTTGCGGGTTATGTGAGTGTGACGGCTGGGCAGCCTCAGGCTGCATGTAGCCTGTAGGAATGTCTCGGACTTCAGCCCTATGGCGGGGGCGCAGCTTCTTCTGAGCTCGGCGAGTGAGCGACAGTCTCGAAGTCTCTTGCCGTGTTTCGCAGTCCTTGTCTTGGTTGCAATTACCGACTTCAATAGCAATCGACAGATACGGATCCAGCCTCACCGTCTGGCCATGGCTGAACTCGCCTTGGGAATCCTGGGCATTCCAGGGGCAATAGATGTGTGTATCAAGTAGGGATCTTCTCTGCACAGCAGCCACGGTTGAGCATTCACAGGGCTAAACAAGAAGGATTGCAGGGCGGTGAGGAACTTGCTCCAAGCTTGTGAGACCTACCGGCATGCCGACTCGACGCTGTATGAGATGTTCGTTCGCATCCAGGTATGCATACTGCGAATTGAGAGTCAGCTAGAGGTATCCAGGGAGCTAGAAAACACCATGACCGCCGAGCATAGGGACCTTCAGAGGCGCGTGCTAAACATTCTGCTCGCCAAGGCGGAAATTACCACTCAAAAATTTGCAAGAATTGCTTTGCCTGAGCATTCACGTATGGCAAACAAGCTGAAGTTGGCTTTCTTGAGGGATGCCTTCGAGGAGACTATAGTGGAGCTGGAAAGCTGGCAGAAACTCTACGAGCCTTCCTGGTTCTGTTGGATCAAGCTCGCTTCTTCCGCGTGTTGAAGATACGCTTAACAAGGCGATTCGAACCGGGCCTGAAGCTGCGTCGAGCTTCAACCGATCAGCACGGGATTTTCGCAGGGCGTTTAGAGAACCTGGCCCGGATTCCCAAAGCGTCTTTATCGGAAAGGAAGGATTGAATGGGTACACCGAGATGCCCGTCCCAGTCTATTCTGCCAGCGTGGCTGTCCCTCCGGATGGCCAGAAGCGCCTCCTCATCGACGTGGTCTCGAGCGGGCCAGGCCGGGAAAAGGACGTTCGTGACTTTGCCCGTCGCCTCCGGCAGTCCGATCCCTTTATTTCGGGCCTCCTGAGTTGCAAGGGTGTTGTACGGCATGCCAACAAGGCTGGGTTCTCTTTTCTCTTCCGCGTGCCTGAGGGTTACACTGTCGTACAGAGCCTCCGGCAACTGCTTCTGTCAGGTCAGGCCCATAGCTCGCTCTCTGATCGCCTGCAAGTGGCAAAGCAGCTTGCGAATGCTGTCTGTTATGTACACCTGTACGGGTTTGTACACAAGAATATCAGGCCCGAGACAATCTTGATTCTCGGCAAGCCGGACGAAGGAGACGTCCCGAACAAGCTGTGTTTAGACGGCTTCCAAGTCATCCGAAACGCTGACGGGAGGACGTACCCAATCGCGGACCCGAGATGGGAGACGGGCCTGTACAAGCACCCGCTGCGGCAGGGAGACAATGCCGAATATTTTGTCATGCAGCACGACATTTACAGTCTCGGGGTATGCCTTTTGGAGATCGGAATGTGGGAGAGTTTCGTCACCTACGACGGTCCCGGAGACAAGGCGCAACCGTCCAAAGCTCTGTGTTTGACTGAAGACGGGGCCGAGCGTCGCAATGCTTTTGCCATGAAAGATCACCTCGTTTCCCTCTGCCAGAGCAGCGCGTTAAGAGCCAAGATGGGCACGAAATACAGCAGGGTGGTCGAGATGTGTCTGACGTGTCTGGACGAGGGAAACATGTACTTTGGAAACGAGCAGGAGTTCCAAGACGAAGACGGAGTGTTGGTGGGTGTGAGGTATATCGAGAAAGTCCTTGGCGCCATCAATGATATCTCTCTTTGAGTCGGGGGCAGCAAGCGGTAGCTGTTCTGAACTTCTTTCCTCTTCGTCTGCATGGGATTTGGCCTGTCTGAGGAACAAGCTGCGAAGATGACCTCCCAATCAAGTACTGTGCAGCGTTTCTGTATGCATCCATTATTGAACTTTTCGCCGATCTTGCTTCGTCGATATTCCGAAGCCCAAAGCTCAAGAGCTCAACCAAGTCGTCCTGGGTCTGTGAACGGTTCATTTAGAGTTTCCAAGGGAAGGCGCTGACTTCAGGGTTCAGGGTTAGGGTTAGGGTGTGATTGCTCGTTGAAATTTCCCATGTCCCCACACCAGTTTATCTCTGGTGGGGCAAAGCGGCAGAATTCCTCTCCGCCAAAATTTTCTGGACGACCAAGGTGCTCGACTCTGGCGACGTTGGACGGCGACCCCGGCTACAACACGAGCGGCATTCAGCGGAGACGGCAGCATGGCAGCAGGCGGTGCCAAAAGAGGGACTGGCCAGCGCGCAAAGCCGGTACCCAAGAGATCAGACTTGAAGTCCCTGAAGAGAAAGCGGGAGCAAGAAGATCTTGGGAAGCTCAGAGAGGCTGTCAATCAGTTGGTGAGTACGAGGGCCTTTGGGGGAGTAATTCACCCGATCTAACGATGATATTACCACAAGGACCCAAAGTCGCCCGACATCAAGAAATTCAGCGACCTGCCTCTCTGCGAAGCCACCGCCTCCGGCTTGCGCGCCTCCCACTTCGAAGTCCTCACCGATGTTCAACGAGCGGCGATTCCCTTGGCCCTCAAGGGCAACGATGTGCTCGGGGCCGCCAAAACCGGCAGTGGCAAGACGCTCGCCTTCCTCGTCCCCGTCCTCGAGAAGCTCTACCAGGCCCAATGGACCGAATACGACGGGCTCGGCGCGCTCATCATCAGTCCCACCCGCGAACTGGCCGTTCAGATCTTCGAGGTGCTGCGGAAGATTGGGCGAAATCATTACTTCTCGGCTGGCTTAGTCATTGGAGGCAAGAGCCTGAAAGAGGAGGCTGAAAGGTTAGGGCGCATGAACATCCTGGTGTGCACTCCAGGCCGGATGCTGCAACATTTGGATCAAACAGCCGGTTTCGACGTGAACAATCTGCAGATTCTTGTTCTTGATGAGGCGGACCGCATCATGGACATGGGTTTCCAGTCGGCCGTCGATGCCCTGGTCGAGCATCTCCCCAAGACCAGGCAGACTCTCCTATTTTCCGCCACACAGAGCAAGAGAGTGTCGGACCTCGCGCGATTGAGTTTGAAGGATCCTGAATACGTGTCCGTGCATGAAGCTGCGCCGACTGCCACTCCCTCGACACTACAGCAATCCTATATCGTCACACCTTTGACCGAGAAACTCGACACGCTTTGGGGCTTTCTGCGCACCAATCTGAAGAGCAAGATCATTGTGTTCCTTTCGTCAGGCAAGCAGGTCCGGTTTGTGTACGAGAGCTTCAAGCGTATGCAGCCCGGTATTCCGCTCCTCCACCTTCATGGACGGCAGAAGCAAGTGGCGCGGATGGAGATTACGTCCCGGTTCGCCTCTGCAAAGTACTCCTGCCTGTTCGCCACCGACGTCGTCGCAAGAGGTGTAGACTTTCCCGCTGTCGACTGGGTTATCCAGGTCGACTGCCCGGAAGACGCCGATACCTACATCCACCGGGTCGGAAGGACAGCTCGGTATGAGAGCAAAGGCCGGGCGGTCTTGTTTCTGGAGCCAAGCGAGGTGGACGGCTTCCTGAAACGGCTGGAGCACAAAAAGGTGCCGATACAAAAAGTGAACGTCCGTGAGAAGAAAAAGAAGAGCATCAAAAATGAACTGCAAAGCCTGTGTTTCCAGTCTGCCGACCTGAAATACCTCGGCCAAAAGGCCTTCATCTCCTACACCCGCTCCATCTACCTACAAAAAGACAAAGAAGTCTTTAAATTCGATGAACTAGACCTCGATGGCTTCGCCGAATCCCTCGGCCTCCCGGGGACACCCCAGATCAAGTTCCAAAAAGGCGAAGACGTCAAACGGCTCAAGAACGCCTCCCGAGCCGCCATGTCTAGCGACTCCGACACGGATTCCGATGGCGAAGGTGGGAAACGCAAAAAGGACCAAGTCCGAACCAAGTACCAAAAGATGGCCGAGCGTCAGAACCAAGACGTCCTCTCCTCCCACTACCGCAAGCTTCTCGGCGAAGACCAAGCCCAGTCCGACGACGACGAAGCTGGCTTCCTCTCCGTAAAACGCGTCCTGGACGGCGACGACCAGCTCGACGCAGCCGCCGGAGGGGGCACCGCCAATGGCAACAACAACACCAACTCCACCTCCTCCGACCCCAACCAACAACAACAACAACAACCAAAGGTCGTCAAACTCGGCAAGTCAGAGCTGGTAATCGACTCGCATCGCCGCGAGAAACTGCTCAAGTCCAAAAAGAAACTGTCCAAGTACATGGAAAAGGGCAGCAAGCTCGTCTTTGACGACGAGGGCAACGCCCACCCCATTTACGAATTACAAGGCGAAGACGACTTCAAGCGCGAGGGCCCCGCCGAGCAGCTGCGGCGTGAATTTGTTGAGTCCGAGACGGTCAAGGTCCGCGAGGCCGACGTCGAGGACAAGCAGTTAGCCAAGCAACGGCGCAAGGAGAAGCGCGAGCGGCAAAAGGCCAGGGAGCGCGAGGAGAGGTTGGCGCTGGGTCAGGCTGCTGCTGGTGCTGGTGCGGGTGCGCAGCTGGAGGTTGCTAGTGGTGATGAGGCTGCTGCGGAGGATCCCCTTGCGCTGCTCAGGTCGTTGCCTATTGCCGGGCAGTATCAGTATCAGAACGATGAAAGTGGTGGGGAGGAGGGAGGAGGGGAGGAGGAGGAGGAGGAGGAGAGGGAGCCGCCTAGGAAGAAGGTGAAGAAGTGGTTTCAGAGTGATTCTGAGGAGGAGGAAGGGGGGAGAGAGAAGAGTAAGAAGACGAAGAAGAAGAAGAAGGATGGTGGGAGGAAGGTTATTGAAATGGATCATGAGCCGGATAATTTGGAGGATTTGGAGAAGCTGGCTGCTGGGTTGCTTGAGGATTGAGTCTGAGCTGTACCCGACTACGTCGGTTATCATTAGAGGAGATTATTGACTCTTTTTATCTCAGCTTCTGTCTGCACTTTCGAGGATCTGCAAGTAAGTCGTGACGCGCATGATCCGTTATGCGCAACGAGGTATCATGACAGCTGTTGGTCTTTGAACGAGGAGACTTGGTCCTAATTGCTCTCTACCCGACTACCCTAGATAAAAATGCTATATAGAGGCGCGAATGGAGGAACCTAACCCCGCCGAGAAACCCCATCCTCCGAGGAACAATCTCACCTATCTCCGAGAGCAAGCACACTTGTGACCTGTGGTATCGACCCTCCTCCTAAAACGCCAAATCCCCTGGACGCCGTTCCATTCCATCCCATCCATAAATGTACCTTCCTTTCGAAGAGACAACATCTAACATGTTGCTCTCCATCCCCGTTCCACCCCGTCATCCTACCCTACTCGTCTCTTCACCCCTCCTGATCGACGGGCTTGCCATACAACCGCACTCTATAAAAGCATGTATGATCCTTCGCACCGTAGTTCGTAACCGCCCTCAGCGCAACCATATCCGTGGCAGCGCCCATCCTCTCAAGGTCGTCTGACAGCTTGTGCACGAACACACCCCGGCCTTTCTCCTTATGCTCATATGTAAAAGCACCAATCTTAGCCAGGCCCTGGGCCGCCCACCGGTGCTTGAAGGGGTCGACCTCGGGGAATTTGGCCGCCATCCAATCAAGGACCCTGTCGAAGCGGTCGTTGCCGTTGCCGGGACCGACGCCGCCGCGGCTGGGGGGTTTGTCGTAGGCGGCCCACACCTCAATGTCCCGCGGCATGGCCAGGGGGTCCCTGGTCGCCGAGGGCTCGATGTGCTCGACGACGACGTATTGGGGCACGATGAACTGCGCGAGGCGAACCCCCAGGTCGGCGGGGACGGGCGTGGTGCTGTTTCTTGCGGCGATGCCGGCGCACCAGCAGTCGCCCGCCTCGGCCCACGGCGTGAGGGCCTGGGCAGCGGCGTGCTGGAACTGCGGCGTCTTGCGCGTGAATTTGAACCACCGCTTGGAGAAGATCTTGGGGCGAGGGGTGATGGCGAATACCGGGGAGGTGAGGGATATTTCAACTAGGGCGCCGTTGCCCGGGCTGAAGTGGTTGACGTGTCGGCGGAAAGGGTCGTCAACGCTACCCCCTGCGCCAGCCTTGCTGGCCGCCTTGAGCTGGAGATCGCCGATGGCTTTGGCAACCGTGTTTTGGACGAGAGTCTTAATCTCGGCCTTGGGTATGCCCGCAGCGGCCGCAGCGGCTTTGACTTGGTCCGCCAAGCTGCGCAGTTCAGACCGCAAAACGTCCAGGTCCTTATCCATATGCGCCCTGCTCTGCGCCACGTGCTGCTTCAGCTCGCGGATGAATTCGTCCCTTGTCATGATGAACTCTTCGCCCGCTTGAATGGACGGCTTCCCTTGTGCCGGGGCCCGTCCCAGGATGTCGGCTACCTTGCGCTGATTCTTCTGCGCCCACTTCTCCCAGGATTGTGGCACGAGTTTCTCGACCACGTCCTCCACCTCAGCAGGTGTCATCGTCTTGTCAAGAAGTCCTGCACTTTTCAACCGTTCCTGTAGAGCGTTCCAATGCTTGTCAGAGATGCGGCTTTTGTCATCTAGGGTAAGGACAGACTGGTCCCGTTTGAGCCGATCTCTGAGAGCAAGCCAAAACTCCTCCGATACGACGACCCTGCCAGTACCGGCGTCCTTCTGAACAGATACGATCTTGGGAATGATCGCTCTGAGATTGTCCAATGCGGCCTCAGTAGACGTCGTCCTGTCCTCCAAATAGTCCTTCAAGTCATCGTACTGGTCGGGGCTGAGAACACCAAGCGGATGAAGTAGCGGCGACGGGAAAAACTGCCCAACGTTGCTTGTCCAGTCCCGCCAGCCGTACCAGTTAAGCCTCAAAACGGGGGATTCGAATATATCGGGTCGGGCTAAAATGTGGGCGAAACGCATTGCATGGAGCAGGAGGAACCCTCCGGCAATGATTTTGAAGATGGACCAGGGCCTGAATAATCGCTCGATGCTGAGCAGATCCCAGGCCTGGGCCAGAGAAGGGCGATTGCTAAAGAATGTCTCGCTGGCGGGTTCTTCAACGTCTGCCCCCCCGGAGTCACTCTGGGATTGTTGTGGATATGACTTAAAACGGTTTCGAAACCCGGGCCCCAAGCTAAAAGCGATGGGAAGACCTGTTTGACTCTTGTGCTGAGGCTGTTCCTCATTGGTCGGACTTGACGGCTCCTCTTCGGTGGACACTGATATCCGGCGGCGGCGCTCCGGGGACGGTGAATTGTCCCGTTGAGGCTCTTGAATCCTAGTGCGTGGACGTCGCGGGCTCTTGCGCAATTCACTCGAGGGTGGGACGGGTTCAGGCGACAGGGCTGCTGGTGGTTGAGCCACGGGCCGGCGGATATCTGCAAGTGGTGAGCGGGCGGGGGTCTGGACGGTTGCGTCATTAAAGACGCGACCTTCCTCGATGTAGCTACGCGCGGATGACGGCCGTTCCCAGATACCGTTCGGTAAAGGAGGGCTTGCTGGAGTGAGCAAGCTGCCGGATGGCCGCCTAGGTACTGGTTGATGTGGGGGTGGGGGCATAGCAGCCCTCGCAGCTGCATCCCGAGCCGCTTGCTCAGCAAGATGCTTCTGGCGAGCAATCTCCTGCTCCTCGGCAGCTTGCGCTTCGGCCTGGGCCTCAGCTAGCTTTTGGGCAACACGCTTTTGGGCCTCTGCAGACCGCTCCCGTCTTAACCGGTCATCGCGTTCTTTCCGCTCCTTCTCAACTCGAGCCTCAGCCTCTTCATCATTGCGGGTTCTCTTCCGCGGTGCAGGTTCAGGGGCTCGTGTAGCCAAAAGCCCATCTTCCTCGCTGCTCGTCTCCTTCTCAATACTAGGCCGTATCCCTAGGGGTTCTGGAGACTCAGAAACTTCTCTCCCGCCCTCGTTTGCCGCCCTCGCCGCCCTCGCCTCCTGTTTGGCCCGCCGTCGTTCTTGAGCGGCTAACTTGTCTTTGTTAACTCTCGTAAAGATCTCGGCGGCAGCTTTCGTAACATCCCCTCCGCCCATGACGTCGCCCCGGTCGGGGAGCTGCGCCAATGGAGAGCCGTAAGAAGTGCTGTACCTGGCTGGGATGGGGGTCGTCCTTATTGTAGCGCCTTGGGCAGGGCGTGGTGATCCAGCCCTTGACGATGGTGCAGGCGAAGGACTTGCAGTTGCCCGACGAGTGGTACGAGTAATAACACGCGTGGCAGGCATGGTTGCTTTAACGACGGCTGCCCTAAGAAGCTGATAGTTGCTTGATTCTTGTGATGCAGGCGCGCCACCCCGTGCGCCGTCCCTTGAGTCGGTAAGCCAGGGCGATGGACTGCCAAGTAAGTCAGCCATGGCTGCCAGTTATGAGTACATCCTGGTCTCCGGCGCCTCTTGGTAGCTGATGGCGATGAGAGTAGATGCAACGAGGAGTGAATTGCAGTGGAGGGATATCCCAAAGCAGAAGGTGGGTAGGCCCTCAGAGATGACGGGCTTGGGAATGCGATGAGAAGAGCGGCAAGAGACGGATGAAAGGCAGGTCGGAATGAGAATGAAAATTGAGAGGATTGGGTGAAAATGATCGGAACCCGATAAAACGTGTATACGTACAAGTCAATTCGTATCTTGCTACCTTAATTTGAGTGACAGCGTGGCCGGCAACGACGATTGGTGATTCAGTTCCTGATGCTGGCAATTGAAGTTGACAGACACCCCGCGACACGTCACTGCACCAGCGGTGCGACCCTCAAGTGGCTTGGAAAATAGCGACGGGCTCTCAATTGGGTTTGGGCGCGAAATGCGATGAGCGAGCGGATGCTGGTGCTGTTCTTTTGTCTCGAGGCGCAATTATTCGACGGCGAAGCTCATGATGAGCGGAATCGGACGGATTGATGAATGTAAACTCGATGAAGGATGCAAGGGCGACTGGAATGTGCGACGCACAGAAGGCCATGCGATTAACCCGCAGCAAAAAAGCCGAAGAAGGGTTTTGCCTTGTCGGCCGAAAGCGGTGTCAATATTCACGAACAGATTCACTTTTCTTTCATCTCTCTCGAGGCGGTGCACTTCTTTGTCCCATGCTGCTTGCTATGCTCCCTCCGCTAGCGCCCCGTTCTCAACGCAGGTTGGGCCGGAGTTGAGGTTGAGGCCCGTGCTGCGGTTGCAGGACGCATTGGGCTGACCGAGCTCACCGAAGGTGTTGATATGCTGTTAAGGGATATTTAGCAACGGTGGCCATGGTATGCAACTATCGTGAATAGCCGTAAAGGGATCGCAAGGTTAGGGGGTCTTGGCATGGAGGGGCAACTCAGGGTTCCCGGATGTGTGTATGGAGGGAATTGAGCAATAAATTTCGTACTTTGAAGGTTCAGGAGTCTTGCGACTTTAGTTGCGATTATAGATGGAGACCTTGGACTCAGATCGTTTGTTTCGCATGTCTGTCCATCACTGTCGATCAACTACCTAATTGCGACGCGCCGCTCCTCCAAGGAGCAACACGAAGCCGCATGTCAAGGCCGTTTCCGGGTTACGAGGGGCAATCTCAACAGCGACCGCCCACCAAGCTCTAAGTGTATGTACGTACTGTGAATCTCTACATCGCATATCGGTACCCGACATCGAGGCCTCGCAAAAAAGGGTCATGCTCCAGCATACTACTGTAGTATTGTAATCTTAGGTTCCTGACTGTAGTTGCGTTAGTCCACACGATTCCTAACGGCCGCATTACGAGGCATGGGTACTTCCCAAGTCACTTCGTAATCATGATAGCGAAGGACGAAGGTTCCTTCGTACTGTACAGTACAGTGACAGAACCGGGGGTGGGTCGTGTTTAAGTTTCTGGGCGCATCACCCTAAAGCTAGCGAGATTCGATTTGCGACATGCTGCTTGACCAGTTTCAACAGCACTCCTGCCGCATTTATTAAGAGCATCGATTCCTCCTTTCTAAAGGTTGCTCCCTCATCCGCCCTCTTTGTCTTCACGCCGATAGCAACTCGTCGCATTCACCCATAGCTCGAGGCCAAGAGAAAAAGAAAGGGACAATATGGCTGTGGGAACGGTTCTTGTCACCGGGTAAGACCCCATCACAGCCCCTGCTTATTCCATGCGCGCCGACCCGCTTCAGCCGTCCCCTCGAGAACCCCGCCAGACTCCAGATATTAACTGCATCGTGGCTTGCAGTGGCACCGGCTACATCGGGTCTTTCACCACGCTCGCTCTGCTCGAAAATGGCTACGATGTCATCGTCGTTGACAACCTGTACAACTCGTCCAAAGTCGCCCTCGACCGCATCGAACTCATTTGTGGCAAGCGGCCCGCCTTCTATCAAGTCGACATAACGGACGAGGCTGGTCTTGATGAGGTCTTCGCGAAGCATCCCGAAATCGACAGCGTCATTCACTTTGCAGCTCTCAAGGCAAGTTAGCGACGCGCGCCCCTGCTGGGAGTGCCGTGCACTAATCTCGCAATCAACCATGCGCAGGCCGTTGGAGAGTCGGGCGAGATTCCGCTCGAGTACTATCGCGTCAATGTCGGCGGCAGCATCTCACTGCTGCGCTCCATGGAGAAGCACAACGTCACGAATATTGTGTTCTCATCCTCGGCTACCGTCTACGGTGACGCTACCCGCGTTCCCAACATGATCCCGATCCCCGAGCACTGCCCGATCGGCCCGACAAACACATACGGCCGAACGAAGGTCATGATCGAGACAGTCATCACGGACCAAATCGAGGCGCAACGGCGCAAGAATCAGAAGGCTGGAAAGCCATACGAACAATGGAACGGTGCCCTCCTTCGGTACTTCAACCCCTGTGGTGCCCACCCTAGCGGCATCATGGGCGAAGACCCACAAGGCGTGCCCTACAACCTGCTGCCCCTGCTTGGCAAGGTGGCCACAGGGGAGCGCGAGAAGCTGCTGGTTTTCGGTGACGGTAGGTGACGCCAATGCGCGGTCAGAGAGAAAGGAAGGCTGACCAATGGCACAGACTATGCCTCGAAGGACGGCACCGCCATCCGGGACTACATTCACGTCCTCGACCTTGCAAGCGGTCACTTGGCCGCGCTCAACTACCTCCGAGAGCACAAGCCCGGCGTGCGCGCCTGGAATTTGGGATCCGGCCGCGGCAGCACAGTCCTTGAGATGATCAAGGCCTTCAGCAACGTCGTCGGGCGGGACCTCCCCTACGAGGTTGTCGAGCGGAGGCAGGGAGATGTGCTAGACCTGACAGCCCACCCAGCCCTTGCGAACAAGGAGCTCAAGTGGAAGACGCAGCTCACGCTCGAGGATGCCTGCGCAGACCTCTGGCGCTGGGTGAAGAATAACCCGAAGGGGTACCGCCAAGATCCACCGGCCGAGCTCCTCGAGGCTCTGAAGGCTAAGAACTGAATAAGGGACGATGCCACTATAATACGTGGAGTAACTTCAGGACGGGTTAATTCTTTTCTAGAGGACGGACACCTCCATATTTAGACCACGAGACTAAAATCCGGATCATTTTAGATCTTGAGCAGCAGCTTCCCGGTTGTCTTCCTGCCCTCCAAATCTGAGTGTGCCCGCCCTGCGTCCTGGAGCGGGTACGTATCATGCATGCTGATGGTAACCTTGCCTGTCGCCAGCATGTCGAACAACTCCTTGGTATATCGGGCGTTTTCCTCAGGCGTGGCAAGATACCCATAGAGCCGGGGACGCATGAGCTTAACATTCTTTGCGCCCAGGGCCAGGAGGTCGACGGGAGGAACAGGACCAGACTGCATTCCAGCATCAGCATCGGGCAGAGAAGACAGTATCACTGCGACCGCAGTCAAAGCTCTTCGGTTTAGAAAGAGTAAGATATCACTCACCGCATTCCCAAAAACCACCACCGTCCCCTTCCGCGCAACCATCTGCAAATCCCCATCAAACGTCGCCTTCCCCACCCCGTCAAAGATCACATCCACCCCATAACCCCCCGTAATCTCCATAACCCGCCTGACAACATCCTCCCGCTGGCTATCCACCACCCATTTTGCCCCATTCCACCTTGCAATCTCGCCCTTTTCCGGCCCGCCCGCCGTGCCAATCACCTTCGCGCCCACCACTCGACTTAGAATCTGCACCAGCATCGACCCCGTGCCGCCCGCCGCGGCGTGCACCAGCACCCAGGGGGCCTCATCCTGGTTCGGGAAGGAGGAGGAGAAGCCTGCCGCCTCACGCACAAAGGTCAACGCCGTCAATCCTTGCAGCAGGCTTGCAGCTGCGATCTCGGTGGACAGGCCGTCGGGAATGGGCACGACGCTGGCAGCGGGGACTGCTGTGTATGATGCGTAGCTGGCGTCGCCGAGGTAGGCTACCCGTGTTCGGCCCGGTTGCAAATCCGGGTGGGTGGTGGAGGTGACGGAGGGGTGGGCGGTGACGATGGTGCCCGCGCCTTCTTTGCCTGGGATTAAGGGGAGCGGGGAGGGGTAGAGGCCCGTTCGGAAATAGCTTCATACCATTACAGACCTAGTTAAGTTGAGGTGTGGAAGCTTGGGGGTGGGAGGAGGGGCTTTTAGTGCTGGCTTACACGTCAATGAAATTCACGCCGGCGAAGTCGTTGCGCACGAGGACCTCGCCTTCTTTGAGTTCCGGGACGGGCAGGTCCGTTTTCCAGTGCAGAACCTCCGGGCCGCCAGTTTGCGAGATCTGGATGCCGGACATGGTTTTTGGGAGGTCGGACGCCATGGTGAGTTCCGAGAATACTGGTAGCCGATTGTTTGTGCGGTTTGAGACTTTGAGTTCAGTGTGTCTGAGATGGGACGGTGATTAGGGGAGTTGTGAGCTTGTGAGATAGAGGGATGGTTAAGTAGCAACGGAGCTAAATACGGGTAATGAACCCCTCGTCGGACGAAAGCCGGAGATATGCCCGGCGGCAGACTTGTGACTGGTGAGATGTGAGAGGATTGGATGGGTTTGCGATTAATCAGCGAGCTCGAGATGTCAGTTGGCATTTCGGATATTTTCGCATTGATCAGATCAACACTAAGGTACAAAGTGAGCCAGCGAGTGTATGGGAGGTTCCAGTCTACGGAGGTAGATCCGAGGCAGTTCGGACATACAACCAAAGCACCCTCGCTTTCCAAATATACTATAAAATAGGTAGGAATAATAGCCTGAGACGCATCTCGATGTTCGAGGCGTGCTGCAGTGATCTAGAAGTGAAAAGCGTAGATACAGGATTGCCTGCTGGTCAGGTCAGATAAGGACTGGAACGGGGCAGTCGCGGGCAATCCCCAGTCCAGACGGGCCTTCGGCTTCAATGTCATTTTGGGAAGACAACGCTTCTGAAACGCTTCACGATTGCTCGTCCGAAAGCAAAAGGGAAACGGGCTCGGCAAGACTTGTTCTCAGGGACCCGGCATCCCAAAATCCGCCCGGGACGGTGGCTGCAGATGAACGGAGCGCCCAGAAACCCAGCCGCCGATCAAAGCTGCACCCGTCGCATTCACATGTTCCGAGGAAGGGGCGGCCTTTGTTCACTTGTGTGACGGGGCTGTAACGGCGGCACTGGCGTCAATGGCGCCGCATGATGGCGCTGATTGACAGGGGACAGACCACCCCGCGGCTGCCAACCGACCGCTTCCGCAGCAGCGGCCTGCAGCGGAGGCTGTGCAAATCTGCTTGAGCTCCATCAACTCCAATTCTCCAGGGCTTTCTTTGAATGAATGACATGCCACAAACCAAATGTCTGCAACCCGAAGCGGGAGCCTCGCAATGCCCCAAACTTTCGGCTCTTTTTTGTCAACTTAGTTTCAGCTTCTCTACCGCGTATTTGGCTTCGAGTTTCAGGCATTTACACGGCCGGAATTTTTTTTCCTTTCGAAACAGCAAACTTCAAGCTCGTATTTAGAACTGTGACCCACGGTTGGCGATCAGCAACAACGCGCGGCCTACGGCACCACGGCACCACGTAACTTTGAGGCTGCATACGCCAACCCAACTCTTGGCACAAATCAACTATTCCCTTCATTGGTAGTCGGATGCAACTTCCTAAATACTATTGCCCAACTAATAAGAAGCTCTTCGTTAACCAGAACGAACTCCGGGGTTTCAAGGTATCGTCTGCTCCATCCAACGCTGGAATTGAACTCCAGAACTGGTCGCTTGAAACGTCGAAGTCGGACAGGGCAATAAGCTTACGAATCCAGAGCCCAGATCCTCCTCTAAACTTCGCTTCCGTCTTTCTCTCGGGACGAGCGAAGCCATGAGATCTGTCGCATAACCGCCACAAGCTTGCCTTCTCCATAAGCTTCACCGCAAAGTTAGAAGTTTAAGCTCGAATTCCACAATGGCCTCGACCCTAGGCCTAGACGGTCGTCGGGCCCGGCTCCAGCAGCTCGCTGCCGAATGGGGGGTCCACACCCTGCCACCTGTAGCCCCACCGACCCCGGCCCCGCCAAGCCGAACTCCCTCCGACGACTTCCATGCCGAGGAGCTGCTCAAGCGACGACGGTTGGCGGCGAACCAGGACAAGCACTCTCAGGGTGGCATCAAGCGGGCATTCAGCTCGGCCAAGAAAACATGGGAAGCCCAGGAGATATTTGAGGCTCTCGATGGCCACGTCGCCAACTGCGGCGCGCCGGGCGTCGCCGATGCCCTCATCGCGAAGCTGTTGCTAGTCGGTGGGAACCTGAATGTGTCAAATGTCAAAGGGAAAACCGGACTGCTCAGTCGGCGAAGGAGCATCGAGTCCATGGAACGCAGCCGGATTCTGCAAAAGGCTGTTGAGCACCGCCAGCTTGACATGGTTGCCGTGCTAGCCCAGCACGCTGATCCTCTTACCCTCGACGCGGCACTCCCCCATGCAATCCGCTCCGGCGACCTCGCCCTGCTGAATATACTGCTCAAACGGGGCGCTAACTGCACACAGACGCAGGACGCTCAGGATGCCTTCCGCCAGATGTGCATCATGGGCGGCCACGCCGATCTGGTCGGCCTCGTGCTCCAGTCCGAAGGCAGACCCCCGCCGGGCTCGCTCTCCATAGCCATGGTTGATGCTGCCAGAAAGGGCTGTCTCCAAACCGTTCTACGACTCAGCCGAGCCTCCGCCGATGGCGAGTACAACAAAGGCGAAGCTCTTAAGGCGGCAGTCGCCCAGTGCAGGGTGGACATCGCCCTCGCTATCCTCACCGGTACAAAGCCGCCCACTTTCGGTGGCCAGGGAGTCATGGAGAGTTTCACCTTGCTCGTCCAACATACGACTGTCGGTCCAAACGAGAAGATAGTTCTGGCAGAAGCGCTACTCTGCGCTGGAGCCTCCGGTGATCCCGTTTCGCTCGCCCTCTCTCAGGCATGCGCCACCGAGTTCTACGACATGGTCAGTCTTCTCGTCTCGTACGGGGCCTCGATAGAGTTCCAGAATGCCAGCATTCTCCGGAATGTCCTTTCGAGGGGACAGACTAACCTGGTGCAACTGCTGCTCTCGGAGAGAACCGCCCTAAGCCCCATCTTCGCATCCGAGTGCGTTCGGTGCATCCCAAAGGCGATTGCACCCGAAGATCGCCATGCCATCTTAAGCATGCTATTGCGGAAAGGTGCCGGGGGGACACCACTGCATGATGCTTTGGTGGACGCTGTACAAGCCGGCGATTTATACTCTGTTGAGCTCCTCCTAACACCCACTTTTCCCCGTGGGCAGCCTGGATCGACCCAGGATCTTCGCAACGGCACTCGAAGTACGATCCATTCCAGGCACGAGACGGCTTCTGTCGACTACAAGAATGGTCTTGCGCTAAGCAATGCCGTCAAAATGGGTCACATTCCAATGGTGAAGCAGCTTGTGGCTAGCAGGCCATCAACCCAGACACTCGACTCGGTGTTCCCGCAGGTTTACGACTTACAACCCTCTTCTAATCGCTACCACATCGCCGAGTGCTTTCTTACCGCCGGCCTTTCCATGCCCTGTGTCTCGGCTGCGCTGCACAAGGCTATCGAGGAACAGCCTCCCCGCAAAGACGAGCGTCTCATCAGCATGCTGCTGCGGTACAATGTCGATGTCAATTTCAACGACGGAGCTGGGATCTTGTCTGCGATTGCGATTCGAGATTTGCCGTTGCTGGAAACCTTGCTCAGAAACAAGCCGTTGCCTCAAACCGTGGCCGCCGCGGTGGCCAGAGCGATGACAGTGGACGATAAACGGAGCCGGTATCAGATGGTACGGTTGCTTATCGGGGCTGGTGCCGGTCGTGATGGCACCGAAGTGTCTGAGGCCCTTGCGCAACTACTGCCTATCCAGCCAGTCGACATACCATTAGCTACGCTGCTTCTAGAACAGGGCCATGCCGATGTCAACTTTAACCAAGGCCTTCCTATTGCGCTAGGTACGTAGTCCGCATTCATTATGCACTTCGAAAGTTAACCCGGCCCTAGCTGTCAATGACCCGGACCCAAGCGTCCTTGAGCTCGTGCTCAAGCACGGTAAGCCGAATCCTGATGCACTGTACCGCGGCCTCGAAACCCTCACAGAGATGCCCACCAACTCCGCCAAGATAACCAAGGTCGACGCCATCCTCCATCGCACAAAGCAAAAGGATATGCTCAATGCCGTCCTGTTCAAGGAGGTGCAGACACTCCTCAAGAGTCCTGCCGACAACCGCCAACTGGCCGTCCTCCGGTCACTTCTTTCCGCCGGCGCAGACGTCAATGCCCACAAGGCCGCCGCGCTGTGCTGCGCAGTCAAAGCCGCTGATGGGCCGATCGTAGACTTGCTCTTCAGCGCTAAACCGAGTCCCGCTTCCTTGGCTGCGGCTTTACCCCAGTCGCTCAATATCCTGGACCCAATGGATCGCCTGGCCTTTACCCAGAAGCTCATTGAGGCGGGCGCTCCCGGTGCGGAGGCGAACCGGGCATTGGTTTACGCGATCAATGCCCATCCCACCGATCACCCCTTGATTGCGCTTCTGGCGGCGCACGCAGAGTCGGCAGACGGTGAGGCCGTCATCACCGCGGTAAAGAACGAGAACCCCGACATTGTGAACCTGATACTGGAGAAGAGCCGCCGGAAGTACGCCGCCGCAAGTGTTCTGGGGGACGCGTTTCAGGAGGCGACAAAGGTGAAGGGCAAGGAAAAGCGGGTCGCAATCTGCACGTCGCTGCTTAAGAAGGGCGTGTCAGGTCAAATCATCTCGGACGCTCTGCTCGCTGCTGCCTCGGATGGGGATATCGTGCTTGGCGGTGTCTTGATGGATCACGGGGCCAGCGTCGAGCATCGGGAAGGGCAGGCCATTGTTGAAGCCTGCGGGGCTGGCGCTCCAGGCGTTGTCAAGATGCTGCTTGGCAGCAGGGTCGAAGTTAAGCAGCAGACCCTCGTCAAGGGGTTTCAGGCTGCCAGTCAGGTAGATGATCTCGCCAAACGAGCCGAGGTCTTCCGCCTTTTGCTCGCCAAGGGCGTTACTGGTGACGCCGTGGATGCGGAACTGGTGTCGGCGGCCAAATTAGGGGATGATGGCGAGAGCCTGGTGCGATTACTGCTCGAATTTGGCGCAAGAGTTGACTACAACGCGGGCGAGGCGATCTGGAACGCCACGAGGGGCGCCAACATGGCGATTCTCAGGCTAATGCTCGGTGTTGACGGGGTGGGCGACCGGCAGAAGAAGCCATCCAAGACAACATTGCTCCGAGCGCTCAAGGCGAGCCGGAAGCTGAGCAGAGATGCGAGATACCAGGTCACCGAATGGCTCTTTCAAGCCGGATTGCCGCCTTGTGAGGAGATTCACATCGCGTTGAACAGGGCTGTGAAGGATGATCCAGACCCCAGACTTGTCGAGCTGCTGCTCAAGTACGGCGCGTCGCCACTGTCCAATGGCTGTGAGACCTTGACAGATGCTGCTCAGTTGCTTCTAGTCGATATCCTAGCGCTCTTGCTGGAAACTGAGATCCCACAGAAGGATGTCTCATGGACGTTCCAACAAGCCTTTACTCCAGAAACTGCCCCAACTTGGCTGTCAGAGAAGGGGTTCCAGGTCGCAGAGATGCTTGTAGTGAAAGGTGCGGAAGGAGAGAGCCTCGCTCTCGCACTCACTACGGCCATTGACGCCTACGGCTCGGAAAACGACGAAATAGCACGCCAATTCGCAGCTCTCATTCTGCAGACCAAAGTTGACGTCAATTACGATGATGGCCTAGTGGTCCAGAAGGCAGCGCAGAAGGCGGATTCAGAACTTATCCAGCAGATTCTCCATCAGAGGCCCAACTCCCACGCCATCTCCATGGCTTTCCCTTACATCTTTGACGACAGCCTGTCTGAAGAAGACCTGCTCCGCCTTGTGGCCCTGTTCACCGACTACCATGACGGAGAGGAGAGGCTCGATGCGATGTTCTCACATCCCAAATTCGAACCAGTCATGTTTCGCGCGCTCACCAAGTTTCCCCGTTCCGTCAAAATCGCGCAGGCACTGCTTGACGCTGGCTATTACCATGACCAGATGACGGCGATCCGGGTAATGGACGACGTTGAGGAAGAGGAGCAAGTCAGTCTGCTTTTCTGGGCCTTGTTCCAACCCCAAAAGAGGGTTAGCAGTGCCGTCATTGAGCTCCTCATCGACCGCGGTGCCAAGGTCAACTTTGAGACCCGTCTGTCAAAGACGACGCCACTCATGCTGGCCATACAGCAACGCCGACCTGATCTGGTAAAGGCTCTGATACTGGCTGGTGCTGAAGTCGACGTGATGGATGCCACCGGCAACACTCCTATGACTATGGCGACCCAACTAGGAGGCGACCTCGGCACATCGATGATGTCGAGCATCCTTGCTGCCGATCCCACCACCAACGATGGTTCCTTGCACAACGCCGCGCGGGACCTCAACCTCAATGCTATGAAAGTGTTGGTCGAGTACGGCCACGACGTCGACTTCCCCAGCCCGCTCCATGGAGGCCGCAGCGCCCTCGGCGAGCTATGCCTGAACGCAGCCCACGCTGGCCCTCTCACGGCGGCACAGGAGAAGCAAATGGAGAAAGCCATGGCATTCCTCATCAACCACGACTCGGACCTAACCATCCAATCCGACGGCAAGTCGGTCCTCCTGCTCGCGCTCCACTCGGCCGACCCCGTCCCGACCACTCGGGCATTGCTCAAAGTGGGCTTATGGAAACACATCAACAAGCCCTACAATCACTATACGGACGGCACCTACACCTACTCCGCGTCACAGTACGTGGCGCGCGTGCTCCCCGAGTCAGACGTGCGCCCTCAGCTGCTCGAGCTTCTTAAGGCCAACCGGGCGATTGATGTGTACTACGCCAACGACGGCCCGCAGCCCGAAGGCGCCGTCAATCTCCCGCCCGAACTGTTGCGGGCCGAGCGGGAGCGCCGGGCAAGGGAGGAACGCATCGCAAGGGAATCCGAGGAGCACGCCATGGCGCTGGCACGCACCAAGGAGATTGCCTCCATCCACAACCAGATCTTTATCGCGCGGGCCGAGCTCGAGGACGCGCGCGCGCGCCGCCAGCGCAGCGACGAGATCGCCGCCATCCACGCGCGGCAGGCGGCCGAGGAATCTGCCTTTGCCGCTGCGCTGCGGCAGCGTAAAGCCGAGCGCGAGGCCGCGATGCAGCATGAGCAGCGGCTCACCGAGGCTGGCCTCACGCGTGCCCGGCTTGTGGCCGAGGCCGAGCTGGAAATGGAGGAGAAGAAGCAGGGCCGCATGCTCGAGTGGGAGGAGAAAGTGGGCAGGAACCGCGAGCAAAACGCCAAGGCGCTGAGTGCGGTGCGTGTGAGAGAGCGTGAGGCCATCGAGAGGCTTGATGCCGCGGCCGATGCGCGCACGGTGAAGCGGATTGGCGAGCACAAGAAGTTGGTTGAGAGCCAGGAGAGGCTGGCGGCGAGGTTGGCGGCTGGAGGAGTCGATCAGAGGAGGCAGATTGGGTATGTTACTGGGGAGTTGGACTAGGTTGCCGTTGCCGTTGCTGGTTGATAGGGGTTTGGGGTTGGGTTTATACTAGAATCAGGGGTGTTTACGGGTACAATAGGTTGGGGTTGGGAAAGGGGGCGGGGGTATATATCATGGTTTGCTGCTTCAATACTAAGTGAGCTGAGCGCTGATTTAGATTATGAAATGAAATGGTTTGATGATTGCGTTTTGCTCTCTTCTAAAGAAACTACCTTAGGTAGATAGGCGTCTTCATGCTCGGTAAGGCCCTTCCAGGTTGTAATGCAGCGATGAGCAGGCCTATAAGGTTCGCCTTCCAGATTCCAGAACGTATTTAACTCTTGATGGGCAGAAGGTGCAAGGGAAGTTGAGAGGCTTGGATGGTGGATGTCCTGTACTACTCCGTATATCTGCTTAGCTGTCGATTGGATGCCATCGCGCGGAGTCTGCTGATATCATCACCGCAGGGACAATACTACCTTAGTACTTTGGAAGTCGCTCTGGAGGTCGACCATGGTATTTCTCAGCTTGCATCTGATAATGCAGTAATATCCATCTGTATTCCATGTTGGGTGAGCTGTAGTATTGTTGGGTGGGAAGGAGGAACCTCGGGGGAAACCTGTCTCTATTGGGGTACTGGGGCTTGGCTCCTTTCCCCTCTAACAACCCTCCTTCAACCTCCAACCTCTACACTCAACACTCAATAGAGTCAATACATATACAACCACTCTTCGGCTGCGTTCTTAAGTACCTAGCGTGGTGAGAAATGAGGCTTGGTGCTGCAAGCCTCCTGCAGCCGGCAGCAGGCTGTGGAAGTCCACGTGGGTCTGCTAGGCGGGCACCTAGGCAGACTTTTCTCAGTGGCCCGACTTCAGCTGGCATCTCTTCTCATCACCAGGCCGTGCAATGCGTTTAGGATGCCCGGTGTCGGGTAGTTTTCAAATTCCAGTTCCCTCAGCTACACAGTTGTTCCGTCTCGTCCTGTCTACACAGACTATTCCTACCTTAGATACGCAGGCTTCTGTCGTTCACACGCTCATGCACTTTAATCACTCATGGAGGGCCTCCATAATCAAGCATTCTCTGTTTTCTCCCAGATCAATTTCGCACCTGCCCCAAATGAGCACGAGTTGATCTCCCTCAACTCGACGGCCGACCCTCAACTCACTCAAATTTCCCTACCCCTATCCGATATACTTCACTCTTTCGAAAAGCACCGTGACCCATCGTCGCGTCCAATATTTAGGCTTGTAAAGCTTCATATTGCATACCCCCCAGTGGGTAGCAGAGGATGGGAGCCGCCAACTCTCAACGCTTCCAAAGATGAGATGGTCCGATTATGGAAGGCGCTCAATTTGGACCCGACAACCTTACGTCTAATATTCCAGGGCTTTCGATCCTCCTTTGGCCAGTCTTCCCCTGCTTTATGGGACATCAACACCGACTCACTTCGTTTCATGATCAGTATATATTCGTACTGTGTCATATGGTCCTACTGCCCGCAATCTCAGGCGACGAGCGGCGTCATCATCAACCGGTCGGATACCGCATGGCTCAGCGAGCACTTCCAAGATTGGTGGCAAGCGCTCGATTCGCAAATTGGTATTATTAAGCATCCACTCTGTCTGTTGGTGGCCTCAATCATGGAAGCATCGCAATATATGTCTCAAGAGATCCGGAAATGCCGAGCTCGCATCCACCGCCTCGAGCACCTTACAGGATACAACCCCTGGATCAAAAACCCTGCAGCTGCATCAAGCCATCACGATGGGACCCTGAATGTTGACGAGCTTTCTCTCGCATCTCAAGACATTGGTGCCGTCTTGGTCACCCTAGAGGATCATGCCAGGCAGCTTACCGTGCTTCGGCGAGCCACAGGCTCGGTCGATCGTGCTGGAATCCTCGCACCTTCATCAGGCTTTAGTCAAGCGATGGACGTCAGCTCCGCTATGCATGTCCTCCGTCAGCAGATGGACTCGTCGCAAACATTTGTGGACTTTCTCCGCGCGAGGGCAAAGAACCAGCTAACGGTGGCAAGTAGATTTCGAATCTTACATACATACGCCAGGTAACCATGCAGTGCTCTGAGTTACAGCTAACAGCTGTTATAGACTTTCAACCTCATAAATCGGTACGACGCGTCAGCCCAGATAGCAGCTGCACAGGCGGCCGAGAGGAACAGTACTTCGATGAAAACCATAGCCATCATGACCATGGCTTTTCTTCCGGCCACGTTCCTAGCCGCCCTTTTCGCCGTTCCCTCTCTCCCTTGGAATGTCGCCGGTTCTGAGGCCGGAAGTACTTTTGGGATATACTGGGCATTTACCATACCATCCACTATCTTTGTGTTTGTGATTTGGGCTTGGGCATCCGGCGAGACACTGCTACCAAGACTGGTTCCCAGGCCGAGGAGCAGCACCGAGCCGGAAAGAGGGTACTCTGTGTGATCACTGTAGTAGCGATCCAATGTCCAGCAGTTGAGCTGTTGTGGCGCCGTGGTGGCACTTTCCTCGAGGCCTCGGCTAACTCCGCAAATTCCCTATTCATGACCATAAATCCCTATTGATGACCAGAACGGGTAAGAGCGGAATGTCGTATGTTGACTTTTCTTAACCCGCAATTCTCCTGGTGGCAACGAGTGTTATTCATTCCCCATTTCTATCCTTGGCAGTAAGTTTTCCTTTGATCCCTTTGTCGCTGGACTGAAACGCAATACGTTTCGAGACGGAGTCAGCTGCCAGGTTCCTGTCCGTTCTTCTATCCCCATCGAACCTCAATCTTGCTCCAGGTGTGTGCCTCGATTCTGCTCTTCCCAAATGAATTCACGATTCATCAAGTCATCACAAACTCCATCCGACGTCTGCATCACCGTGTGACAGACGTCGCCATGATGCAAGAAATACCCTCGCCAAGATACACGGAGCTGCAGCCGCAGAATGATTCCGGCACACAAAACCAAGACGATGCGAGTGCCGATTCGAAACACTCGTTGCTGACATATGATGACGAGGAGAAGGCCTGGAGCGGCATCACAGAGAGAGACTCAGGGATGCTCGAGCGCCGGCCAACGAGGAGAGAGCGCATCTGGTCTGCGGTGTTGTCGATTCGGTCGATACTCGATACAATACTGTTGTTGGTTATTCTAGGACTAGTGTTAGACCGCCACGGGGAGAAGCCGCGATCGTTCGAGCTCAACGGCGACATCACGGGATTCGCACCTCCAAGTAAGCGCTCCAAGTCCTTAAACGACTCAAGTGTCAGCGACCAAGACTGTTGCGCTGACAAGTCATCTAGTATCAAAACAGATCAAAAGATTCAAACTCGATCATAAGTTTGTTCCCGAGGAGATGGCTGATTTCTTCACGGAGGATGTACAATCGAACTGGCTTAGCATTGTTCCACGTACGTTCCCGTCTTTGAGTTCTCGTCCGATTGTGCTGGGCACTGCGCAGTACTAACAAGATCCGCCGTTGCAGGAGGACTGGGATTCATCACAATCAACGACACGCAGCCCTACAACTACCTGCCTACTCCAGTCAAATTCTACCCGGATACAACCTTCTCGACATCGGTAACTCACCAGCTCCACTGCCTGCACAGCATCATTGAGCTGGTGGCGGCGTATCAGTCGAACCAAACCGACAAGCTTTCGCACACGCAACCGTGGCACATCAGTCACTGCCTCGATTATCTCCGGCAGAGCATCATGTGTTGCGGAGATATGGCCTTGGAGGGACAGCATACGACTTTCCCGGCCAGCTTTGTCGGCACCGACGGGTGGGACGCGACACACGTGTGCAGGGATTACAGCCAGGTCTTGGAACATCTTGAGAGGCATCGGGCAGACAACGAAGTGTGGATTTAGGGGGTCTTGGATGTCTTCGGGACCAAGCAAATCTTGTTGCTTTCATCAGATGCTTGCCGCCATTGTCACCGCGGTGCGTGTAAGGCAAGGCACTCAATCTACTGGTGATCTCTAGATGACTATTTACAGAAAACATTTTAGCGGACCGTTCAATGTTTTTACACATGATTCCGGTTCAGATCCAGATCCCTTTTCGGCAAGTAACAGGACGTGTTGCGTACAAGTACCCGACCACTTCAACCCACCGCTTCAAGTCGGTTGGTGTGCTTTTCTCGAGTCTCCCACTAGATACATCAGCCATTCCTTAAGAAAGCAACAACAACTCAAGCAGATTCCTCGGTGTCCTCCTGCCCGTACAAGTCCCATACGCAGCCTGGCACCCGTTGTTGACATTGCAATGATCGGTCGTATTCCCACAGTACCCCCTACCAACACCACAAATCAGCTCACTCCATTCCACCCCTCATGTTCATGTTCATCTTGAAAAACTTACGCAGCAGAGCAACAAGTAGTCCCATTCGCCGGACAACGGTATCCATTCCTCCCCGCACCTGTCATACCACATGTACCATCAATGGAGACGGTGGTGCCGTTGCGGGGCGCGACGCACGCGGCCGAAGAGTTGGAGTAGCGCGATTGGCAACCCGCTGTGGTCAGGCAAAAGATGTCGCCCGTGCCGCAGTACCCGTACCGCGAGCAGCAGGAGGCGTCGGAGGGACAGGTGTACCCCCGGTTGCCGCCTGCTTCGACTAGGCCGCATGTTTTGTTCGGGGAGACTTCGCGGGATTCAAGCATCATGCCAGTGGCCGGTTCCTCCATTGTCGGGTTTGTGTTTGTGTTTGCAACATCTTGAGCTTGGTTTGGGATGACTGGGGATGAGAGGGCTGTGAGTGGAAGGAGGGTGAGGATGAGGCCGAGGGTGGTGAGGCTACGCATTTTGTCCAGCTCCGAGTCTTCGCCGCGACCGTGACGTTCGGGGGTTGGTGGTGTTATCACGCCTTCTTAGTAAATATTCCTGCCGTCCAGGGAATCGATCGGGTGCTGGAGGTAATGAGGTAGTCGTAACCACCATAGAGATAGCCAGGTATCGGCCTTTATATTCAACACTCACCAACCCATACTACCCGGATCAACTGCCGGAAAGCCACTGGCATATGGCAGAAGTACTAAATGGGCTTACGCGGTGCGACGCCGGTTCCAGCAGGCGCGCCAACCAGTGACTCCATGAGTATGAGCCATGTGTGGATTTACCCGTCAATTTGCTGCCATGGCTGCCTCCTCCCGAGCTCTTGGTTCCACGCGGGAAAAGGTCGACAATCTGGGAACCTTCTCCCCACACTATATGTGAGGCGGGTTATACATCGGTACTGCGTTCCGAGTAGTGGTTTTGCGCATTAGCCGCGATCCCGCGGGACATCGGGCATGCAAGGGGCAAGCGACTTGTAGATGATCATTGATGTCGATCATCTTGTCTTCATCGCTTTGAACAACCCGTCTGAGAAGATGTGATGCCCATCCCTTTCTCAATGTACAAGACAATATGACCTTATCATTGTTTGTTTGTTGGAATGCTCGTACGCCGCCTTGATTGACCCCGATTTTAACAGGGACTATTGAGCCGTCATGACAGCTTGGAAAGACCAGGAATCAATTGACCATTAGAGCCTACTAGTCCTAATTAACAGCTCATAGCAGCAGTGGCCAAACCTTCTTGATACCCAACGTAGAGATTCTCCGTACTGTAACTGATTGACACCGCACCTCCAGCCCTTGGCTCTCATTCAGCGCCACACCGTCCCCCACAGCCACTCAGCCATCTCCCTCTGGTAGGCAATCGTCTTCATCTCAGCGTCCATGCGCGCAATCTCATCGGCCCAGAGATACTTGCCTCGCCAACCCGCCGAATCGAACCCGTGGACTACGTCTGGCACCAACAGCCACTTGGTACTCCCATGCGCGCCGCCCCCGTCGTCGTAGTCCTCCTCCCACCCAAACCGCACGCTGTCCTTCTCCCTTCCGTCATCCAAACACCCCCGCCACAAACTGACTTCGTTCCTCCCTACCACCTCCTGCCGGCCGGGCACAACCCGTTTCCCGCCGCCCGCCCACCGACATGCTGCACGCCCTGCCAGGAATCAATCAATGTCAGCGGAAGAATAGGATACGGGCAGGTCAGGTTTGTGCTGGGGTTTTGGTGAACGACAACGCGACTGCGCTGCGTATACATAGCTACCACCACCACCACCAACCAGGTACACGAAGAATCACGGAATGAAAAACTCACAGCTTTCATTCGCCAAACAATCCAATTCGGCCGCCACAGCCATGACATGCAGCGGCACCAGCTCCTCCCTGTCCGCATACACGGGCGAGAGCAACGGATCCGCCGCGTCATGGCCATACGGTATATAACTCCACGCAGACGACGGTACCAGCCGACCCATCCAATCCAACGCTGGTCCCCACCCCCTCGGCCCACGCAGCTGACGTTTATACGGCCTTGTGGCCAGCTTCTCGGCCGCGCTTGTCGTGAAATCAAGCATGCCGCACACCGACACCACGGCTGCCGGCGGTGGATTGCATCTGGTGGTACTAGTACCCGCATAGTTTGATTCGGTTATGGAGTTCGGGTGTGGGTGTGGGTTTGGGTTACGGCCGGACTTCACGCTGGGTAGCTGGCAGAGGGCCAGGGCCAGGTTACCGCCTGCGTCGAACCCGGCGATGGCCGTCCGCATGCGGTCGATGGGCAGGGATTCGTCGTTGAGGGCTGCGTGGTAGAGTGCTTCGATGTCGAGGAGGGGCGAGGGGAAGGTGGACCAGGGGGATTTGGAGTAGTTGAGTGAGATTATGAGGACCGTGTAGGTGTCGGCGAAGGCGCGGTTCCATGGGTCGTCGTCTGAGGCGTGGCCGAAGGTGAAGGCGCCGCCGTGGATTGTGAAGAGTGTCGGGAGCAGGGCCGGGGAGGTTAGGTCGTGGTGCGAGGGGAAGAAGATGCTGTTTTGCAGGTTAAAAATACCGTAGAGTTGGAATCGGTTGTGTGTAGGTATGTTTGTCATTTGAAGGGCTGCTGGCTTACCGGACGGGAAGACGTTTTCGGATCGGGTACGCCTTGATGATGTCGGGCCGGTTTGGGAGGGGATAATACGTGTCCCGTATCCCGCGGTACAGCTCCACCGGAACGTTGAGGCCTTGAATCATGCTGACAGAGGCTGCGTGCAACGCCCTCTCGATCACCGGCGGTGGATCCCACGCATGCCGTCTAGCCTCAGCATAGTTGATGTGCCGGCCGCTTTCATACGGGCTTTGGTTTCTGCTCCGGCTTCTCCTTGTCGAAGAGTTGTTGCGCGATTCCGCAGGGACATAGGCGGCAGATGGCGATGGGGGAATGGTGATGATCCAGTCGCCAGCATCGGGCTCGGTTGCTGCTGCATATGGATATGGGTTCAGGGACTCAGATGTGCCAAGGGATACGGGTTCTTCTGCAGTTCGACTTCGGGGCAGACTTTGCAGTGGGTTTCCATCAAAGCGAGTGTCCCCTGGAGCCCGCGTATACTCCTGATCTGGAGGCCGCGAGGGCAGCGGAAAGTCGGGTTGATAAGAGTTGATCCGCCAAACACTGTGGTATCTGGGCTGTTGTTGCATATCCACATTAACAGAGGCGCCGGAAATAGCCTGAGGTTCTGCTCTCTCGGATATTACGCGAGAAACCAATATTGCTTGGGTCTCTGGCTCCAGGAAAGGTCTTTGTCTGTCCAAACATTCAAATGAGGGAGGAGTAGGCAGATCGTATCCCCCGTCAGGCCCACCAGGACGAACGAGCGAGTCACCCTTCAGCCCTTGCTCTTTGTTGGCCTCTTTTGGCGGAAAGACCGGTATATGTTTCCCTAGTAGTGTACCTGTTTGGATAGACTCGACAGCCCCAGCGGGTGGAGCGTCCTTCGCTTCCATGGAGTCTGGCCGGTTTTTGAGTTGCTTTGGCGTGGCTTCCGGGGTTAGGGGTAATGCTATGCGATGCATAGCGTGGACTTGGGCTCTTTGAGGTGATGGTGTTCTTGGCCCCGTCCATAATTTAGTTGTGTCCCCTGGGACAGCTGCGACATGATTTGATGCCGAGCCCATCTTAGCAGGTGGGCTTCGCGATTTCGGCCGGGATATGCTGTCCAGTGTGAGTGGGAATTCGGGGCAGGTGTTTGGTGGCGTGCACGGCCTGTGGATGGCTCGGGCATCATCCATTTCCCCTTTCGACTCCATTACCATGCTGTTCACCATTTGAGATCCGTTATCATGTTTCCTTGAGTCGGTCTCCCATGGTAGGTCAGAGACTGTCTGGTTTTTCATTCCGTCCTCCGTCCCTGTGTCTGCTCGAAGGTGTTCCTCAAGCACCCCTTGCTCCCATCGGCCGATGTTATCGTTAGGATACGGGTCAGCTACCATGGCCACGATGCTTTGGCGCTGTGAGGGCAATTTCGAGCCTCTTCCCTCGGTCTCCGTTCCTAACACTCCCTTCTTCTCCAGGCTCTCCTCCTTCTCGCTGAAAGCAGCAAAAGCAGCAGTCAGCTCTGGAATCTCAGGCACGACGCTTATCCTGCTTTTAGGGCCGATGTCTCTGCCCCTGCTTTTACTCCTACCCTTGCTCCGGCTGCGGCTTCGGGCTTCCCACATCGCAATTCGGTCCCTGGTACTGGCGCTGCTGTCCCTCCTGAAAGATGGCGTTGCAACCTCCCCGTTGCGTTCCGATACAGCTTTGCCGGCCCTGTCCCATCCAGTCAGTCTCGTCCGCCCTCTTTCCACGTCAACTTCGGCCTCTACATGTTGGAGGCGTTTCAGGGCGCTGGCCAGATCAATCGGCGATGGTGATTTCGGAAGACGAGGAGTAATCGGCGCAACACTCGGCCTGGCAACATCATCGATGCTGTTCCTCCGCGACGCTGATTGGGATACTGATATAACGGAAAACCTCCTGGGGGTTGGCTCGTAGTTTGGCATTTGAATTTATGGCTTAGGCATCGGATAGTTGGTAAACAGACATAGATTCTGAATTGAAGGTTTTGCGTTTTGTATTGAGAAAACGAGGGAAAAGTGAAGAGGTGGATGAAGGAAAAGCCTGTAGATACCACAGTTGGTTATTGCATTGCTCCCTTGTAGCCGCCAGCGGCTGAAAACTGATACCGGCCAAGGTTCCGCATTTTGAAGGTTGAGACAATGTCAATTATGCGCGTACACAGGTCGAAACGCATCGGGATGCTTGCTTATTGCCGGGAAAAGCAACGCAGACGAGGCAGGATGAAGGACAGCGTTGTCCCTGAACACAACCAGCCATCCTGACTGTGCCTTCTTATCAGTGTACTGAATCGTAACCCTGTCTATACCCAGTATATCACCTGCAAGTTCACTAGACGTATACAACCAGTCTCCCTCTGGCACGTCCAAGAAAACGCCAGTGCAAACAAAGATACCTCCAAAAGGCTTCTTCACGTAGAGAGCTGCTGTCTTTGGGCTCCTTGTAGCGCTGAGTTCAAGGTTGTCCATCGACACGCCAGTCTATCTAGAGGAGTTAGTTGTAGAGTTTCACATTAAACGGATATGCTGGCTTTGCTGCTTGAGCAGCCTGTTTCAAGACGTATCTCTTGAAGATTTCGTCTGTGTTCTCGACCTTGATTGGCATTGTTGATGTATGTAGGCGACCACCGCAAAACCAGGTTTCCGTCCTAGGGCTCTGTGCAATTTGCGCCGATGACATTCCCTCGCAACCATTCGCCGTCTATCGATCAGTGAAGAGGTGAGGTGGTGATGCGACCACTGGTGCCTTGCATCGCCTGATCTCTTTCCGCTGAGGGGTTTGCGCTAGGCTACTTTTAGTGTAGTTCAGTGTAACGGTATCGCTAGCACTGCCACCTGGCCCACTGTAAGCCACAACTAAGGCTTATGTAGATGAAGCACTTTGTATGTTCCGTCCTTCGCACCTGCAGGCTATCAGCTCCAAGCACATGGTGGCCTCGAGGTCATCAGCTGTTTGGATTCACACGTCAAAGATCAAACGCTTGTAGCAAGTTCGAACTTCAGATTTCGTAAGCAAAGGCGAATGACTCCCTCGCTGTGTGGAAAAAGCAACATCTTTTACGTCGATTTCATCATTGATTTCGAGATAAGCCTGCCCCGCAAGTTGCAACCACTGTGATGAGCTAATATTGTGGGGTGTTCCTGCGATCTGCAGTCTCCTTGCAGAAGCGCGATCCAGACCAGCGGTTTGGCTAGGCTCAACAATGTCATCGGAGTGTTAAGTTTGCCTATAGTGACGCAAATCTCCATATTCCATGGGAGGGGTTTGTGACTGACGAACTTTCTTGGCAGTTACCCCTTTCCTGATCATCCCTTTCGACTGCATTCCGTCGCATCCCCAGTCCGGGGAGAACCCGCATCGCACCTGCTGGACCCAATGGCATGCCCCTCTGCGTCAGGAAAGGCGCAGGGGGCCAATTGATTGTTTGTAATTGACCCTTGTGATGAACCGGGGCGGTGTGAGGCCCGCTTTCGTAACCTTCGTAGACATCATCATGACATCATCAAAACCATCATGACGAGCCCGTGCCATCAATGGCGCTTCCGTTTGCGGTAACTCCAATGCCTAACAGCAATTGCCCGAGTGCCCATCTGAGAAAGATATAAGCCTGCCTCTGCCCCCAACTCAAGACCGTTCTGGCCATCAGTCACAATCACATCGATCTTCATAAGCTCATCGAACTCACAAATCTCGAACCAAAGATCAAACAATCCAATAAGACAACCATCGTCACCATGTCCGGCACTCAGAACACCAACCCCGGCAACTTTGCCAACCGGTATGCGGAGCCTTCTCACCTGTTCACCCTTCTCAACCCCATACGGACTTGAAGCTAACATCATCCTCGAATAGCCCCAAGGAGGAAGTCCGTGAGATCGCGTCCAAGGGCGGCCAGGCCAGCCACAGCGGCGGCTTCGCCAGCATGGACCCTGACAAGCAGGTTCGTACTAAGCAAACCTCAATCTGAACTTTCATCACTGGTCAAGCATTGTAAGACTGACACTTTGGGATTTAACAGCGTGAAATTGCTTCCAAGGGCGGCCAGGCGTCGTCCGGCAGCTTCGAGCCCGGCAGCGAGCGTGCCCGCGAGGCCGGCCGCAAGGGCGGCTCCCGCACTGGCGGCACCGGCGGCGATGACGCTGAGTAATGCAGGGGAGGAATAAAGGGGTCTCCCACAACACCGTGTATTATTATTGGGTTTTACCAGGGTTTTCGGGTAGCGCGCGATCGTTGAATTGAGAATTGAATGACATATCAAACATTCAAGTCGGCTTGATGTGTGAAAGAGGGCTGTTTGGCTTGCTGAGTATGCAGCCTGGGTCGTTGTGGGCGTTCGGGTGAATCGGGTCTTCCTTGACTGTCATTCCCTGTCCGTAGTATGCCACTTTGGACAATTGAGATCACACATTTAAAGTATTGAGACCTGCGCTCTTCCAACTGACCCAAACTCCCTCTTCAAGTCGAACCCACAACCTTGAGATCATGGAGGACCAAGGACCCATAAGAGTCTCAAGGTTGTGGGTTCGATTTGAAGATTGGGCTTGGCTCAGTCGGAAGAGCGCATGTCTCGTACTTTAAATACGCTATCTGGTTGTCCAAGACCAGGGATTTGCTGGTCATCACTGACCCAACCACTGGTCTGGTCCTTGCTGGTTTGTCAAGGGAAGAGCGGACGGGATAGAATCCAGATATTGATGCCATTCACAGCCGGAAGCCTAGATGATCCCTACTTTAACAACGAGAAGTAGGAAATGGGATTAAGGAAACAAAAGCCGGATTCAAAAGCGACATGGTATAATGGGAGTCGCTGGGCTTCCTCATCGCACACACACTCTTCACGTATGCAGGATATCTACATTAGATTTTTCAAGCGATCACGCGACTGCAGTCATGATGATCCTGATATCTACAGTGGACAACGGGAAAACCGAATTGGCGGTACTGGCTCCCTTCCATAAGAGTCAAGACACGTCTTAATACCTTACCAACTTGGTCGGTTGAGTTAACAGCAGATGATTGCCCCTGACAGCTGAATACCTGAGGTAGGATTGAACCATTGACCATTGGGCCTGGCATTGGACAATGGACAGCCCATCTCGCACACCTCCCAGAGCTACAACTCCCTGCCTTAGTCAGCGTCCTTAACGTCAATGGGCTACGACCGACTTTAGGTAATTCATACACACAAGGCCAAGCCCAGCATCAACCACAGCCTCGATTCCTGACAGCCACGGTGGTCAGCGACGTCATCGCTGCAGCAGAAATAAAGCAGGTATCTCTATCGCCCTGGCGGTGCGGGTGGACGCGATATCCGACCGGGACACTCTCCGGTCATCAATATTGACGGAGATCTTGCTCAAGGCGGGAGGAGGAAAGCCGTTGAAGCTAGGTGGGGCAAAAGAAAACGGCATAAAACGGATGAAGGGTTAGGGTTGTTGGGGTCAGTTAAAAATCCAAGACGGAAAAGAGGGGAGATTACAGGTTACCTTGCTCATGGTGGGATGATGAAAGCCGTAAGCTAAGTGGGGCAAAAAAAAAAAAGAAAAGAAAAAAAGAAAAAAGGAAAAACTGCATAAAGCTCGGGCGGGAAAGTCATCGTCGATGAACTGTCAAGGGGCGCCTTCCCTCTAGGGTCTGTCAAGCTGCAACTTGAAGGTGTCCTAGAAAGGACCTCGAAACAGAACTCGAACCGATGACCTCCCCGCCCTACGAAACCGTGCACAACGATTTCATAGTTAGCTGAGATATCCACTCGGCCATAGGACCACGCCCTGTGGTGAGTCAAACTTGCTTTACCTTGCGCGGGACCTTGTCCCTCGCTGGCTCAATCCATATGCTCCAACAGAATAAGCGCAAAAGTCAAAACGACAACTCAGGTAAATTGTTCTTCTCGAGCCGTGGAAATACTAGTAATCATCCAGTGACCAGTACTACAACTCATGATACAAGGTATCTAGCCATAAGATGTCCTCCAACTGCTGCCAGTCCCATTCGGGAGCGACCTACTAGCACTTCTCCGCCTCGCACCATCACCAGTCCAACCGGGACAACAACGCTCCGAAGGTCCATGCTCCGGCCGTAACCTGAACAGCCCACGAGCGTTATTACTAAGACTACCACTGTCACCATCACTATCGCTATCATCGACAACGACGCTGCCAGCCGCTTTGGCCGCCCAAGCCACTCTGTCCTCCTCAACCACAAGTGGTACTTGTGTTGTCACCCGTGATGGCATGGCCCTCCTCTCACCGTTCAAAGCTACTACCGCCGCCGCCGGGTCGGATGCATGCGCTAGTCTCGGCTCAAGCAGCTGTGTTGGTTCTTCAACCCACCCATTCGCTTCCCCCATCTGCCTCAACTCCACCATCCTATCGTAATTCTCCACCGTGGCTTCTGGCGTGGGGTACCCTACGGCTCTTGGTTTGCGAGCAACTTCGGGTTTATGTACTACTTGTACAGCCTGTGGTGCCCGTATGGGCTGGGTGCTTGGCGGCGGTAAGGTATCAGTCAACACAGCGTCACCACATATCTGAGTTGGCGGGGGCGTAGGTAGAAAAGCGAGCTTGACGGTGCGCTGCGGTCTGGCTGGTTTGGTTGTGGTCTTGGATTTCGACCCCCGCACGGGCCGGCTCTTATCGACACCTCGTACCCGCGTCATTGGCGGGCCGGCAACACGCTTACATGGCCACAGGCTGAGGTTATTGATTCGCGGACACAGGCGCTGCAAGATCTGCGTTGCCGACTCCAAGCTCGAATCCTCCAGCGGCATCTGGTGATGGTGGTGGTTGTGGATGGCGATGATGTGGTTGAAAAAGTTGCGGTACAATTCCAGGTGGTCGGCTGTCTCGAATGCGCTGGCCGAGGATAGCCAGCCTACTTTACTTTGCACGGGCTGGGCTGCCTGGATCTGGGCCAGCCTGAGGAATTCACACCTCCGCAGGGAAAAGAGCAGGAGGCGGCGGATGACATGGTCGGCCTTGGGATTGGTACCGTATAGAGAGCGTGATACAATGGCTCTGAAGAGAATGCTGAGTTGACGTAGACTGGCTATGGTGCTGGCCTCGGTGGTTTGCGCTGCAATGTGGATCTCATCACCGAAGGCGATCATGGTCTCTATGGCATCTCGCCGTTTGTTGCGTTTGAGTTGGTTGATGGCTTGCTGGATCCACCCGACACGCATATTGGGCTGTGCTGAGGATGGTGGTGATGGAGGCAGACACGCCATATGTTGGGGATTGGTGATGTTGGAGATCCACCGAGGACGAAGGTGGTGATATTGAGGCAAAACGAAACGGATCTTGGCTGGAAATGATGGGACGGGGGCTTGGAGGTAAGAAGGGTGATGGACATGGGGTACAGCTGGGCATCAGTGGGAGTCAGTGATAGATATAAGATGAAAGGGCAGAGGAGGTGGAAAAAAGGTGGGAGGAACGGATTTATACCTGCAGACATGGATGCAAGTCAGCCAATCAAGTGCCGCCGTAGTATGCGACCTCTTTGGTCGGCTCTGGCAGCCAAAGCAGCAACATATGTGTGTGCAGTGGGTTTGTGGGTGGAAGTGGCCGAATGGGGGTGGTTCTGATATGTGTGCGGTGGACGGACCCCCCTGTCGCATACAGCGGCGAGTTGCCCGATTTGGTCCCGTGCGCCCAGCCAGACACCACATCTCTTCTCTTCCTCCTTTCCGACCCAACACCCAATTTCCGCCGACGTCGCAAAACAATTGGAATGGCTCCTGGAGTCGGCCGCACCTCAGAACTGTCGTGGCAGGGCCTATAGACGCTGTGACGGTGATGGAGATAGCCCCCGGGCACCGATGTGGCTGCCGATCGAATTCCCTCGCGTTGATGCACATCGCCGATGTTATGGATATCGCTGGGCAATGATCATTCCTCCTAGGTAAGTGGCCTTGATTAATAGTTGGTACGCAAAGGCTTTGCTGGGCTGCGCTGGCTTCTTTCACGGACGATATCCTGCCCTGCCCTGTCGAAAAGAGGTGGGATGGAGGTCGCCAAAGGTACGTACCTCCAACAGGTGTGTTTCGATATAGATCCCGCCAAACCTCGCTGAATCATTTCGTGGAGTTAAGACGGGAATATAGAGGAATGTATGAGCATAGAGTTAACCATAATACGGCTTGGACAGTGAACGTCGTGTCGTCGTCCGTCTCATGTTTGGAGAGAGCTCGTATTAGCAGCCCCTGGCGAGGCATCTCAGCTTGAAAGTAAACGATCGCATCGCTCGGGCATTGCCGAGTGTTTGGTGCCACTCATAGGCACGATCTTAATTCCCATCTGTCAGTGTTGTTTGCTTTGATGTCTGGGGTTGATGGCGTCGAAAAGGATGGCATGTCGTTGGGGGGATTATGTAATCTGCTCACTTACACGAATTTCCCGGCCCTAACCCCGGCCCCTATCGTACGAACACGTGACATTTCGAGCAATCGAGCCCAGGAGAATCCGCCAAGAGCGGCTGACACCCGCGTTTAATGGCAACGAAATCCCTCTCGGATAGGTGGCCCTGGAGCAGCTGAACGAATTCCTTCTTGCATCCGGTCAACTAGAGTATTGTAATATTAGCATCGATGCTTTCGCCACCTCCCAAGCCGTGGCAGGCAATACATACCTCGTTCCGCGCGGGCCAGGAGCTTTCCCAAGCACATGCGAAACAGGCAGCAAGCAATTCTTAGTTGACGACGTGCCATAGCGAGTTCTCGACGCGCCCAGAGATCGATGCATCCCGCTGGCGACTGACGATTCGACCCGGCCAGGCCGCCCTGTGCATTCTGTCCGCATATGGGCAGATGTAACCGATCCGCAGCATCGTGGGCAAATTACCACAGTAGGCACGCTTGTTCAATCCGCCAAGAGAATGAAGTTGGGGTCCAGAGCAAATGCGAAATGACAGAGACTTCCATGGCATTAGCGGATGTGCTCACGTGCCCGCTTCGACGTCGCACAAATGAATAAGCGGTGGGAATGCGACATATGCGGGTTAGGGTTGCTATACCAGCCACTGAACCCACTTACAGACAAGATACTGAAGAAGACTGATTCATCCTCCGGAAATTCAAAATCTCCAGCCTGGGCTGCTCAAGCCCTCACTGAAACGTTCGGCGGCGACCTATTTTGGCACAGGTCAATGTGGCTGATCAATCCCTCCGGTGTCCTCACGCCGCCTGGAGAATCTGTTGAAAGTCTTTGGGGAAATTCCACAAATATCTGAGGGAATTAGCCTGGCCTCTTTGAAAGTGCGACGGAGGTAGCGGCGTAGAACAAGATGCTTTTTGACGGTTCTGATGAAGGGGTCTTCCAAGGAGCCTCTCCCTTCTCCCTTCGTCCCGCTGTGCTGATCTGGGCAGGGGATTACACGGATGCGCCATTACCGTTTTATTTCCTGTCCCACCCGCGGCGGGCCGAATAAGGTAATATTTTAATCCTTTTGCCCTCCATCAAGGTACAGTACTTCTTTCATCCCCAACTGCCTAAGGAGGCAAAGTTGCCGTTGACGGGACTCCATGGGAGCTAAGGCAGTGGTGACCTAATCCGATTCCGCCCACCGAGCGGGACAAGCAGATGGAAACATTGGATGAAATTGGAAATGTGGGGAGCTTGATTGGTTCTCAACCTTCCCATCGTTCGCTCCTGCCATCATTGATCCAGCTGTCCGCATGCGGTACCCCTGACCCCGACCCGGCCGCAGTCTGCAGTCGGCTGCAGTCCGCTGAGTCTTGATGCTACCTGCCAAACTCAAGGTACTACAAAACGAGGTCTTGGCCCTCGACGTCTTCTAGCTTCGCTGGAAGCTCGCGTCTTTGAAGCTCTCGTTGCTGCGATCCGGACGCCATTTATCACAATAAGGCTGTGATCTCATCTTCTGCAAACATGAAGAACAGCTTCATCCTTACTGCGGCTCTCGCCGTGGCCGGAGTCTCTGCTGCAGACCCCGAGCCGACTTATACGACTTCGCGACCCCCATTCAGCACCATCAAGCCTTCTCTTTCATCCATTGAGGCCGCTCAGGCGACGGTCAAGCCCCTTTCGCCCACATCAAACGTAAAAGGTGTCGCCTTTGACAGAATCATCCAGATTTGGCTCGAGAACACAAACTTTGATGTCAGTGGCCCGAGTCCCTCTATCCTTGGATATGCACGATGACAAGGGGTATGCTGACCCTCTTCTTTGCCGCTATAGATCTCTACGGCCGATCCTTCGATGCAATGGATTGCCAGCCAAGGCATTCTCCTGACAAATTATTTTGCAGGTATGGCAGGCAGCTGTTATGGTCTTCCTCCAGAACCCAATGGAGAACGAATTCTAACTGGGAATCACGACAGTCACTCATCCCTCCCAGCCCAACTATGCTGCCGCCGTCGCTGGTGACTATCTCGGCATGGATAACGACGACTTCATCAGGTTTCCTACCAATATCTCCACCGTGGTCGACCTGTTGGATACCAAGGGCATCTCCTGGAGCGAGTACCAGGAGCACATGCCATATCCCGGCTTCCAAGGGTTCAACTTCAGCAACCAGCAGAACTTTGCCAACGACTACGTGCGCAAGCACAACCCTCTGATCCTCTTTGACAGCGTTGCCCTGAACGACACGCGGGCGCGCCAGATCAAGAGTTTTACAAGCTTCTACGACGACCTCAAGGCCCAGACTCTGCCCCAGTGGAGCTTCATCACCCCGAACATGACCAACGACGCCCACGACACCAACATCACCTTTGCCGGCGCATGGGCCAAATCGTTCCTGGAACCGCTGCTCAAGGACGACTACTTCATGAACAACACGCTTGTCATCGTATCCTTTGATGAGAACGAGGACTACCCGACCGCCAACCGCGTGTTCACCGTGCTGCTCGGCGGCGCTGTCGACCCCGCGCTACACGGCACGACGGACTCGATGTATTACAACCACTACTCGACCATCTCGACCGTCTCGCAGAACTGGGACCTCCCCTCCCTGGGCCGCTGGGACTGCGAGGCCAACGTGCTGGCGCTCGTCGCCAACAAGACGGGGTTCAGAAACACAAACATCTCGCTCGACGGCTTGTACTTTAATGCCTCGTACCCGGGCGTCCTCAGCGACAAGAAGTTCACCCCCGGCTGGTGGCCCGCCCCGAACACGCTCGCCAAGTGCACCACGGGCCGAGGTGTGCTTCCTGCTATTGCTGATGCCTGGGGCAAGTCGGAGGGCTCGTACAACTACACTAATGTCTACCCGTACGACGAGGTCTCGGGTGCTGCGGTTGGTGGCACACCAGTTGTTGGCAGCGGGGAGGCGAACGGCTCGGGATCGGGATCGGGATCAGGCGGGAGCTCGACGACTAGCTCGGCGCCCAGCGCCACCTCTATGGCTGCTGCGGTGCCGGTGCGGCCTGAGATGATGGGGGCGTTGGGTCTTGCTGGGTTGGTCGCTGCTTTGTTGTGAGTTGTGAGAGTAAGTGCAGAGGGGCAGGTGAGAAGGGAAAGAGGAAGTATTGTAAACAAAGGACGGATGCACAGTACATACAGCGCCGTTTAGGATAGAGCAAATGTACTAGTCGTTTGGGTAGTAGTGCCTCCTTTACAGTTGGCATTCCTTGATGCAGCAATCAAGCAGCCCTGACAGTTCATTTTTGTGATGGGTGAATCCCCATTGTACCACTCACCTAAACTTGCCCTCAAAGGACGAGTAATTTGAGCTCATTCATCCCTCGCGCAGCTCAGTGGCAGACGGGTAGCTGGCTCCGCTACCGGACGAGATTCAAGGCTACGGAGAGCACGTGGTTACATGGTTCCGGGAGAACAGTGTCCCAACATTTTAAGGCTTGCTGTTGTGCTATGATATCCGAGAATCTGGTCCGATCGCCAATTCTCCATCGAAGCTCGGAGGTAGCGGATGTAAGGTACAGAATCTTTGTGGGGAAAACGAAGCCCTTGGTTCAGGAATCGGTTTTGGAACATTATCCCATTCCAAAGATATCCAATGACAGAATTGGATCAAGACATGTGGCGGCGGATACACGGCGTTCAACATCAGGGGGGTTCAGTCGACTGGGGGCCAAGCACGCTAATGGGCGGAGCCAAGAAAGCTTAGGTGGGCCAAGGAAGCTTAGCGAGCTTGTGCCCACGCCACCGACTTTTCTCCGCTGTCTTGATCCAATCGTGGGGCTGGACTCGATAAGCTGGACTACCCTTTCAGGTTTAGCTCAGCAGGAAATTGAAGTTCCTCCACTTGATGCGAAGTACAGTACCTCCGTGACCCAATTCAACCCTCCAGTTCCTAAGTTCAGCGGCAGTCGCATTCGATGTGGCCCGGTGCAGCCTTCTGCTTTACCAATCCTTCATACGGTTCCATTCTATCTGTGCCCGTTTCCTCCTCATGTTTCCACTCGGGGCCCCCGAATGCATTCCCGAGCCTAGAAGTCTAGACAGCAGTCCATCCCATCTATACTCATCCTCTCTTCATGAACCTCTTATGGAGCAACATCTTGCATCCCTTTGAAAGGACTTACGTCTACCGCCCAATAACGATGGTGGCAGAAGGGGAAAGCAACTCAAAGCAATTTACCGAGTCGTCAAAAGTCAACGAGCTCACTTCCACAGGCAATGGTCTAGCATCAACGCCGAAGCGACCTGGCAACTCACGGACTCGGTGGATAATTGGCGCAATTGTCGTCGCTGTTATTATCGCGTTAGCACTTGGTCTTGGACTGGGGTTAGGTCTGAAGAACAACTCAACTTCCTCTGCTACGGAATCTGCGCAGCCAGTCGTAACCCCTTTACCTGGCACCGCCGGCAGTGCGTCTACAAAGAGCTACTTTGAAGAGTGGAGGCTGGACCCCAAAACCTACATACTTGACCCAAGCTGGGACATCAACGAGGCTCCAAGGACCAGGCACTATGACCTGGTTATTACAGAAGGGCAGGGTTGGCCAGATGGTGAGGACTCCGTCTTGAATATCAGGTGCAGGGTCTGACGCTTTTGGGTGCTAGGAGTTGTGCGGGATATGCTGTTCATCAACGGGAAGTTCCCAGGCCCTCTCATCGAGGCCAACCGAGGTGATCGACTCATCGTCAACGTCACCAACCTGCTCCGCGAGAACTCTACGACCATGCACTGGCACGGCCAATATCAGAACGGCACAAACTGGTTTGACGGAACAACTGGTGAGCTAGAGGTTTAGAAGAGATCTTCAGCCAGTTATCTGCTTAAAACAAGTCACTGATACTATTGTACTTGTAGGTGTTACTCAGTGCGGCATTCCCGCAGGCCAGTCATTCATCTATAACTTCACAGTGGACAACCAATTCGGCACTTACTGGTACCACTCTCACTACAGCACCCAGTATCTTGACGGCATCGTTGGTCCGTTGATCATACACGCCCCTGAGGAAGCCGCCGTGCGCCAGCTCTACGATCAAGACCGCATAGTCTTGGTCCAAGACTGGTATCACGACTTCAGCACGGTCAACCTTGGGAGGTATCTCGTGCCTGATAACGAAAACAGCGAGCCGGTTCCGGATAATGGGCTCATTAACGGCTGGAACTAGTCAGTACCCCTGCTTTCAAATCCAAGAACCCCGAGATTCGGGTCATTGTTTACAGTTGAGTTCCGCAGCTTTAACTGTTCTTTATATGATCCAGACTCAGGCTACACATGCTACGACAACAGCACCTACACCGTCTTCACGCTAGATCCGGTCAGCTCTGTTACTTTATATCTCGCAAAAACCGCTTCTACCCGATCTCACTAACCCTTCCCTAACACCCACAGAACACGCGCACCCGCTTCCGCTTCATCAACACAGGCGCCTTCGCCGAATTCGAGCTTAGCTTCGACAACCACACCCTATCCGTCATCGAAGCCGACGGGACCCTGGTCAACCCGCACCCCGTGCACCGGCTGCCGATCCACGTAGGCCAGCGCTACAGCGCCATCCTCACCACCAATCAGAGCACCGCCACCAACTACTGGCTGCGCGCCGCCATGGTCACCTTTTGCTTCACGATCGACAACGCCGTGCTCGACCCCACCACGCGCGCAGTCGTTAGCTACAGCGGCGGCAACAACACCGTTTTCCCACTGGCAGAAGGGGATAATGCGAGTGTTGACTGGGCTGATGCGTATGGTGTTAAGTGCCATGATCTGGACCCGAGTGAACTGGTGCCGAGTGAGAGGATGGTTCCGCCCGCGGCGACGAGGTTTTGGAGGGTGGATTTTAGCTTTGGGATTGGGGCGTATCAGATGGATTATGCAAAGGTTAATGGCACGACCTGGAAGCCGTTGGAGGGTACTACGACGTTGATCGAGGCTGTGGACGGGTTGGCTATGGCCGCGGGTTCTGGTGGCAGTGGGAGTGGGAGTGGGTTTGCGACCTCTGGGGTGGTTTCCGGGTTCGGGGAGAATCAGTTCGTCGTGGGCGTCAGCAACGCATCCGTGGAGGTGGTGGATGTGCTGATATACAGCTTGGACGAGGGGGCGCACCCTTTCCATTTGCATGGTCATGACTTTGTGAGTCCTCCCTAACTCCCCCGCATACATCGGAGGAGCACGAACATGACCTGGTTGACAATATATCTTGACTCCCAAACAAAACAGTGGATACTCCTGACCGGATCGGGCCCGTTCGACTGGGCCAACTATTACCAGAACATCATGCCCTCGAACCCGGACGTGGTCGGGAACGCGCTGCGCAGAGACACGCTCACCATCGCGCCCTACGCCTGGGCCCTGATCCGCTTTGTGGCTGACAACCCTGGGCTTTGGGTTCTGCATTGCCATATTGCGTGGCATATGGAGGCGGGGTTGCTGATGCAGTTTGTGAGCAGGGCGGATGTGCTTGGAAAGATGCAGATTCCGGAGGATGTCAGGGGGTTGTGTCGGCCGCCTCCGTCATGAGCAGACGGTGAGGGAGCTGGGGTTTGCTTCAGGCTCTCTGCGGTGTTGTCCAGATAGTATTGTACATACAAGCGGAGGTGGAACTGAGACTAGACAAGGAATCCCTTATAAGTCATGCTCATGGTATATCCCTCCCGCAAAGTTCTAGCTGGTTGACGGTCCGAGGTCCTTTGGGGGATAACAAATACAACAGGACTTGGGACTCCCAAAGAGAGGTCTGGTGACATAATTTTGCATATGATACCTGATGAGTGGATCATAAACGATCTGTAAATTCTGTTCCTTCAATCCTCACAAATTCAGAAGGGAGTGGGTAGTATCGATGGCGATGATTGAGCACTTGGAATATTAGGGGGTGGCCCTCTGTTCTGGTATGTTACTAAGGCAAGGCACCTAATCTTTGACGATGAGATCTGACGCTAAATGCAGTCACTCACTGTCACTGGTACAAACTCATAGAATCATAGGTACCGTATTTCTTGCCGCCCAAATTGACATGATGATGGCTCGCAGATCGGCAAGTTTTTACGGCAGCTGGCCGGTTAATTGTTTGCTGACGCTGATTCGAGCGCATCCGGAACTCGGCTCATGTAGTGAGCATCACCCGATCTGCAAAGTCAGCCATCATGTAGCATTCCCGACGGCCCGGTACGCGAGGCCCCAGAACTATAACAACTTCAAGGTCTCGATTTAAACACGCCAACCGCCAGAGCTTCCAGGTTGGCGACGGTGATATTTAGCTACGGGTGGCCAGTACTGTAGAGATCACGCCGGGTGACTATGACACAAGCCAGATCAACAATTTTGATGTTGTCATTATATAACCTAAGGTAGCTAGGCACCCATCATGTCACTGTTAAACGGGGGCGGGCTAGGTAAGGTAGGGATATATGGTTATAGTACCATGAATTTGGGTCAGGACTTGACGTTTTGGCAGGACGCTCTTAGGGAGATTTAGGTCATTGAATGCCGCGGGCACGAGTGACCACTCGTATGTACAACTGTAACAGCAGTTTCCGCCAGTGAGACTTCGACACATGTCGGTTGCTGCTCTTAGCTCCGGCCGCTCCCGTCACGAAAGACTTGACGATGCAAGCGAGGCTTGGTTCAATGAGGCCCCGTATCTTCACCGCGCCTTCCATATAGGTATGTACCTTAGGCATATACTACTAGTATTCCACTCACATCTACCACTCTTTCCACCTTCCACGACACAAAGTGTTCAGTGTTCTCACCATACCTGTAGCCAGCACTCCCAAAAACGATTTCATGAAGGCGACTGGCATGCACGACGCATGAGGAGATTGAGCAAAGACGATTCGGGCCGCATCTTTGCGGACCTGCAAGTGTACAATACCTATCTGTGCATGCGGAAGATTATCTGAAGCTGCAGACTTTCTGACCTGACAGCAATGGCTTAACGTGGAACCATGTTGAGTGAAGATCTCAGCTATGATCGGACTCATCGGAGAGTTCCCACTAGTTTCCCTGGTTCGCTAATCTTGCTCCAGGAGGCGTACGGATCATCTGCTAACCTGGTAGCTGGAGAGGGGATGCCGGGTCTGGGCCCTGGCTAAATGCATGTGGACGTCGGATATTTGCCGTACCCCATTTCCGGCCCCGGCCCGGCTCCCGACCTCTCCGTCATACCTACTTGTAGCGTCGCAACAGCCCTGCGGCTTCCCGACAACCACCCGACGGCAGACGGATGACAAACGTGAAGTAACAACCGACCCAATCGACTCGAACATCTTCAGCTGCTCGCGTGCTTTCTCTCCGGGTTGGGGAATTTGTGATTTGCGATTCGTGCGCCTGTGGTCGTCGCTCTCACCTCGGTCCGGCTGCGTCCATGTCCCCTTCCGCAGACCTGCGCCGGGGCAGTAGGTTGGAGGGATCGTGTAAGTGGGCGTGTCCATTCGCTACAAAACCCTCATGATGTTGCCATTATAGTATGCCATGTGTACTTCCACCTGTCCGGCCAGTGGTACGTCAATATTCACCTCACTATCCGAATCGAAGTCTGATTCGCCATGAGGGCCCTGGCGACTTTCGGTATCACGGCGGCTTTGGTGGTGGCAGGTGTGCACGGGGGAGTGCTCCCCGACTGCACCAAGCCGCCTCTCAGTCTGAACAAGATATGCGATCGCAACGCGACCCCCCGCGAACGGGCCACTGCCTTTGTCGAGGCCATGCAGATCGAAGAGAAGCTGGCCAACCTTGTCAGTAAATCACCGGGGGTTCCCCGTCTCGGCTTCCCAGCGTACAACTGGTGGAGTGAGGCCCTCCATGGCGTGGCCGGCGCCCCGGGTATCAGATTTGATGCGCCCTTCGACTACGCCACCTCGTTTCCGATGCCGCTTCTTATGGCGGCTGCATTCGATGACGATCTCATCGAAAAGATTGCTGTTATCATCGGCATCGAGGCGAGAGCCTTTGGCAACAACAACCGCTCCGGCATCGACTACTGGACCCCGGACGTGAACCCCTACCGAGACCCGCGATGGGGTCGCGGCTCCGAGACGCCGGGCGAGGACGTCCTACGCATCAAGGGCTACACTAAGCATCTCCTGCGAGGTCTCGAGGGCACCGGTAAGCAGCGGCGCATCATTGCCACGTGCAAACATTACGCCGGCTACGACATGGAGGCATGGGGCGGCGTCACACGCCACGACTTTGACGCGCGCATCACGCCGCAGGAGCTAGCCGAGTACTACATGCAGCCATTCCAGCAGTGCGCGCGCGACTCCAACGTTGGCTCCATCATGTGCGCCTACAACAGGGTCAATGGCGTGCCGGCCTGCGCCAGCGACTACCTGCTCAACACCATCCTCCGCAAGCACTGGGGCTGGACCGAGAGCAACAACTACATCACCAGCGACTGCGAGGCCGTGGCCGACGTGGCTCTTAACCACAAGTACTCACCCACTCTGGCGGCGGGCACGGCTGAGTGCTTCAACAATGGCATGGACTCCAGCTGCGAGTATGAGGGCTCCTCAGACATTCCCGGGGCGTGGAGCAGCGGAGCACTGAACGAGACGACTGTCGACAGGGCGTTAGTCCGTCTTTTTGAGGGTCTTGTGCGGGGCGGCTATTTTGACGGCAAGCATGCCGAGTACTACTCGCTGGGTCGGGCTGACGTCGACACGGCGCCGGCCAGGCAGTTGGCGCTCCAGTCTGCAGTGGACGGCATTGTGATGCTCAAGAACGACGGCACCCTGCCGCTGCCTCTCGAGTCAGGCTCCAAGGTGGCCATGGTTGGATTCTGGGCCAACGACGGTCCCAAGTTGAAGGGTATCTACAGCGGTCCCTCGCCATTCCTGCACACCCCCGTCGACGCGGCCAAGGAGGCCGGCTACAACATCGCTTACGCTCAGGGTCCTATCCTGCAGGACAATGCCGCAAAGGACAACTGGAGCGAGAACGCCCTGGCCGCAGCCGAAAAGTCCGACTACATCCTCTACTTTGGTGGCATCGACACGACGGCCGTTGCCGAGACGGTTGATCGCACCTCGATCGCCTGGCCCGAGGCCCAAGTCACCCTGATCAAGAAGCTGGCGGGCTTGGGCAAGCCGCTCGTCATTATCCAAATGGGCGATCAGCTCGACAACTCGGAGCTCCTCAAGCTGGGCAACGTCAACTCAATTCTCTGGGCAAACTGGCCCGGCCAAGACGGCGGGCCAGCCGTCATGTCCATTGTCAACGGCACCAAGTCGCCAGCCGGCCGTCTGCCCGTGACCCAGTACCCAGCCAGCTACACCAAGCAGGTGGCCATGACCGACATGAACCTCCGTCCGGACGGCGCCAACAACCCGGGGCGCACATACAAATGGTACCCGCACGCGGTGCAACCATTCGGCTTTGGCCTTCATTACACCACCTTTGAGCCCACCTTTGCCGACACCGAGGGCAAAGGCAAGGGCAAGGGCAAGGGCAAGGGGAAAGGCAAGGACTCCGACGACAAAGCCAAACCCACAACCCTCAGACTCTCCATCCAATCCCTTCTCGCGCAGTGCAAGAACAAGCACAAAGACACGTGCCCATTACCCCCGATCACCGTCAGCGTAACCAACACCGGCAAGTCTCACACGTCAGATTACGTCGCACTGGCGTTTGTCTCTTCCTCAGCCGGTCCAAAGCCGCACCCGATCAAGAGCCTGGCTGCGTACGGCCGGCTGCGGGACATTGCGCCGGGGAAGACGGCAACTAAGAACTTGGAGTGGACGCTCGCGAGTCTGGTCAGGCATGATAAAAGTGGGAATGCGGTTCTGTATGCGGGGAGGTATGAGCTTTTGTTAGATACGGACTCGGACATGGAGCCGGCGAGGGGTAGGGATAGGATGGTTGTTGAGTTGGAGGGGAGGGATGAGGTGCTGGATTGGTGGCCGCAGCAGCCGGAGTGAATGGAAGGGCAGCGTTCTGAGGAATTCAAGGATAGCTAAGGTATTGACTGCGAGCAATGACCCGACAGGTTATGAGTGGATAATATTCTCAACCGACTCCTTACCCTATGTTCTGCCCGGTCCAGACGATCAGGATTAGTTGCCAGGAAATGGGCAGGGCAGGGCAGCGTTGTTGCCTTGGAACAATCCCAGGAGCCTTGGCATAAGGCTTGCAATCCCTTCGAATCCAATCCATTCAGAGTAACTGATCAGTTCAAACTTCAAGCTCCTATTCGTCCGAGGAGTTGGTATCGGGGGCCAGTGCGTGTTGGTAGAGCTCCTTAGAGCTCGTTGGACCTTAGAGCTTCTTAGAGCTCCTTTGTCCTCTCTGACAGGGCAAACACCCTCACCATCACAGCTAGCCAGGCAAGCCTATATAGGCATGCCTTCCAGGGCCCTCTGGCCAGCTCTCTCTTCAAGTTCCTTAGATCATCATCAAGAGCTTGTTTTCCCATATTGTGCCTTGGATACGGGGGCAGTGTGCACACATAGCCCTAACCCTGACGCAAGTGTCACAATTGCAGCGCCGGACCTCTTGGCCGCGTTGAGCGCCGACCGTTGTCCCTCACTGACCCAGTATCCAAGGCGCACTGCCCCCCGATACCAACTCTTTTCGAGGTGAGCCAAGTCAGTCGTGTGCCATGGCTTGTCTTGATGGGCATACTGGAGGCGCTGAATCGGTGAATCCGAGGCAGAAATTGCCCTCTGTATGTACCTCCGTACCCATGAACCAATTGATATTACCTCTATGCTTGCATGAGGTTGTGGTTGTGATATGTATCCGCAATCGATGCACCGACTGGCTGGAGCTGAGAGAGCCTGCACGTTCAGTGCCGGTTCAGTGCAATTTGCCTACAAAAAGGAAGTAGAACCGACCCAGAAGACGCGTGTACACTACATACCTTACCTAGGTAAAGTACTCCGTACTGTACCTTGTACCCGGGCGCGTTGCGTGGGCGGCTGACTAAGGGCGGCTGACTAAATAAGGCTTCAAATATCGTAGAATTGAACGCATTCGAAGAAACCCTCAGAAAACGCGTTTTTGTGCCTATTCTACGGTCCCTACTGACTAGTGAGGGGAAATGAAATTTCAAATTTCCGAATTTCAGCCATTTTTGCTTGAAATTGAAATTCAATCTAGGCCTTGAAATTTCAAGATTTCAGACATTTGGGTAGGGCCTTGGATTAGCCACTCTTAATAAGGGTTTGGGAGACTAAGAGAGCCCGAGGAGCATGGAAAGAGTGTTGTTGGGCAAGAGTGCCTGTGTATAACCCTAACCCGGAGCCTTACCGCCTTCTCAATTTGGTTAGCCTGAAATTGTGAAATTTCAACTTAAATTTCAAGGCCAACTGTGAAATGAAATTCAAGGCCCTCCTTGAAATTTCCCATCCCTAATACTGACCAGAGGGACCCGCTTTCTCTTGGCGTTTGCAGGTCACAGTGAGTCTGCGAGCCCTGTTGAGTGGGAAGGAGGAACCTTGGCAAGCCTGCATTTTATTGAGGCACTGGGGCTTGGCTCTTTTCCCTCCAACGCTGCTTCAACCTCCAACTCGCTGCAAATGAATACCATTCTTCGCCCGTTTTTTTTCAGCCCGCTGCACAGCGAGGTCAGTACGAAGGTATGTACCTTAGGTCAAGTACTGTGTAATTACTGTTTTCACAGTAGGTACCAGAAAATGCCTCGCCGCTGTCATGTGCCCCTTGGCCAAGAACCTGGAAGACTCTGGTCGGGTACAGACATGATGATAACCCCTGTGAGGCTGCAGTGGCTGTGGCCGGACTTGTCCAAAAGGCGCTTTTATACCTAAGGTGTTTGGTGGGATGCTGTTGTTGGCGTCGCCCATAGCCCCATACATGATCTAGGCCTCCAAGCCACCACGATTTCATGGGCTCGTTCATTCAAATTATTAGCGTCCGCAACCCCGCTGAACGAAGACCTTCCCCGGCAAACTCACCTCCGCTCAGAAAACGCTCGTTAAACCGGTTTGATGCGTTGTCAACTGTTTGGCCGCTTTTGTTATATCCCGGGATGGAAAATCCTGGCAGGCGCGAGGCGCGCCATCTGATCGAGACGATCCGAAGAGAGCTCACTTTGGATGAGTCCATGATCGGGACCCGGTTTGAGTCACTGATATCCAACTGTCTTGAGATGTAAGCCAACATCATTGGATCTTTCTGCTTAAGCATCCCACTGACATTTTCTGGTGCCAGCTTGTCGAGTCAGCTGTATGCCGAGTCGACACACTTTCTGCTGGAGCTCGTCCAAAATGCCGACGACAATGTCTACGAGTGTGAGCGGCCAACCCTGAGTTTCTCGTACAAACCTGGGAGTCTCCGCATCGATTGCAACGAGGTCGGTTTTACCGCAGCAAATGTTGAAGCGATTTGTGCCGTCAATCACAGCACCAAATCCACCAAGACCCGCCATGGCGAGCATATCGGAGAGAAAGGTATCGGCTTCAAGTCTGTCTTCAAGGCTGCAGATGTGGTGTGGATATCCTCGCGGGATTTCAGCTTCAAGTTCGACAAGGCCAAATCACCCCTGGGCATGGTCACTCCTGTGTGGGCTGATTTTCCCGAGCCGACTCGGACGGGATACACATCGATGTACCTCCGACTGTCCAAAGACTACGACGAAGAGAAACTCGTTCGGGACCTTCTGACATTCGACTGTAACCTTCTCATTTTTCTGAGACGCATTGAAGAGATCAACATCTGCGTTGCTCGACCGGACCAGCAGGCATGGGAAAAGACGATCCGGAAATCCAACGACATCCAAGCAGATAGCCGCATAGTCGAGTTGCAGGATGGAAGAGATATCTTGCGGTACCTGATCAGGACGCACAGCGTCACGAACCTTCCCAAGGAGAAAAAGCGGCCGGACTGGTCTGAAACCAGCATTCTCTTGGGTTTCCCGGCGATAAATGGCATCCAGAAGCCCCAGGCACAGCTTCAGAATGTGTATGCCTTCCTCCCAATCAGGAATTACGGATTGAAGGTTGGTTCATCCGTTCGATGATGCTTACATATCCAGTTTTTGTCCTAACCTGGCTTAGTTTCTCGTTCAAGCCGACTTCCTTCTTACTGCGAGTCGGGAAGATATTGAAGGGTCTCTGCCATGGAACATCAGGCTTCGCGAGGCAGTAGCCGAGGCATTTCTGCAAACTGTCAAATATTTCAACAGCGGAGAGGCGAGGTATATCTGGCCGTACTATCTCCCCTCCGATTCCACCGCTGCGTGTACCTTCTTCCGGCCGGCCGTGGAGACAATATTATCCAGTCTTCGAGAAGAAGCTGTCCTGGAATCCTGCGCAGGGCACCTTGTGAGTCCCTGTTCTCTGAAGAGCATACCGTTAGATCAGTTTGCGAGCCGAGACGGCGTCCCCTTCACTCTCGGGACTCAAACGGAAGCTCGCTATTTGTCGTCCAAGTACCCACCTTGGGCTGTTGAAGCAACATGGGCCATTGGGGTTTCCCAGCTGTCCCCGCGAGAATTTCTCGGAGACCTTACTTCGCTCATAGCAGAGGACGCGGACGCTTTTCACTCCCGGCCAGCTGACTGGCATTCCCAACTCGCCGCAGCGCTTGTCAGGATGACGGCAGACGCTGATCTCATGCCTCTCATCATGGACATGCCCATTATCCCGCTGCAGGATGGTAGCTGGACTCCGGCTAGAGGCCATACGATCTTCTTTTCCAAAGCTGGAAGTAACTTGGAGATGCCCAGTGGCATCGAGGTGCTCATTGTAGAGCCGACGGCGGAATCCGACCCCAACCGTCGCAATCTGTTCGCAAGTCTGGGTGTCAAGGCTTGGGAAGCAAGCGAAATCTGCCAGTTGGTACTGCAGGTCCACTCCTCTCCGAGCTTCAAGCCTGAGAACTTGACGACGAGTCAACTTGTCTCCCATGCCAGGTTTCTCTGGAAAGCCTCGTGGCAGCCGCCCAAGAATGCAACTCTATGGTTCGCCACCACGCAGGAGAAGCGGTGTCTAGGGAGTGCCCTGTACATCTTCGGTCACGCTGAACCAGGCTCCTCGGCAGCTAGGATTTTCGCGCGTCTGCAGAACAAGTTCGCTGTGATTCACAGCAGCTACCTCAATCATGCCTCTGCGGACGAAGATTGGCCTGATTGGCTTGTCCGCCACCTCGGCCTGTCAAGGATCCCACGTCTGATCCATCCACAGGTAGATCCCAAACCGCAGCCGGTAGGAATCATGGATGCGCAAGGGAACGGACAATCGAATGATGGGGCCAGAAACGCTCCTGCCAAAACTCTCAATGTTGCAGAGTACCAAATGCAATTAATGCTCCTGGAGCAGCAAAACAAAAACAGACTCACGGGAAGACTCGGTTCGAACGACTCGGAGGCCATAGGAGAAAGATCAGACAGACAGTTGCCGGACTCCACAAGGTCTTCACTCGATGCTATCGCGCCGCTCTATTCCGGAAATAACCAGCAACTGCAATTGAGTGCCCCAAAGCGAATTAAAAAAAGAAAGAAAGTTCCACCTCCACTGCCTGATTTTGCTCCCTTCGATGAAGATCCGATGAAGACTGATCATGTCCTCGACGATTTCGATTTCGACTCGTTTCTCGGGGGAGGTGAGGCCGAGGAGGGGAAAGAGAAGTCAAAGAAACCTGTCGATCTTGAAGTTCCACTTGGATTTGCTCCCTTCGATGAAAATCCGATGAAGACTGATCATGTGCTCGACGATTTCGATTTTGACTCTTTTCTCAGGGATAGTGAGGCCGAGGAGGGGAAAGAGAAGTCCAAGAAATCTGTCGATCTTGAACGACAATGTGGCGTGCTTCTGCTAAATGGCCAGCCCTGTGCTAGAAGTCTAACGTGCAAATCGCATAGCACGAGCGCCAAACGAGCCGTCTTAGGACGCTCCACGAACTTCGATACCCTGCTGGCCGCATTATCTGGAGAGAACCAGCGGCTCAAACAGAAGCCCACAACCGATGAGGGTGCCCTGGTGAAAGACAAGAACAGTATCTTCACGGGCGTGGCCGACAGCGACTGGAAAACAACCGAGACAATAGGTGGCTGGGCCAAGCAGGATACGGATCCAGTGACCCTTCAGGAGCCTACAGAATCTCAGTCTGAGTCTGTCGAGGGTACCAAATTATTTGAACTTTCGGACGAATTCCGCTTCATGCTCCTCGAGTGCAGGACGTCTGACGTACTGCATCTTCTTCGGGACAACTGGCCGTACTATTCCCAGTGGATAGACGGAGTTCATATGAAGTGGCAGAGCCCGGACTTTCTCAAGTCTTGCGCCGAGCTACGGATCAATCTCCGACAGTCCGTAGTGCAGAGCGCCAGAGGCCCGGTCGAGCTCCAGTATACCGTCTTGCCCAAGATTGACAATGAGCTCGAGGATGAGTTCCCAATTCCCGCCGTCCCCGTTGAGGACGCCTCGCATCCGGACTGGAGGCTCTTGAGCCACTTCGGTGTGATCGTTAGCCTGGATGCTGAGTATTACCTCCGTTGTCTGACTGCCATTGCCGGGAACGCTACGCCCGATATAGACAAACTCGCTTACATCTACGAGAAGATCCAATCTCGGTATCGAGGGAACGAGCAGCCCATCAAGTACGTATTTGGAGCATCCTGACAATCCGTGTTCTGACATTTAGGGTAGAGAAGCGTTCTACGAGAAGGATATCGTGCTTAGTAAGGTAACGGCGCAGTCGGGGCGGCCAACCGGGTTTCGGTGGATGAACATGAGCGAATGCATTGCCGAAGGCATCACTATCTGGACCCAATATCCCGCTAGCGCATATCTGTTCCGTTGTCTAGCCTCGCCCGGAGGCGACCCAGTCGCGGCCAAAGTGGCTGCAGCTTCCTCCATCAAGTGTTGGACCAAGTTAGAGGCAATATCTCGGCTTCTCCGAGATCTCAGCGCTGCCTTGAAAGATGTGAGCTCCATCAAGGCTGCTCAGCTGTTGAGACCACTTCACGACAAGCAGGTGTTCCCGATCAAGCTCCGCCGTTTCGGTGAAACCACATACGACGGTTTCGATCACCTCTCACAACCGAGCTATACTACCTGGTACATTGCAGACCAATCCGACCTCTGCGACAGCATACTTGGGACTCTTCCTCTCCTAGCTCTGACGGTGGAAGATGTGGTTGCGATTCGGGACCTCATTACGACACTAAGGCTTGAGGACAAACTCTTATCGAAATATGCAAGGAGCCAGTCGCAGTTGGTGGGACGAGTCGCTCTTTACCGGCCCCTCACAGCTCTATTTCACGAGAGGTCCTTGTTTATCAAAGCGTAAGCGTTACTCTATGAACACTTGAGGCCTACTACTGATACTAACTGGTACTGTGGGCAGTTTAATACCCAGGGATTGCCCCAACAGACCGACTGTTTTGCGCCAAATCGATGAAATGCATGTTAACATCGCGACCAGGATAAGCAAAACCATCATCTTAAACCTGCCCGACAGGCGGGTTGAAGGAAGCCCTGTTAAAGGCCACGCAGCGTTCATTAGCGGCCCGCCCCCCAGCTTGGTCATTAGTGAGGAATGTGCCGCGGCAAAGACACCATCTTATGAGGTTGTGCGGCTCCTGGCGGACACATTTCAGATCACAGATCCTAAGCACTCTCCGCTCCTTTATACCGCCTTAAGTGACATGAACGCGAGCTTGCAGAGCAATCAGTCGTCATTTACCCAGCAAGGAGTCTCCGTTCAAGGACTGGAGCTAGGTGCGCTTATACTACATTATCTCTTTCCGCCATTAGAACCATTTTGGAAGGTTAACTCTGTGAAACAGATAAGTCTACAGACCGCCGTGGGAATTGGCCCGGCGACCTATCCCGCATACTCCCGGCATCATTGTCGAGCTTCCGCACATTGGGGCGATCCTCTAGGGGCTATGGTGCAGATGTGACCAGATATGCTCTTCCTGGCTCGACCCGTATGTATTGCCATGACATTGACCGAGATCGGCGACTGCCCATGCTGTGGCGACTTGACGACAAGCGGCTTCATTTGCCCCTACACCGCTCTCTGACAACCATCGATTTGGATGAGGTGTACAACTTCCGACACTTAGGAGCGCATATGGTATGTATTTTGAACTTATCATAAATAGAACGCTATGTCACGAGTCGTACGGGTCTGATGAACCGCAGTTATCCAATCTTTTCGAAAAGCACCTGGGGGATGCTTACAATCCCGAGAGGGACTGGACAAGCGACCTGCGCACCATGTCGGGATACAAACCCTTCTTTGGTGGCTCCAAACCGGCTTCTGCGGATTTCACCTTGCGTGACGCGCGGATCCGCGATATGTTTACAAAATTTCTAGTTAGGTACGGGCGCTCAGGGACTCTCGACTGGGAACAGCAACTTCGAAAGCACCTCCCTGTCTATCACCTCGACCTAGTCGCGGGCCCGGTAAGCAGGTTTTCATCTTTTTACATAACCTCAGACGCCCTGGAGCGGGTAAGTTTAGTATAACAAAGAATCAGTCGAGCCCATTTTGGTTTTTTTTCTTCCTGAGCATTTTCTTCTCAGATGCGGCGCTTTCGGATCCAAGATTGTGACAATGGCAACTGGCCAAAGACCGATGTCTCGGTACTCGTCAGGGTCAGCGATGCGCATTCAAACAACCCGCTATCCTTTGAGCTTTTCGTGGACCCCTGGCAACTCTTTGCATCTGATGAGCTAGCTCTTACTGGAAATTGGTTTCTCGAAAGGACGATGCAAGACAGTCGCGATTCGGGAGCGAGCAAACGACCCAAGAGGAATACGCTCTCCGTCTCTTTATTGGCTCGCCAGAGCCGCCAGGGGAGGGGTCGGGGGGCTTACACTTACAAGCCGCTGGAACCCCAGTCCATGCGCCTCCTGCACCTCATTCCGGGAGATGAGGATCAAGAACTGCGAGGCGTCATCGTCCATGTTTCAACCAACTCCAGCCGGCATGTTGGCCGCTACAGGGCGCTTTCATACGTATGGGGCACGGATGGACCAACGGACAAGCTGATTACCCCGGATGGCATTGTTGCTATTTCACCTTCACTAGGCAGAGCGCTGCGGTGCCTCCGGCAAAGGACGCAGCTGCTTGTACTCTGGGTGGACGCCGTCTGCATCAACCAAAGCAATAACGCGGAAAAGGCGGAACAAATCCGTCTCCTTCCAAGAATATTCCAGTCTGCGGAGTTTGTTTATGCATTCTGGGGGCCCTTTGAGGGGCATGGTGACGCCGCTACAGAAATGCTGATGCAGGTTCTGGCCAAAGCCAATGTGGAAGAACACTCCCGCATGAAGTCCGTTTCAGATTGTACAGTGGAGGAGGCTCCGGCGTCTAACAATGCCTCCACAGAGAATGAGGGCGGGTGGCCGAAGGAATTGGCGAGAATTCCCGCATCTTGGAACGACGAGCGCATCCCCTGTGCGGACGACCCGGTCTGGGACTCGGTCGAGACGCTGTTTTCCTGCTCCTGGTTTAGGCGAGCGTGGATCGTTCAGGAGACGGTAACAGCATCGGAAGTGCGAGTCGTATGCGGCAAATGGCTGATTGACTTCGGCGATTTACACCAAGCCGTTCAGATTGTTCACAGCGAGACTCAGGCCTCAGCCCATATCAGTAGCAGGTTCCAGCGCCTTGGGGCGAGTTTGGAGCCATTCCTGATGCTGGCAACACAGCGGGAGTGGGAACTTGAGCATCACCGCTGGGCTCTTATTTCACTCCTGGAACACTTCCGCCACCTTGAGTCGACGCTATGCCGTGATCGCTTCTTCGCGTTGCTCGGCCTAGCTTCAGATGCCAACGAACCCGAGTTTGCACCGGACTACGACAGCCCGTTTGAGGCGATAGTCATCAGATTTGCGCGCGTCTTTGTGCGCCAGGGAAGAGTGATGCAATTGCTCTACCGCGCCGGTCTGAATTCGCATTCACATCGCTTCCCGTCCTGGACCCCTGACTGGACCATTAAGCGACCACTTTGCCTCCACGAGTCTGACGAGCGCGCTGTTCCGTTCCTCGCCAGCGGTCCGACGGAACCGCAGGTCGAACTCTCCCCTGACGCGGACGAGCTTATCGTTGGAGGATTTGAGGTCGATGTTATTCAGCAAGTTTCCGTGTCGTCTAACACGGAAAGGGAGTGGAAACAGTATCTGGAGGAAGTCGACGCCATGATCGATGCGGCTACCTTGGCCGCTGTGCCCGAACCGCGTGAAGACCTGAAGTGGAAAGTGCCGATTGCCGGCACGGAGTATCCAAATTTTATCACTCCAGGCGGTCTCGACCTGAAGCCGTCATACAAGGCGCTAAGAGGGTATCTCGACACAAACAATCAATCTCAACTCGACAGCGAAACTCGGTCCAATCCCTCCCTCGCTCAATATGCTGCCGACCTCAAATCCCTGTGCGCTGTCACGCTCCAGCAACAGAGCGCGAGCTACGCATCGGTGCTGCGTGATGTGGTTCCTGGGTGGAGGTTTGTTGTCACGGAGAGGGGCTACGTTGGCGTTGCGCCTGGCCTCACTAAAGTAGGGGACACCATTGCCATCCTAAAGGGCGGGAGAGTCCCTTTCGTCATATGCAACAGCGGGGATAGGACGGGTAGCTTCCGTCTCGTTGGGGAGTGCTATATCCACGGTCTGATGCACGGAGAGGGTCTGTCACTAGAAGTGGTCGAGAGGGATTTCCGTCTTCATTAAACGCTCCGGCTCATACCTCTATTCGGCATAAGGGCTTTGATTATCATCGCTTCACAAAGACATCCGAGATCTAACCGTTCTTTTTCTACAACTACTATCGAACTGACTAAATAGCCCCTCTGGCTTAGAGCTTGCGAGCCTGTGTGTCAAGCGGAGGGCTAAATACCCAGGGAGTACTACCGTATCACCAGTGCTGGTGCGTCCACCTTCGAGGTCTTGGACTCTTGACTCGTCGTCCAGCCGACTTATGATCACTCATCCACGAGGAACTTGAAGTTCTTGTCAGCCCCCGGAATCAAGCGACCCAAGCCCTACACAGTCAAGCCAAGTAGTTTACCTAAGGTACCAAAGCCCCCGATGTCAGTTGTTGGTTCTTCTATACTGTCCCCGGGTACGGTCAGTCATGTCGATGGTACGCAGCATCATGATACACGGCACCGTGTTCCGAGTCCTGCGCGGCAACTACTACATGTAGTAAGTCAGTCTGAGACCCTGAGTAGTACTCGAGAGCCCTTCGACCCCCATTATGTATGTATCCCGGAAAACCAATACCTAGCGCGAAGGGCCAGTTGGGTTGCCGTCTTATCCGTCCGAACGGTTCAAGTCGAAACACCATAACGGTACGGCGGACCCTCAACTCCACATCGGCACATCCATGCCCGGCCAAGACCGCTTGGCGTCCCAGGGACCCAGATCTCGTGAGGAGATCCTGGGGAACTGGGATCTGTAATTGACTTTGTGTCCGTTCCGTGTTGGTGTCGTACTGTACTAGTTTTAATGACTATACTTACCGAGGTGAGAAAACCTTCAGTTAATGAACCAAGCTGATAGGTATCCTTAATAAATAAGGGGCGGCTCTCTGTGTCCGAGTCGGCTGCCGAGGTATTCAGGAATTAACAAGTCACATGCGGGACACGAGCCTAGGTAAGAGAGACATATCCAATAATAAGGTGCATCTGAGATCTCATGGTTGATGAGAGCGATTCCCCGGATCTGTGATCGACGCAAGGGTCGCGGCCTGGGGTTCTCCAGACATCCCATCATCCCAATACTACCCATTGGAGTCCGTCCGCTCACCTCGAGGAGAGGCCGGTAAGACACTGTAAAGGGGATCTAGAGACGGAGATACAACCTAGTAGTATGTAAGCTCCGTAGTTATGGTAAGCTGATTGAGCAAAGGGTGTCAAGTCAAGCGCAGATCTCGGACTCGGATCTGAGTAATTTGGAGGATCTACATGTGTATATAGTATTGACTATAGCGATAAGTTGCCCATTGAAGCCAGTTGAGATCATCGGTGTTGGCAGCGTTTTGTTATCTGAATTTGGTAGAGCCGGTGGTTGTCACATTGGTGCGACGGATAAGTAGCAGCCTGAAGAGACCAACAAATACAAAGTACGGATACCGTGCAAGCTGATACTGATAGCGGTATACAGGACAGGGGGCGGGCACTTCGCATTATGCATGGTGCTTTGAGTGACCTTGGACCGGGAATCGGCAAAGGCCATGAGAGCGCCTTTTGCTATCATGAGGGCGGCTGTCGTTGGCCGGCCCGATTGTCCATGCCGTGATTGCCGACTTAGCCGTCTGAAGACATGTAAAAAGGTCCCTAGGAGGAGGTATTTGAGGGGAGAATGCAACCCCAAGCTCGAGAGGTGACTGTACAGGATTTGTTAGCCGTTTCGCAAATTGCAATAACCGACCACAGCAACTCCAAAGCCACTGCTACACGTGCACATACATCTCAGATATACGTTGCCTGTTGTTGGTCCCTGGATGCACCGGACGGAAAACGCACACCCCCGACGGCTGCCCGGTCTCATGAAGTGGGGCCGAGGCCAGCAAACATACCCCTGAACCTTGGCAGCTTCGCATTCTCGCAGTCAAAATCAGGCGATAATCGCTGCAGGACAGGAAGTATTGGGAATTGATCTTCCTTTCCCGGAGTGGTACTGTTCTTGGCTTGTGAAGATCAAGATGTGGTTCCGGTCAGATCTTATTGGTGATCGGCTTTCATGTCGAGCATGTGTACGGAGGTTGGGGCCAAAAGAAATTGACAACTTCCTCTTTCCAAGACTGCCAAGCCCATGATACAGTAAGATTCGCACAGTCTAGCCGAGCCACCTACACTGGCCACTGCAATCCACAATAGTCAAGCCCACTTACAGGGCCATTTACAGGGCCATATCAGTGCCCACTGCAACCCGTCTTAGGTGGGAATCTACGAGGGAACGCTATCCCTACAGAAAATACAGTACGTCTCTCGTCCTCTGGCTTCTCACATGTTGACAGGCTTGGCACCAGCAGGAAGCTGTCAATTACTTTTGGCCCCAACCTCCGTACTCAAGGGTTCAGGGAACTTGAAACAGTGTATACAGTGTATCCAAACATGCTTACTGTGTGGGAACACCCTACAGTGCGTATATGTGTTTCTCGGTGCTACCGTTTTCCCTCAACCGTGACTTGGGACTCCCTTTCTCTAAGAACAGCTTCATAGAAACATAGTGCGGTGCGGCCCGAACAAGTGGCCCTGGGCTTGCTGGCGAGACTGGGTAAGTAAAGGACAAGCTTAGGTATGTACATCATTACCTCATACACGCTCTGCTTGCATGTTGATGAAGAAGGCCTAGTCAACGCCCAGCTCAATATCCGGGTGACGGCATTTCATTTTGCTTCCTGCCCTTGCTCCTAGCAAACACTTGGAATTCATATTCCTGTGAATCATGTGCGATGCTAATTTTCGCCATCATTAGCTGCGAGATGGTTAGTAACATGGTATGCTTCTTCTGCACCCTCTTTTGTGGATGCCGGTCGATGCCATTGGTAATGCTCACACTGTTCCTCAGGTTCATGAACTCGCCCGATGTCTTCTCGATCCTTTGGGCAAGCTTTCCATGCAGAGCGTGAGCGTGGTTCATCAGTTGAGACCAGTTTCTTAGTATCATCAACTGGGTGGCATTATCAAAACGCTGTAAGAGATCCGATTCCACGCCTGGGTGTGTCGTCTGCCACTTTGATCTCATCTGCTCAAGGGAACGGGGCAGGACATCTATATGGCGGCGGAAGATCTTGAGCAGGTGGGCTGCGACGAAGTATTCCTTGGCCAGCCCGCCGAAAGGGTCAAACGTGAGGTCGTGAAGCTTCTTTGGGTCGCTGCCATCTATATCCCCGACCTGGTCGCAACAAATTGTTATCGTTTGCACAGGGAAAGTTTGGTTTGGGCTAGAGATGGGGGAGACAGCGGGGGACAACTACTTACTTGGACTTCATAAAGTCTTTCAACATAATCAAGACAGGCGTTCCAGCCTCTGCTCCATTCTTCCACCCCACCCCAAAGGAGCATTTGGAAAGCCGTTATACCCCAAGCGCCATAAGCACTGGCAGGCTCCAGTCCGCGCTCAAACCATTCCTTCTTGGTCAATCCGACTGGATGATGGAACCCGTCGGCCAGGACGAACCCAATCGTAGCCGGCCCCTCCAGATAAGTCGCGTCCGCTTGGCGATCATCTCTGTATGGCGTTGCAGTACGCATGCTGAGCCAGACTCGCCGTTCCCTGAAGGTCTCTTTGCCGCTAGGACCCCCAAGGGGTACCGTGATGCTCTGACGGTCGCACCGAATACCGGAGCCAATCCACTCGTCCCCGTCGCTACTATCGCACGGGGTGAGGTAGTAGAAGATGAAGTTGAGGTACATCCAGCGGTCCGGAAACGTACCCAGCGACCACGAAAGGTGACGGTTGCCTTCCTCAAGGCCTTCTCCCCTGCAGAATCCTTGAAGCGAGTCCAAAGTCCATGACAAGTCTCTGTCAGGATTGTCGGGCAGCGGGTCGACCTCCTTTGTCGGATGCGTCATGAGGAGGAGAATTGTGGCAAGCACAGGTAACGAGATGACCCAGTTATCCGGGCCGGTAAATGACCTACGTAGGAGTGGGTGGGGTGGCCGGGATTAGCTACTTCTGCGTCTCTCGATAGAAAAGAACCTGGAGCGTTGCAGTCTGTGCTAGTCTAAGAGCAGAAACTTACCATATCTGGGCGTCGGATTCGTTGGATAGCACCTGACCATATTTCTTTCGATCTGGGTATCTGTCCACGGAGATTGGTGCCTGGTCGGCATCTGGGGACGGCTTAACAGAGAGGCCGCGCTATATGCAGAGGAAACATATCAAAATATCAGGTCTAGTTCTTAATACCATAGAAACCGCCAGGCCCTAACAAGAAAAACGAACCGCTGCCTGTCGATAAAGTCGAAAGAGCCAGTCGTTGGACTTATAGAGATTGATCAAGAGGACCCCTTCGCTAACAGGATTGAGATCCTTGAAAGCAAGCCATCGGACAAGTTGGTAATCCGGCTTGTCAGCATCAAGAAAGGGTGGCCCCAGTGGGCGACGTTTTGAGGGGCCGACAACATTCGCATCCGGCCAGGCGGAACGGAGAAGCTTAGCCATCTGTTACGCCGATGTGGTGGCGGTCGCCTCCTCGGACTTGGGATGTAGGGCGACGTCACAGGGGGGGAGACACATCTTGTCCGACCTTTCATCGTCCAGATCGATATGGAGCTGCATCAGGGCCTTGTAGGAAGGCGAAGAACCAAACGAAGTTTGAACGTGGAAGTCATTGCCAGCCATGGGCTTGAGGACGTAACGGGGGAGCGCGTCCCCGATCTCACGCTGGAGAGGCTGACCAGGAAGTCCCCTTCCCTCGAGGATGGACTCAACTCCGAAGACGGTCAGGAGCTTCTCTAACAGCTCGGAGAGGTTTCTTTGCGTTGGTAGCAGCTGGCTGAAACTGACATGACCGCCAGAACTGGACGACATATTGGATACGTTAAGGTATTGGTGTCTATCTAGACAAGAAAAGTGCAAATACCTCTGTCGTTATCGGATGAATGAGGGATGAAAGAAGGAAAAGGTAAGGAATGCACCAGCGCGGGGTTTGCTGCCTCTAAAGCTGGGGAAAGAGCGAATTACTATCTGAATCTGTTGGACCTTGGAAGCAGCCAACCGTCCGGCACGTTCTTGGTTCAACCAATTATCTTCTCTATACCTGCACTTTTCTGTAGGAAAATATTAACTGCAGACAACAGCCTGGCCGGAGCATGATAGGCACCTGACAGTAGTGCACACTACAGGTATGCAGTCTACTTACTCTCAGTTGAGTTCTAGATGGCAGTCTTTCCTTTCATAGTTACAGGAACACCCGCCTCCGACTCAATTCCCAAAAAGAGAGGCAACCCACTTGAGCAGATCCATTGTCAATAGAATCATCTGATTTTGATCACAAGGGCCTGATCTGAGAACCGACTTACTGGAGTATTGCTGGGTACCAGGAACGGTTCATGGATGATTCACGGCCGGTAACCCCTAGATTGTCTGGCAGTTTTCCACCAAGTCAGTGACACACATGGTATTTGAACGGTTTATGGTTGTTAGGAGTCTACAAAGCCTCTATGAGTTGGAGAGCCACCCGTGACAGCAAAGACAAAGGTATGGATGAAACAATCAGGGACGAGATGGGCTTAATACGTAAGATATAATCAGAGATTTAGCGATCTCTTGAGCCAGCGATCGTGCTCGTGGAATACTAATTATGCTGTTACGTGACTGGAAACCTTCAGGTTTCAACCTGAAGTTCAATCGGACAAGATGTCTACAAAGCGAGCAAACATAAGGTATAAATTCGGTCAACTCGACAGGCGTCGTCGAAAAAGGGGATGAAAAATCATAAGACAGCAAGGGTGCTGTTATTCTCCGCCCTGATTTCTCAATATATTCGTAGGAAACACAATCAACTAGATATACAGCTCAAGATCGACTGCTCAGTCCAATTCAAACCAACAGTCTCAGGCAGTTCAAGGGGTACGGCGTTCTACTGCAAACCATAGACGGAAGTAACGGATTGCTCTTGGACATGAAATTGCCCTAACAACCACCACAGCTATAGGCTAGCTACCATCCAAATGCCCCTCAAGTAGGTACTGCAACCACTTGCCAAGATAAGAGTTACCGAGACCAAGACTGCAATTCACAGGATGGTCATGTTGTCTGCTCGAAATGCGGTGAGTTTCATAACTCTTAAGAGAGTTCTATACGGACCCCCACCGTCCACGACATCGACTCATTGGTTTTCCAGCAACAACTAGGGGCGCAGCGGAACAACGAGAGACATGTGTAAGGCACCCACTAGTAGTCGGATACAGTCACGGTCTCGGTCTTCTCAGCAACTGCGGCGGGTGCCGTGACAGACGACGCTAATCACTCCCTGAATAGCTCAGAGCTTCCTCAGGAAGCAATATATCATAGTCGCTACACCCAGTCTACTGAGACAACTGCTTGCACTCTTGCTGTGATCCTTTCACCTTTACCAGATCTACACCCCGTTGTTATGAACTTTTAGGAGTCCCTTTGGCAAGTAGTGTCTTGGTAAATTTGATATACTGCTGCATGCCAGTGGTTTTACAGTTTACAGTATTCTCTCCATTTGTTCTACGCGGACCACTCTAATTGGTATTGCACGCATCCCGTTCCTCGGATCGGCAACGCCTTACTGGCACCCCCTACTGACCGGGGGGGGACTCCGGCCTCTCCTCGCCGGCGCCGTTTCTGGCCGTTACGGAGGCGGTGACGGTCCGGAACGAGAACTGGGCAAAATACTACGGGAACGATAAGTAAAGTGCCAAGTCGGCAATTTCGCCTGTACAATACAAGTACACCAGGGGAGAGATGCAGTTGGTTCTGCAAACGGCAAGTGGGCATGCTCCGACCAAACCAGGACTGCAAGGCTCCAATAGCATCCCACATTGTGAGATTACCAAAGGCCGGTGAATGCATGAACTGGGAGCAGATAAAAGGAGGCGGTCGGTCTCTGATAAGGTGTCGCCTGGGGAAGTGATGGCTGGTTGGCCAAGCTGATTGCTCATTGCATATTGCCCCCTGCAACATCAGTGACCTCGCAGATTGACGAAAAACTCAGGGGAAAGAAGCTTGAATGGAGTGGGTTGACGATGGCCTGAAACTGCTAACATAGCGCTTATGGGACTTCAGATTGCTAACTCAGTATCAGGTGCAGGGCAGGACGATGTTTGTTGAAGAAGACGACAGCGAAACATGGTCGGCCAAATGACGCGGCTGCGTTACGCGTAGACTCTGTGGGGCAGGCATCTAGGGTCCAAAAGGGTAATAAAGGGGACAAAAGTGATGGCCGGATGTTCCTCTGGGTTGGCCCGGCGGTTGGGCGGGTCGCCGACTGCCGAGGAGACCGGGCAGGCCATGATTGGGGAAGTTCCCGTGTAGAAATGAGAATAGCAGAAACATCGTGGCCCGAATCGACCAGGTGCTGCCGCAGTCGGGCTACCCTGACAGGTTCGACTCTGGCGGCGTGCCTGGATTGTCGTCACTCGTCACCTTCCGGAATCAAGCCGTCACCTCGAGTCGGTCGCCAAAAGCACTGTGATGCAAAAGAGAAAACGATTGCCGTCATGGTGCAGACGACGGACCGAAGTTGATATTGGAAAGGAACCGTTGATCTTGCTGAAATCAGCTGAAAGCCTGAAACAGCCGGCAGGCACTGCAAAAGTTCGAAACACCCCCAACACCCAACAGCCGCCAATCCCAATTACATAAGCCATCCCACGGGATGAAAAGGGGCACTGATGACCCACCTATGTCGTCATGCGGGCCGGTGGCGATTCCCGGTCTCAGACCCTGAAAAAGGGTCTCACGATGGTGGCTTGGCTCGCTTGGCTGGTTGCACCGACCGCACACTACGGCTGCACTACACCAACATGAGAGCGATGTCATTCATCGTGAACGACGTCGACGATAACGTTTGATAGGGCGATGATGACCTGAAGTTTGATTGGTTCATGACGAAAGCCAAGAATTGTTGGAGCGTATTCTCCGTCGGCCGTAACGGAGGGGCCGTTTCCACTCCAACCCTTGCTACCGTTAACGTTATGATCGACATACTGTACGCAGTTTCCCGATAGTGTACTGTACTGTACTGGGTCCGCAGCCTCTGTACGGTATATCACCTCGCTATGAGCTGAGATGAGTAGAATCAGCAGCGATATGGTTTTTCAGATAACTGAACTCCAAGGGCTCCGTACAGTGTTGAATGAAGCGGAGCGTCGGACAATAAGGAACTTGAAGAGACGGCGCCGTGTTTGCCGTGAATCCAGGATCTTGCAAAGTTGGCATGGATCTTCGAGGATCCAGCAGCGCCTCAACGTCACTGGCGCGTTCGGCGCTGATCGACAGGACCCGGGACGGAAGCATTGGAAACCTCTGCATTCCGGAGAATGACCCTCTCTCATATAACTCTGGACGGCTTGTAATAAGTAACCGAAGATGAACATACAGAGCTGTTGACATCGGGCGATATTGTACCCCGGGTAACGGGAGGATACATGGTACGTTGGAGGGGACTACCGCATTTCAAAGAGTTTCCATTCATTTGACTTCCTATGTAAGTAGAACCCCTGGAGGCTCAACGTTGGAGACTCAACTAATACAGTGATTTTGTCCGACTGCAGTGCTTCCTGCTTGTCTTCGTGAACCCATCTTGGCATTCAAACGTAACCGGGTGATTGCAGCGACTTCCAGAAATGACCCGCCAACCGGTCTCCTCCATGGCAACATGCAGGTCATTGTCATTGGCGTGATCGGCACAAAAACTTTCAGGGACCGGCTTGCATCCCCGCAGCACCCTGAATGCAATCAGGAACAAAGTCGGCTGCATCTTTACCGCCTTGCCTGCAACCTGCCGACTTGATCCTCATTCGACAGCAAACGCGACATCGTCGGGACTGGTGAGTGGCTGCTGTTCAAGATAACCTGCCCTGGAGCAAGGAAGTCAAAGCCATGCATCAAATATCCGAGTGCATTTGGCTCGCTTATGGTTGTGATCCGGCCGGCCGTCTGTCCAACCACTTCAAGATTGTTGTATGGGTTTATGCCTTCCTTATCTGGGCCCGTTGAAGCCAGGAACGCTGGGGCTAGCGAGAATTCCAAGCGTCATCCTTGTTCACTTGGTCCTTGATCGCTATTAAACAGTCAATCCAAAACAAAATATAAAATAAGAGCAAAACGCCGGCGACGGGCCTTCTTGGTCGCAGGTCATGGCCTCTGTGCCAGCGTGCCTGCTGTTTCCCTTGTGGTGGCCGAACCCGGTGCCAGCCTGACCCCTCGGACCTGCCTGCCGGCACCAAACGCCGAGTGTGGTCACAGTAAAGTGGGTACGCACAGTACCGTTGTTTAGAGACGGTGGGGCGCCCAGCCTTTCCAGCCGTCCTTCCGTCAGCACTGACAAGCCACAAGGCCGTCACTGCAGACCCACCGGTGATCCATCAACATGCTCCGTTAGGTGCTTGCACTCACCAGATGGTTGACAAGTCGCAGGGCCATGGCCCAAGGGAAACAACAAGGTTCTGAGATATGGAGACCCACAAAACCCGGGCAGTGGTTGCCCACGATCGTCTGTATAAAGATGTCTGCTCCTCGTTGCTCCGTCGTTCCTGCTCGGGGGCGAGATTCCTACACTCCATAAGTCATCATCGTCATCATCGTCATCATCGTCATCCAAATCACCGTCCCACGATCTCACGATCGGCGCATATACCTCCAGTACCCAACACCGACGTTGAACAAGCCCTACCTGCCAAAGTGTCACTCAAGTGAACCCTATCTTCTTCACACTGCAGCCCATCCTCAATCCTCAAGAAACCACCCATCACTTTCATCCCAAGATGGAAAGGAATTGCCCCAAGAAAGCCGTCCATTTCGGCGCCGGCAATATTGGTATGTCGCACCCGGATCAAAACCCTACCTTTACGTCATTCAACAGTGGCTGACATTGATGCCGGACAGGTCGTGGTTTCGTCGCTTGCTTCTTACACAACTCTGGCTATGAGGTCATCTTCGCCGAGGTGAACGACACAACAGTGAACAAGCTCAATGCGCAGAAGAGCTACAAGGTGATCGAGGTCGGTGCCGACGGGACGACGGAATCCACCATCACAAACTACCGTGCCATCAATTCGAGGACACATGAAGCTGAGCTAGTGCGGGAAATCGCGACGGCGGACCTGGTTACCTGCTCCGTCGGCCCTCACATCCTAAAGTTCATCGCCCCGGTCATCGCCAAGGGTATCGACCAACGCTCGCCAGATCTCTGCCCAGTCGCCGTGATTGCGTGTGAAAACGCTATCGGCGCCACGGATACGCTTGCCGAATTCATCAAGGCCCCTGAGAACACGTCACCCGACCGGCTCGCAGACTACGATAAGCGGGCGGCATTTGCCAATTCGGCCATTGATCGCATCGTCCCGGCACAGGATCCCGATGCCGGCTTGGACGTCAAGCTCGAAAAATTCTACGAGTGGGTTATCGAAAGCACCCCCTTCGGCGAGTGGGCGCCGCCCGACATCAAGGGTGTCAACTGGGTCGAAGACCTGCAGCCCTTCATCGAGCGCAAGCTCTACACAGTCAACACAGGCCACGCGACTGCGGCGTATCACGGCTACAACCGGCGCAAGAGCACCGTGTACGACGCGCTGCAGGACCGCGACATCCACCAAGAAGTCAAGAAGGCCCTCGAAAACACCGCCAGCCTCATCACCGAGAAGCACGGCATCCCGCACGAGGAGCAGCAGGCGTACGTCGACAAGATCGTACGCCGCATCAGCAACCCGCATCTCGAGGACGCCGTCGAGCGGGTGGGCCGCGCCCCGCTGCGGAAGCTAAGCCGCAAGGAGCGGTTCATTGGCCCCGCGGCCGAGCTGGCCGAGCAAGACAAGGACTGCCAGGCGCTGCTCGACGCGGCCGAGATGGCGTTCCGCTTCCAAAAGGTCGAGGGCGACAAGGAGTCGTTTGAGCTCGCCGAGATCATGGAGAACAACCAGCCCGACGAGGTCGTCAAGCAGGTCTGCGGTCTGCAGCCCGACGAGAAGCTCTTCCCCAAGGTCGTCGAGGTCGTTAAGCGCGTCCAGGCTGATCTGCGGGATGACTGAACTGAGGTGGTTGCTTGATGTTTACGCTGTGCATTGTAGAGATGCACCCCTCCGAGCCTGAATGGCGGGGCAGCGAGTAGCGTGTTTTGTTTTTTCTTGTGTCTCTCTTTGGAGTTGAAGCGCATCGGGACGGCGTTCATCATGTAGCGGGATTTTTCTTATCGAGCACGGGTCAAGACAACGGTTTTATGCGCTGGATGCAACACTTGATTAGAGCGGGTTATGATCATTTTCCTGTTGTCATCTTCTTGCCTTCAACATAGATAGACGCAAGACTTGGGCAATACTAAAGAAAACGTTGGCGAGGCCACGCCACATTCATTCTCACTATTATGCATTCCTGTGACATTCGTTAAGTGGTGTGTTTGGAAGCGGTAATTGAACATGGTTCACAGCGGGATGAAGCGTCCCAATCTGATGGTGCTGAATGTGAGCTGAATGGATTTTTGATGCTATTTTCATCCGAGCATCGTGTGAGATTTGCATTGTGGGAGAAGTTGGAAACGTTGGTTGACCGCCTGCTTTTGCTGCCTGAGGCAGAATTTTGGGGGACATGTGCGATTACCTAATCCTTGAACCCGAGATTGAGGAAATGCGTCCAGACCTCCAGATACGTGGCCCGCATTTTGAGAGCCATCACCCTGGTGGCCTCCTTATTTACAGTTGCCTGTGGAGAGAACTCTTGCAATCTTCACGAGAACGGCCTATTGCAAACCATCTCCAGGCGACAGATTGGAGGCAGAAGACGGTCAATTGCCGACCTTAGCCAGGTCCACCCCTTTCCCTACTCAAGAGTCCCTCGACCAGCATCCCAATTGACACCCCACCAAGCTCCTGAAGCTCGAGAGTCGACTGCCCCCGATTTTCTGTCTTGGATCACAGCCCCGGTCTCGCCCAAGATGAGGCTGGATGTCAAGGCAAGTTGCGCCCTCCCGAGTCGATGAGTTTGTCGTTCCATCGTGGATCTGGACACAAGCTCGAGACGTCCCTGCTGGCAGCTGCGCGTCTTATTCCGTCTCGCTTAGTCCCGTTTTTTGAACAGTCTCCGATCTGAATGACTTTTGCTAACATGTATCAATGTACAGCGACAACTCTTTGCTCGCTCCGAGGTACGTCGACCGGCCAGAGAGGGATCCGAGTGCGACCGCTGACATTGGGCCTGCAACAGCGAGTGAAGGGTATCGACTTCCACCCAACCGAGCCATGGATTCTGAGTATGTTGTTGATCTCTTGAGGAAACCATCACTTTCAAACTCTCTGACGCCGAACCTCAACAGCGACCCTGTACAGCGGCCACGTCTACATCTGGTCCTACGAGACACAGCAGATCGTCAAGACCTTCGAGCTCACCGATGTCCCCGTCCGCGCCGGCCGCTTTATTGCGCGGAAGAATTGGATTGTCTGCGGGTCGGATGATTTGTATGGGCGGCTCTGGATTTATATCGCTTTATGGTCGGCATTGGAGAGACTAACACGGGTGCTGCAGCCAAATCCGAGTCTACAACTACAATACGAGCGAGAAAATCACATCCTTCGAGGCACATCCCGACTACATCCGGGCGATTGTTGTGCACCCCACACAGCCCTTTGTTCTCACCGCTAGCGATGACATGACCATAAAGCTGTGGGATTGGGAGAAGGGGTGGAAGAACGTCAGAGTGTTCGAGGGCAATTCACGTAAGGTGTTGGCGGAGCTAAGTTTTCCAAGGACGCGGGATACTGATTGTTCTAGACTATGTGATGTCCTTGGCGATCAACCCCAAGGATACAAATACATTCGCGTCTGCCTGCTTGGACAGGACCGGTATGTGACAGTTTGCGTCTCGACCCGGTTTCCCGCTCATCCGTCTAACCCCTGGCAGTCAAGATCTGGAGTCTGGGGTCGTCTACCCCAAACTTCCAGCTGGAGGCGCATGAGACCAAGGGCGTCAACCATGTGGATTATTATCCTCACAATGACAAGCCCTACCTACTTACCACATCAGACGACGTAAGCTTTTCCCAGCAGAACCCTGGCATACCGACTAACCGACCCGTATAGCGCACGGTAAAAGTGTGGGACTACACAACGAAGAGCTTAATCGCAACCTTGGAAGGCCATACCAACAATGTTTCGTTTGCGTGCTATCACCCGGAACTCCCTATTATCATTTCCGGCTCAGAGGATGTATGCATATGTCCCGCAGCCGCGGTCCCTCAAGCCGGCGCTAACAGTAAGCCCTAGGGTACCGTGAGGATATGGAACGCCAACACCTACCGCTTTGAGCAGTCGTTGAACTATGGGCTAGAAAGAGCATGGTGCGTGGCGTACCAGAAGGGCAAGCAGGGCATCGCGGTTGGCTTCGATGATGGGTCGGTCGTCATCAAGCTGGGTCGCGAGGAACCGGCCGTGTCGATGGACGGATCCGGAAAGATCATCTGGGCTCGACACAACGAGGTCGTCTCTGCGGTGATCAAGGGCGGTGAGCCGACAAAAGACAACGAGCCGATCACCTTGACCACGAAGGAGCTGGGAACCGCCGAAGTCTACCCACAGACACTCATCCACTCCCCCAACGGGCGTTTCGCGGCCATTTGCGGCGATGGCGAGTACATCATTTACACGGCATTGGCGTGGCGGAACAAGGCCTTCGGTCAGGCTCTCGATTTCGTCTGGGCGTCCAAGGACAACTCGAACGACTTTGCTATTCGCGAGTCCGCAACCAGCATCAAGGTTTTCAAGAACTTCCAGGAGAAGAAGGGTGCTCTCGACGTTCCGTTTGCGGCGGATGGGCTTACCGGAGGTGTGCTTCTCGGCGTCAAGGGCCAAGGGGGTGTTTCTTTCTACGACTGGCAAACAGGCGGGCTTGTCCGGCGTATCGAGGTCGAACCCAAACAGGTGTACTGGAGCGAGAGTGGCGAGCTCGTGGCCATCGCTTGTGAGGACACATTCTATGTGCTGAGATTTTCGCGGGATGCGTACAACCAAGCGGTTCAATCCGGCCAGGTCGAAGACGACGGTGTTGAGGCCGCCTTTGAAGTCGTCACTGATATCAACGAGAGGTAAGTGTAACAGGCCTATCGAGTTCCCTGGAGTATGCTAATGAGGCTGCAGCATCCGGTCCGCGGAATGGCTTGGAGACGTGCTGATCTACTCCAATGGGACCAACCGGCTGAACTACCTGGTGGGCGACCAGACATACACTGTGGCGCATTTTGACAAGCCCATGTACATCCTCGGCTATCTCCAGCGTGACAGCCGCGTCTATCTCACAGACAAGGACCTTTCGGTTACTTCATTTGCTCTGTCCCTCCCAGTCCTGGAATACCAGACGCTCGTGCTTCGGGGGGACATGGAAACAGCCGCCGAGCTGCTGCCTAGCATTCCGCAGGACCAGCTCAACAAGATTGCCAGGTTCCTCGAGGGCCAGGGCCACAAGGAACTCGCACTCGAAGTCGCCACGGACCCGGAGCACAAGTTTGACCTCGCTCTCTCGCTCAACCAGCTCGACACCGCCTTGGAACTGGCGCGTCAGGCCGACTCGGACCACAAATGGAAGACGCTCGGCGACGCGGGCCTCGCCGCCTGGGACGTGCCCCTCGCCACCGAGTGCTTTGTCAACTCCAAGGACCTTGGTTCTCTGCTGCTGGTGTACAGCTCCACGTCTGACCGCGAGGGTCTGGCCAAGCTGGCCGAGCAGGCGGTCGAGGCGGGCGCACACAATGTTGCCTTCAGCTGCAAGTGGTCGCTGGGCGACGTCCCGGGCTGCATTGATATCCTGGTCAAGACGGGCCGACTTGCCGAGGCGGTGCTGTTCTCGCAGACGTACATGCCGAGTTTGACGGCTGGGTTGGTGACGCAGTGGAAGGAGAGTCTGGAGAAGAGTAAGAAGGGGCGTGTGGCTAAGTCGCTGGGTATGCCCGGTGAGGATGAGGAGTTGTTTCCGGAGTGGGAGGAGTGGTTGAGGTTGGAGAAGGAGGGGCCGGCTACGGTTGCGGGTGGTGGTGGTGGAAACGATGGGGAGGTGGGAGAGGTTGAGGCTGAGGCTGAGGATGGGGGTGCTGAGGCGGATGAGGAGTAGCTTGTGTCATGGCGTGTTTAATTCTTGAGTGAAGAGGATAAATGTGATGTTGATGTGATGCGATTACGGCGTCTGGGGCCGCTTTATTACTTCGTGGAGGGGGAGAGCGAAAAGCACAGAGTTGAGTTGTGTACCTAGGGTAGGAGCAATTGTTTATCTTTGTTTGCAGTGGCATGGTATATCTAGGTACTGTACTGTACATACTTCTGGGGCTTGAGGCATCTAGGGTCAAGTGGTGAGAGCAGTTTACTCTGCATGCTGGACGTTGAGCTTATGTAGATATCTGATCTATGGCTCACGTTGCTAGGTCAATGCCAAGGGATGTCTGTAGGGCTGCGGGCCGATGTGAAGGATCGATCGCGGCGTTTAGCGCTAAGATAGCGTAGCCAACAGCTGTGGGGCTGTTCCATCATCATTTCGGAATGGTCGGCGATGACAAACCCCGACTGTGGCCGAGAGTACTCAGTTCGCAAAACACATGATAAACCAGTCCATTGCTGTGTCACTGTGCGACATAGCTAACCATATATCTTACTTGCTCACAGCCGGTGCGAATGACGGAGCAAGCAGCACACTCGGAACGTTTCCTGTTGATTACATAGGTAGTTTCGATTCCCCGCACTATTATTAACCGCGAGACCCCGCGCGCGCCAGGCGCCAGGAACAGACCGGCGTACCTACATACACCATGAGCGGAATACCAGCCGAAAGGGTGGTGAGCGTCGGTGGCCATGATATCGGCTATCCCCATGGCCATCTGGGCTATTTGACCGAAGAGGAAGAGAATGCGCTCCGGAATTTTAAGGTCTATCTAACAGAGAAGGGCCTGTACACAAGCTCGCAGAACCCGTCGCACGACGATCAAACCTTGCTGTAATGCCCCTTGGTTCCAATTCTGGTTGTAAAGCTGATGCTAACGCATTGTCGTCCAGACGGTTCCTGCGCGCTAGGAAATGGGTCATCCAGGATGCCTACAAGCAGTTTAAGGACACTGAGGATTGGCGCAAGGCAAACCAGCTCGAGGTGCTGTACGACACAATCGATGTGGATGCATATGAAGAGACGCGGAGTTTGGTACGGGATGTTGACGCCGAGGTTCTTGAGGCGTTGGCTGACACGGCATACATCACAGTATCCCCAATGGACTGGTAGGAGAGACAGGAGGTTCGTCCACATCCCTTCCTTCCTCCCGCAACCATCAAGCCCCCGACTGACAAGTCCTGTCTCTCACACAGAGGAATCCCTCTCTACCTCTTCCAAATCCGCCACCTCGACTCCAAGACAGTCTCCAACTACGAGAAAACCGCCGAGTCCACCAACGTCAGCAAAGCCCAGCCCGACGGGTCCACCCCGCAGCGCCTGCTGCGTCTCTTCGCGCTGTACGAAAACCTGACGCGCTTCGCGCAGCCGCTGTGCACCGAGATGACGGACCGCGAGCACCCCCGCACGCCCATCACGCTCAGCACAAACATTGTCGACGTCTCGCAGGTGTCGCTGCGCATGTTTTGGAACCTGAAAGCACACATGCAGGCCGCGTCCACGCTGGCGACCGCGCACTATCCGGAGACGCTGGACCGCATCTTTATCATTGGCGCGCCGTACTTTTTTAGTACCGTTTGGGGGTGGATCAAGAGGTGGTTTGATCCGATTACGGTGAGCAAGATTTTTATACTTTCGCCGGGGGAGGTGAAGCCGACGCTCGAGGCGTTTATTGAGCCGAGGAATATCCCCAAGGCTTATGGGGGTGAGTTGGAGTTTAGCTTTTTTGATCGGCCGAATTTGGATCCCAAGATCAGAAGGGCCGTGAGCTGGGAGAATGGGTATACGGATTTTCCGGAGGGGCCGGCGTACTGGAGGCCGATTGACGGTGGGAAGAAGCTGGAGTGTATTGCGGTGGGCAGCAAAGGGGGCGTGCAGAGGAGGGAGAGGGTGTGCACGATCCCAGTGGCGTTTCCGAAGGAGGAGAGTGCTGCGGTCAAGGATGAGGGTGTGGGCGCTGCTGAGGGGGAGATACAGGAAGGTGTTCAAGGCTTGTCGATTGCTGATGACAATACGGCGGCGGAGTTGGCTGAGAAGGTCGCTCCGCAGGCTGCGGAAGGGGAGAACAAGACTACACCGGTTTCAGCTTGAGTATAGACGCATAGAGCGACGGGTAGCAGCCGGTGCCCTGGCATGTACGGAGTAGACGGGGGTTTTCTGTTTGGCGGGTTTGTATTACTTTCTATTGGTCCTGGGGTATAGGATTGGTGTCGTGAGTCCAGTACAAGCAGCTAGCCGGCGCAAACCATGCAGAGACAACACCTGAAGAAGCATGCTCTGTCTATTCCCGCGTGCAAATGCATCTTGCATCCGCTCCAGCAACACCACAACGCCTCGCCATGCCGGTCATGCCGCACAACATACCCCCTAACAAGACCGATGCAGCGTAAAATGCAGTGCAACGACCAACCCCCAACTCCATGATATGTAACCAACCCCCGGGATACACTCCCGTTAGGCAACACCTTGATTCTGATTCTGATTCCCCCGCCACTGCCAAATCCCCTTCTCAAACTCCTCCCACGTCAGCCCATCCCGCACAAGCCTCATGGTCACGCCCAGACTCTCCACTTCCAGATTCGGCCGCTCATCGTCAAAAAAAAGCATGTCCCGGAATGCTATCCCTGTCCGCTTGGCCAGCACCTCAAAATGCCGCAGCTTGGTGCCCTCGTAGATCTCCAGCCCGGCGTCGAACGCGTCAATCGTCCGCTTCGGGCCTCCACCACTAGAAGCAGTCCCCTCCGGTGCAGGAGGCGGCAGACGCAATAGCTTGAGAACCTCCCGACAGAGATCCCCTACGGGAGATTTGCTTGCCACGGCGAGACGGGTGTGGGGGAAGGAATTGGAGATGAGGCGTAATATATGTGGTGCGTCGGGGTAGAGGGTGAAGAGCTCGCCGTTGCGGTCCGCGACGGTGGGTGGGTTGGGACTGGAGTTGGAATTGGTGGTGGTGGTGGTGTTGACGAGGCGGATCGGCGGGGAGATGTGGATGTCGGAGTAGAAGGGCCAGAGGGTGTAGTCGAGGTCGAGGACGATTAGACGTGGGAGGGGGAGGCCGTCGTGCAGGTAGGGGTAAGGGGTGGATTTTGGAGGGTTGCGGTTGCTGGATGAGGTCGGGGAGGAGGAGGTTGTTGAGGTATTTATTGTTGACTCGGCAGTCTTGGAGATTTTTTTGCCCTTGGCCATGGCGGTGGGCTGTTGGGGGTTTGGGGCCGGCGACGGGAATGGGTTGATCAACTTGGTAGCGCTTTCGGTTCGATGGTTGTCGTCGTCGAATTGTGCTCCTGTTTCAGAGCGGGAATGCCGTCAATTCTCGCGGGTTAGGGTTAAGCGTGCGAAGTACTCCCTGGCTTCTAGAAGGCCCCACTCTTTCTCCGATCTCCACTGGTCCCGTCCAAATCCAATTCTTAATCACGTCCATCAAGTGGAACAGTTCCAATGCTGCCTCGGAGCTTCCAAAAGCCACCTGCAGGACACCTTCGGACCCGAGCGTGAACTAGGCGCTGAAAGCGCCCGCTTCCTGCGGAGTCCGGACAGCATGGCGCCACCCAGTCGGAATTGGGTTGCACCGTCGAACCTCGTTTTCGGTTGCCAATTTCTGCTGCAACAGCAGGGAAACGTAGGTTGATCGAAATCTTGGAAGCCGCCGTGAAATACCCCATGCCGGCGATTGGGCAGATCGCCTCTTCTAAACCCGCGCTGCCAGCGCGCGATCACGGGATGATGAGACAGCGGCTGAGGAGTCTCCCCATCAGATTGCCGGAGCTTGCGTTCGCATCGCGCTACCCCACCGCTGCCCCGCGGTGCACGACATGAGAGCTCACCAACCGCGCCTGATGGGAGACGGACGTCAAATACACTCCCCGCCCTCCTGGCGCGGGAGATACAGATATCTAGTCTCTGAACTTGCTGGCTGAACTGTTCTCAAACGTTGACACCCGTATAACTCGTCGACAGTACATCCCTTGACGACCTTTACACCGTGTACGGACAGACATAGGCCTTCCACCATGGCGTCCAACGGCAACCCAATCAGAAAGATCCGGCTGGTGCGCATCGCACATATCTGGTACAAGCACGCAAACGTCGAGCCAGTCAAGGAGTTCGCCCAAGACTTTGGCTTCGTACAGACAGCCCAGGTGGGCAAGACGACCTTCTTCCGCGGCTATGGCACCGAGCCCTTCTCCCTTGCCCTAGAGGCCTCGGACAAGACCGAGTTCGGCGGCGCCGCCTTTGTCGTCGAGTCAGAAGAAGATCTGGAGTATGCATCCAAGAACCTGCCAGCGGAATGCAAGGCTACAGAGTTGCACGAGATGACGGACGTTCCGGGTGGCGGCAAGCGCGTGACTTTCTATGACCCTGTCGACGGGTTTCCGTTCCATCTCGTCTACGGCCAAACACCGGTTGCGTTGGAGGAACCTGATTTCCCCATCCTCAAGTTCAACTACGTGAGCATCCGGCCCTCCCTCTTCTGGGTAGCCGCTTTTACTCATTTGCAGTGCGCAGCCAGTCGAAAAGAACCGAGGCCCCAACCAGTTCCAGCGCTTCAAGAAGCGGCCGGCGCCCATCCACAAGCTGGGCCATTTCGGCATGTGCGTGACCAACTTTGCCAAGTGCTACGAGTTCTACACGACATACTTTAACTTCTTCCCTAGCGACGTAGGTTTCTGACCGGCGGTTTGCCCCTGACTCCTGGAGATGCTGACGAGCCACTACCCCAGCTTGTCCACAACGACGAGGGAGTCAACGTCACGGTCTTCTTCCGTCTCGACCGCGGCAGCGAACTGGTCGACCACCACTGCTTCTTCTTCTTTGAGGGCCCCAAGATGCATGTCCACCATTCATCGTTCGAGACGCACGACTTCGATGCGCAGCTGCTCGGCCATGACTGGCTCCGGCACAAGGGTCACAAGAACTGCTGGGGTGTGGGACGGCACGTTATGGGCAGCCAGATCTTTGATTATTGGTGGGACTGCTCTCAGCATTCTGATAACAGACTTCCGGGCTAACGGGGAACTAGGTTTGATCCGTCTGGCTTCATCATGGAACACTATGTGGACGGCGACCTGCTTGATATGAACGAGCCGACCCACCACCACAAGGCTTCGCTGGATAACCTACATGTTTGGGGTACGTGAGCGTCAGAAGTAACTATACATGTCAATACTGACAGGCTTGTAGGCCCCGAAGTTCCGCTTTCCTTCTTGGATTGATTGTGTGGCAAAGAACCCTGGCTGGGTCAACTGACGGGTGGGCTGCACATGTAAAGGGCGTTTTGGTATAACGAGTTGGCAATATATATCGTTGCGCAGCCCTCTCTGCTTTGATTGCCGTGGCCTTGGAATTAGCTGTGTCGTTGGATATGCTTCTGTGTCCAAGCCGAATAAAAAAAGGGGAAGCATGCTGACGTAACACGCCGAGTAGCGCGAAACCGAGAGTGTGTTCCTGTTCTGGGCAACCCCTCGAGGGCTGAACAGTCATTACAATTTGTTCTGAGTGGCAGGCCCGGCGCCAACTCACCTGAATCTGATACAATCCACTCGCACGCAGCAGTCTCGTTGCTCACCGACACACACGAAGCACATGTTCTCGGGCCATCGTGGGGAACCGCTTTAGGAACATGGCCAAGCAATGATTGGCTCGGCGCAGGTAACCTATCAGCTCTCGAGAAGCTTTTGCCGGAACGCCGGGCCTGATTTCATTCGCTCTCTGATCACGCTTAAGCGGTGAGGCCGACCGCACGTTGCATCCACATTCTGACTTGTTCAACGGCTCAACGCCGCTGCCTGGAAGCACTCGTGGCTTCACGATGCCAGACACTCGCGAGGACGGAGTATTTATCCCGCTGCAGGACTCAGGCCGCGCCAGCCTCTGGCTTGCCCTTCCACCGCCGTCCTCGGGAATCATGATGCTGGCGCGCACCGGCTACCCCTCTCCTAGGAGCGGAAGAGGCAGGAGTGAGGCAGCATATACAATTCGATCGGTTTGCTGGGCGATGCCTGAAGTCCATCAGTTGGAGTTCGCGCTTCCTCGAGCCTCGGTCGATCCCGTTTCGAAACGGCTGCGCTATGCGACACCATATTATCTCGTTGACACTTCACACCGCCCAAATCAACGGCCTCAGCCGTCGCCATCCCGTGACCCAGGCTTACAATCCGCCCAACCAGACTCAAGGCAGTCAAGCGACGATGAAGACTTTGTCACCGCTCCAGAAAGCCCCGTCATGCCAGGCAAAGCCCCTGCGAAGCCAGGGGAACCGGCATCAATTGATTTCAAGCACATCATGAACCGCCTCGAACGGTTTACCCTCTCGCCCATCGACACCGAGTCAAGCTCACTTCCAGGCCATGAACCACCGCTGGACGTCTTCTACCCCTATCTTCCGGAGCCCTCTTACAGCCCCTCACCCTCTCTACGCCCCAGCCTATTCATCGACGATGATTACTTCCCGGACCTAGACTCAGAACCAGAAGCAGACGACCGCGAGCATCGCCACTGCCTTTACTCCTCAACTCCCAGTCGCACACACAACAGTTCACGCAGCGGCTCTTCACCTTCACCACCGCCAACTCCCCGGCCAACCTCAAACCACCCCAACCCCGATCCCAACCCCGGCGTAGACCCTTACTCAACCCCAACCGGCGCCACCGCTAGCACTAGCACAACCACCAACCAGATGCAATTCACCACCCTCTCAGCCCTTTGGTCCTCCGCCCAATCCAACCAAACCACCACCACCACCCCCCAACCACCAATTACCTTCCCTTCCTTCCCTTCCTTCCCTTCCTTCCCAGAGTTCCCACCCCTAGGCCCGCCCTGTCTCTCCTGCCGCCGCCCGTCCACCTTCGGGCGCGTCGCAAGGTCCAACACCAACGGCAACGCCCAACGGCCCTTTTACCGGTGTGCGCCGTGCCGCAGGTGGGTTACCTGGGCCGACCTGCGCGGGGTGAGCGACACCAACATCCCCTGTGCGTGTGGCATGCCGAGTAGGGAGTGCCTTACTGGTTCCAGGGCGATGTGCGGGCCGGGGAGGAGGTTTTGGGTTTGTACTGAGGGGAGGTGTGCGTTTTTTCAATGGGAGAGGTCGGAAAGGGAGGGGGAGAGGGAGGGTAACCGGGATGGGGATGGGAGGAGGGATGGGGATCGGCGTGGGGAGAGAGGTGGGGATGGTCGTGGGGCTGTTACTCCTGGGAGGGAGGTGCGAGTGGTTGGGACCGATGTTCGAAGCGAGGGTGGAAGGGCGTACTTCTACAGGAATGGACTTGATAGTGGCGCAGGGAGGAGGTGGGAAACGGAGAGTGGGGGCACTGGGGGGTTAGAAGGGAGGAGTGGTAGGGAGGGAAGGGGGATAAAGGGGATGTGCTACGGACGGGTGATTTATTGAGAGAACAGAGAGTGCCGGTGGAGGAAGCGGGACTGGTGATGATACCATGAGCGGGAATAAAACTGATACCACGGATGAGATTTCTAGATATTGAGAATGTTGGCTGCGTTGGAATATGGCCTGGAAGCGACGGGTTCAGGGGCCAAGAGAGTTATCAACGGACACTGGAGTTTGTGGGAGAGAACGCCGAGACAGTGTTTGGCTGGGGTACCAGAGGCAGGAGTTGACCGGTAGTTTTCGAAGACCTTGCGTATCTGCTTGCTTGCTTGCTTGCTTGCTTGCTTGCTAGTCATGGCTAAGTGTGTATGTGCTGCTTCCTGTTGACCGCCGTGATCATGCCATGTAGGAGTCAGGTTACTACCAAGCCACCAGACACAGGACAATAACGAGTTTGCCTTATGCCCAAGCCCAGTAAATGCATCTGCATAACCGCTCCTTGCTTTAGGGATGTATGTACCGTCGAAAGGAATGAGAAATACGAAACCAACGCATCCTGTCCTCCCTCCGCAAACGATAAACCACCTCCATCATTCCATAAACGCAAGCATCAAACCCCTTCCCCGCCCCCTATCCCTCCCCCCTTCAACACCAGCTCACTCCACAAGGCTGTCCCTCCCCTCACCTGCACCCTATCCCAACCACCCCCAATCCGAATCCAGCACCTCAGTATGAGTAACCCCACCCCACCACACCCTTCCCTAACTCAACCTCAACCCGCCCACCAACCCCGCACACCCATCCTCAAGGAGCGAGCCTCAACGGCAGAGTCGACATCTGAACCACAGGGAGGCACGGAACCATGGCCGGGGCAGACGGCGGAGGCGGCGGCGGCTGCTGCTGGGCAACGAACGCAGTCATCAAGGGGACACAAGCCGGAACCGGGACCGGGACCGAGCAAACGGGAAGCGCGGCGGGGGCGGCATAGAATATTCCAGCGGCTGGAGCAGGCGCGGGAGCGGGCGGCTGTGGCTGTGGCTGCGGCGGCGGCGGCGGAGCGAAGTATGTCACATTGTTTTGCGGGATGACGACCGGCGCTGGGAGGGCGAGAGGGGTTCCGGTTGGTGCCGGCTGCGCCGGGGCGGGGTCGGGGGGAGGTGGGAGGCTGTGGAGATGATGGTTCGTTAGCAACGTGCTCGAGATATTAGTGCGAGATGGTGCAAAAGACAGAGGGCATGGCAGAGGGCGGGTTCTGTCATGGTTCGGAATGGGAAGGAGGACGCGGAGGAGGAGGAAAGGTGCCGGAACGCAGAATTACCCGGCATATGTGGTTAACTGGGGCTGGATTATGTACCCTGGAGCGGCCATGGCGGGATAAACGAGGTACGACATCTGCTCGTTTGCTTAGGTCGATGCGAAGGATTAGGTTGGTTTTGAGCGTTTGATGATTTGATCGGTGAGGATGGATGGTTGAGTTCAAACCTCGAGGTTGAGGCAGAGTGGAAATCGAAAGCGGATCTTCCCGGCTATGGTTTCTGTAGGAAACGGAAGTTACAACGGGAGACTCGTTTGCTTAGTTCAATGCGAGAGAATCACTTGTGCGATGGTTAAGAGGGTTGAAATCCTCGTAGCCCTCGATATTTCCTACTGTGTCTCTCCCTCAGGGCATTGATCCGTCAAACATGGGATGGAGATTTCCGCACCTGCGAGGGTGAATAGAACAATAGGTAGGTAG